CGCCGATTTAACCGGAGTCGCCGGGGTTAAGATGATGCCGTTCGGAATTGGCCGTCGGATTTGCCCGGGGCTTGGAATGGCGGTCGTACACGTGGAGCTAATGCTAGCGAGGATGGTTCAAGAGTTCGAGTGGACCACGTACCCGGCGGGGAACCAAGTGGATTTCACCGGCAAATTGGTGTTCGCGGTGGTGATGAAGAATCCGTTGAGAGCGAGGGTTAAAGCTAGGGTTTAAGATCTGTGGTTTGACTTTTTTAACTTGACCAAACCCCGGTTCAAGAGAAAGTTCGCATATTGTGTAATTTGATGTGGTTTAATTAAATGTTTTGCTACTCTTCAATTCAATTACTAAAACGAAAATTGGACGACAAAAAAAAAAATATAGAGCCATGCAAAATTTTAATTTACTTTTGGTTTAGTTGGTTTGCATATATGTATTCACTAAAATAAAAATTTAGACGTTTTACTAAACCATATAAATTTGGTTTAACTGGTTACTGAAAAGTCTTGGTTCGTCTCGGGTGGTTTTGAGTAATCACTTTCGGAAAAGGAAAGTGATTACAATCATAGCCATTAGCCACTCCGGTTTCTTCCAACTCCAACGTTTCTTTCTACACCTTTGGCCATTCCTCTGTCGATAACGTTGTTGCCGCTTTCCTCGCGAATCAGCAGCGTCCTCGGGAGGGTCTAGGGTTAGGGTTTTGGTGGGAAGATGAGAAGCTTGCAAAATCAGAGGATCCGGAGGAACTGAGAGACGCGATGGACTCAATGTCAAAGATGTTGAAAGATCTGAAGGAGTTGCGTTTCAATGCCTTGGAAAATAGACGAGATTGTGTGGACGTGAAGAAGAAGGGTGTTTTACACGGGACTCATCAAAAGCAAACCCTTAGTCCTCAATCGTTTTCTGCAAGTCTTTGCATTCTAGATGATGTAAGTGTGAATTTCAACGGGTTCAAGAAGAACACTGAAGAACAAACCCTAGCGGTTTCTAACAACAGCAGCAACAACAACGGTTTACTAGTAAACTTGGATGGGTGCAATCAAGATTTTGATCTTGATGAGATCTTTGATTATGTGACAACATCTGAAGCTCTATCGATGAACTTGGAGATGGACGATGTCTCTACGGTGACCACGATCGAATCAAAATCCGTTCTCATGTTCTGAAACGTTTGAAGGTGGAGAATTGGTGATTCACAGAAATTTGGATGAGGACAATATCCACTTGTCTGATTTGGACGACGATGTTCTCCATTTGTCTGATTTGGATGAGGATCAGATCCTAGCGATTTCTGATAACAACAAGAAGGCGACAACGTATGACCAGAATCCTTGTTCTGACTCTGAAGCTGTTGTAGATGGAGAATTGGTGATTCCCAGAGATTTTTATGAGAACAATATCCACTTGTCTGATTTAGATGAGGATCAGATGCTAATGATTTCTGACAACAACAATGTTTTACCTGAAAACTTGAGTGAATTCGATCAAGAGCTAGATCTTGATCAGCTCATTGATTTTGAGACGAATTGTGAAAGTCTTTTGAAGAGTTTTGAGATGGATTATGCCACGATGGTGACTACAAAGCAAAATTTGAGCTCTAATTCCGAAGCTGTGGAAGATGGAGGATTAATAATGATTCAAAAAGATTTGAATGGGGATAATCTCTGCTTTTCTGATTATTTCAATGAGTTATAACCTCCATTGCTGCAATTAGAAACTCCCTCCAAGTTAATAATTGATTTAAGGATTGATTCGGTTTACTTTGGTTAGAGATATATTTCCTCAAGGAAGGTCCGGTTTGACTTCAATCAATTTTCCATGCTTCATTAGATTTCTGAGATGTTGATCGAACTCAAACCGTTTCAGTTTTGGTTTGCCTTAACTAATAAAGAAATCATCTTTTTTTTCTTTAAAGTTTGTATAATCCTTTTTTCTTTAAGACCAATGAGTCTTACAACAGAAAACATCTGTCTGATGATCTTTCATTAGCAATGTCTCTGCTTTCTTATATAGTACCAATACCAGTCATCATCAAGGTCAGTGTTTTTTGTGATTACTTCATAACTTTTAAAACAGATAAAGCTTTGCTAGAACTTGAACAAAATGGCTCCATAACAAATTGGAGAAGAACTCTTAATTTATGACATATAATATATTTTACTACTAGTACCACTCATGAAGAACAGTTGAAATTTCTGACAAGTAAATTGAATTCCAACCAAGTCAAACACGTTTATTCGAGTCTCTTTTTTGTTTTGTTTTGTTTGAAAGTATACTATGATGTTGAATTCTGATTAGCTGAAAGATGACACAATTTTATTGATTGCTTTTGGGTCTACCAAAATTGGAAAGTGAGTAAATAAATGGCTTTCTGCAGACATTTAGATTTCCCATGTTACTAATTTATTAAAGGAACAGTTGAACGCAATAAATAAAAACAAAGACATGCACTGATCACACAATTCCTAAACTCCCAACATAGATTTATCATTCTAACAGGTAATTTTCACGGAGATATGTTTATTTGTAGCATGTAGGTCCAAATACTACACATATATATATATATATATATATATATATATATATATATATATATATTCTATTTTCATTATACATCCTTACTTTATCTAATTAACATTTTAAAGATTTGGGACATTCCTGTTTTAAGCTTTCATCTACTATTTGACTATTAGTTGTAACAATCAGTCTATGGTTATAGGTGAATCTAGGACTCATATAATCAATTATGAATTAAACGTTGTTTGAAGTAAAGAGTGTTCTAAACGGTCACCTAAAGTTGTAAACATTCATGTCAACTAATAAAACACACACCCAATATGCCATTTACACATTTCAAGTACTATTCCTTATATAATCACAGAGCCAAATAATAGTCTCAAATGAGTCAACAATATTAAAATTGATTTGTGAAAACAAATTCTTTCAAAATATCCAAGTGCTTTTGAAAAATAATTAGATCTATAGAGGTTATTGACAAGATATATAGGTTTTATGATTAGAGAAAGTTCACATTTTGAAAAACAAATGTCTTTAACCACAATTAATATGCCTTGTTTCAGCAAGCAGAAACAGTCCACAGTAGTAATGAAATGGAGTAATAGTACGTTTTACCAAACTCCAACGAAAATAAAAAGTGAATATAAATTAAAATATTTACATAAACTTTTGCATGCTCTACTCTGTTCTTATATAATCATCTTCTTCTTCTTGAAGTCAAGAAATAAACAGAGCTAAAATGTCTCTAATCTCCTTTTCTCCAACATCTCTTGATTTCACCATCTTCGCCATTATCATCTCAGGTTTCTTTTTCATCCTCACTCGATGGAATTCAAAGTCTAAGAAACGTCTAAACCTTCCTCCAGGTCCGCCAGGTTGGCCGGTGGTCGGAAACTTATTCCAGTTCGCGCGCTCTGGGAAACCGTTTTTCGAATACGCAGAGGAGCTCAAGAAAACGTACGGCCCAATTTTCACACTGAGAATGGGGACTCGCACGATGATCATCCTCTCCGACGCAAGTCTAGTCCACGAAGCTTTGATTCAACGCGGTGCTCTGTTCGCTTCACGTCCCGCCGAGAATCCGACCCGAACAATCTTCAGCTGTAACAAATTCACCGTCAACGCCGCTAAATACGGTCCAGTGTGGCGATCACTGAGAAGAAACATGGTTCAAAACATGCTTAGCTCAACACGCCTCAAGGAGTTTGGATCACTGAGACAATCGGCCATGGATAAACTCATCGAGAGGATCAAATCGGAAGCTAGAGACAACGACGGACTAATCTGGGTGCTTAAAAACGCAAGATTCGCTGCGTTTTGTATTCTATTAGAAATGTGTTTCGGAATCGAGATGGATGAAGAATCAATCGAGAAGATGGATGAGATTTTGAAAACTGTGTTGATGACCGTTGATCCACGAACCGACGATTATCTTCCGATTCTCGCTCCGTTCTTCTCCAAAGAGAGGAAACGAGCTCTCGAAGTTCGCCGTGAACAAGTCGATTACGTCGTCGGAGTTATCGAAAGACGACGGAGAGCGATTCAGAATCCAGGATCTGATAAAACGGCGTCGTCTTTCTCCTACTTAGATACACTTTTCGACTTAAAAATCGAAGGTCGTAAAACGACGCCGTCTAACGAAGAGCTCGTGACTCTCTGCTCTGAGTTTCTCAACGGTGGTACTGATACGACGGGGACGGCGATCGAGTGGGGGATAGCTCAGCTGATTGCGAATCCTGAGATTCAATCTCGGCTCTACGATGAGATTGAATCAACGGTGGGAGATGATCGTAGGGTTAATGAGAAAGATGTGGATAAAATGGTCTTTTTACAAGCTTTTGTTAAAGAGCTTCTCCGGAAACATCCGCCGACTTATTTTTCTCTGACGCACGCCGTCATGGAGACGACGACGCTTGCCGGTTATGATATTCCTGCCGGCGTTAACGTCGAGATTTATCTTCCGGGTATAAGCGAGGATCCGAGAATTTGGAATAACCCGAAAAAGTTTGATCCGGACCGGTTTATGTTGGGTAAGGAAGATGCTGACATAACCGGGATAAGTGGAGTGAAGATGATTCCGTTTGGTGTGGGCCGTAGGATCTGTCCAGGGCTTGCAATGGCAACCGTACACGTCCATTTGATGCTTGCGCGGATGGTTCAGGAGTTCGAGTGGTGTGCTTATCCGCGGGGAAGTGAGATTGATTTCGCCGGTAAATTGGAGTTTACGGTGGTTATGAAGAATCCGTTGAGAGCTATGGTCAAACCAAGGATTTAATCTTAAGTCTTTTATTTGTTTTCTTTTTATAAGAATATCAACATTATTGTGTGGTGTGTTTGCTTATAAACTTTTTTAAGTACCCAAATCTACACAATACAAATGACCAAAAACTACCAAAGATAATTGCCATATATCTCTTGTAGCTTTCTTTTTTCACATTTCTTCAAAATTATATTGGTCGGAAGAAAAACGAAAAAAAAAGTAAGGATGGAGCATCATCATCATCTTACGGTAGTATGAACAAAAAAAACAAAAAACCCTAACAAAAGGAAAAATTCTAAATCAATTTACAATATCAGCGTAGAAACTATACATATCAAACCCAAAGCTACAGAGACTATACCTCTTTCAAATCCTCTTTGAAAAATGGCCAAAAAGATCCCAACTTTCGTTTGAATCCAGTAACATTTTCCATCGTTACCATTTCAGTGCAACAGTGGTTGTGTCCACCTCCCTCGATTCAGCTTCTTTCATGGCTTCTGCAATCCTGAGAGCCACCATCGCTTTGTAAACAGCCAAATCTGCGTTTTCTGCAAGAACTTGTGCTCGTCTTCTTTTGGCTATGGCAGTTTCCATGGTTCTATCAGCAAAAACTTTGGCTTCTTCCATTCTGAGATAATCGTTTTGTTCCTCTGGTTCAGTCGCTTTTACAGTCACTGTTCACAATAACACAACAAACGAATCAGATCATTTTTACTCTTTATGCTCTTTATGATACTGAACTTTGTGGAACTGAATCAAAATTCTACTGAACTTAATCATCGATGTTCAGCTTTTAATGATACTGAAGTTTCAAACTTTCTCTAACCTCAAATCAAACACAGTACACCTTAACCAAAGAGAAATGATTTTCAGTCTAATTCTGTGGTAACCAATTCTACTTAATCGTAGTTAGGCAAGACTGTTCCATATTATTCAGAGTACACTCTAAGCACTAACTTTCAGCAATTACAAACAAATGTAACACAAGCCTAAACATTTCATAACAGTAACTAGATATCTCTTGAGTCATGAGGTTGAGGGAACTTACCGATCCAAGGGCTTATCTGTTTGGCTTTTCCATGGAGTTGACTTCCCTGTCTTTTGAAGGATCTTCTTTTACGAAACACAGGTTTGGAAAGTAGCGGCGTTTTCTTCACTTGATGACCCTGTTTACAATACATGCAAACATCAATTTTGACAGTAAAAACACAACTGGAAATAATGAATATGGTACTAGTACAGCGCATCATGACATTACCTGGAAAATTCTGAGGAGTGGTGCTTTTCTCTGCTTCCTTTTTTTCAACCAGTAATCGTGTACTGCTTCAACCACCTCTTGCCTACCCAGATATGAAAGACTAGCTATAGTGGCTGCTTTTTCATCTAAGAGATCATCGGCAGGGCTATGGAAATGATACTTTTCAAACCCGTCAATCATCAACTCAAAAGCTTCCCGCTGAAGTTGTAGAAATTGGTCATCCTCTTCACTGAGCATTTTCCGGTTCTGCCTTTCGAGCCACTCTTCATCTTCAGAATCCATGTCATAAAGAGCTATACCTCGAGCCATGGCCCTTGAAACCTCATCTTCGTTCACAGATATATATGAAACTGGCCTAGAAAAGGAGGGAAAATTATCGATATACTCTGCATATCCACACACTTCTCTGACCCCAGGAATAGGAATGACTTTCACACTCTGTTCCAATACATTCCGTTCATAGCATTCTTTGTATATATCTTTAAAACCAAGCCAATCTTGTCTGTCACAAAACTCAAGCTTCCAATTATCACCTCCCATCCATACTGTGGCATGTGTAATCCGGTTGCAAGAACAAGGTCTCATAGTCCTTTGTGCCCTATGGCTGTATCTGATTGCCCCATCTTTCTTAATAACAAGGAACCACTCCTTTGAAGACGACGCCTCCAACATGACAGCAAAACCTTCTTCTCTGGTGCATCTGTCTGAATGTATCATCAATATATTCGCAGAACAACATAAAGAATCAAGTTCCTCTTTTGTCTTCGTCAATGGAATGATACTAATCCCATTTGAAACCGGAGATGAGTTACTTAGCACCGAGCTTCTAAGCTTTCTCGACGATACTGCTGCTGTCCTATTTTTCCTACTTCCTGATATATCAAAAACCGGTGTTCCATTGTTCAACTTGTGTGCATTGTGAGAAAGATTTCTTGCTCTCCTCCTTCTCAAAGAGCTTCTCCTCTTTTGGAAACTGTGAGAACCTAAATTGCCTCTATATTGAGCATTTCCTCCCGTTAACTTCGAGGCTCTCACTGATGGATGTAACCCAACTACACCTCCATTCCTCGGAGTACAAGGTTCAGGTAAAGCTAATTCAGGCTCCGAATCAGATTCTTCAATTGGATTGTTTAGCAAATACAGAGATTTTTCTACAAAAAAGAAAGAGCGTGGTGCCACTCTTCGAAATAGAGTGAATTGCATATCCATGAACCATTGAGGAATGACAGCAAAATCTGCTGAAAAGAGAGGTAGACAATTCATGGCCCCAAAGAACTTGCAGACACCCCTTGAGCTAAGGGGAGGCTTCTGAAAAAACATCACAATAATAAAAAAAAAAACCAATAGATAACCTTAGTAACATTAAAGATCCTAAAATTAATATCACCACATACAAAAACAAAATGTAGTCCAAGCCTAACGATAGTAAGTGCAGAGGTAATTAGGTAATTACCAAAAGGAATCGCACGCCATGGTCTGCAAACACTTGGTTGATAGGTTGAGACAAGAAGAAATCAGCAAGAGAAGACAGCCGCAGTTCTTCCCTCCTCGTATATCTCATTGCCAAACCGAAAACACTTAATAACCAGCAATCCTCGCATGACCAATCTACAGTAAGAGTAAGCACTGAAGAAACCCGTTGTGAGAGTCTTCTTCGCCTGCGATAAAACTTGAGGCTTCGTAGTGGCACTTCTGATCTATCACTTGATGGTTCAGAAAGTCTCTTCCTTTTCCTACTATATACAATCCCAAACATCTTATCCACAGTCTTTTCATCTCCTACACCTTCATTTCTCACTTTCCTCCGTTTTCTGACCGGAAAGTCATCTACTTTGTCTTCTTTCTCACTAGAAACTTGTCTCGGGCTACAAGGCTGGCTGTTACTTCCGGAGACTTTATTCCCTTTGGTTTTGTTCTGATTCTTCAAAACGCTATCACAATCTCGATCCACCACGTCATGAGCTCGCCGTACCTTTGGTTCGCCAACGTTAGGCCAGATCCGACGACCTGAACGGAGGACACGGGCTCCGTCTGCGGCTTTAACCACCCCGAAAACCCTAGTGGTTCGTCTCATTCCCACCGACGGCATCTATGCCTTGCTCATACGACTCCGTTTTTACTCAACTGGAGATGCCACAACTGGCTTGACTTACTCAGAAATTGGCCTCTTCTTCGATCTATACCCACTAATCTCTGTAAAAAACACGAATTTCTTACAGAACCAACCCGATTCTGACCAGATTTTATAAAAGAAATCACTTTCTTTTCAAGGAAAATTGAAGAAATTGAAACGGCTATTGAAGGGGAAAGAGGTAGATAGTTTCGATTTCAACCGATTCGATCAGAGATCAAATTAGTAATACCCAAAAAGGAAAAAGAAGAAAGAAAATCGCCGAGATCTCTGGAGATCGAAGAAAAATTGAGAGATTCGATTGGGAGGATCGAGATCTGTTCATGGGTATAAATCTTTTTTCCTTTCTAGAAACAAGTAGACATGGTGAAGAAGAAGAAGAAGATGAAGGATCGGCGGTGAAGATGGTTTCACGAACTTTTCGTTTTGACAAGAAGAGAGGGAACAGAGGTGGCTAGGGTTTATGATCGAACCAAGAAACCAAAAAAAAAAAAAAAGATCTTTCTTTAGTGGTGATTGGTTGTGACCGTTGGATGGTATTCTCGACGGTTCAGATTTATTCTGGTTCGATGGGTCCAAGGCTATCTTTTTCTTTATTTTTTTTGTAAACGTAGACTGCGAATTTTTTGGGTTACACGAATATTTAGAAAAAATTTAAACGAATTTTAAAACGGAATGGGCCGAAAATTTCAAAAGGTGACAACATGAAATGACAAGATTACCCTCGGGTTTAAAGCGAAATGTGTCTGAAACTCAAGTGTGTAATTACAGTTATTGGAGGAATCTCTAGTTGTTAACTACGAGTCACGAGTGTTTAACAACCAACATACTTTAGAAAGAAGAAGATGCAAAAATATATTGTTAGTACGCTAATTAAAAATTTAAAAAAATTGGTTAGACAAACAAAATAAGAAGAAACAGCTGAGTTCTTAATGGTAAAAGTGTAGAATTTTATTATAAGTGCAGGAAACTTTAGGACAACAGAAGGGATATATTGTTTAGAGACAACTCTTGAGGAAGTGAGAACCACAAGAGATGATAAGATTACACAAGACCAAACATTCATTGACTTTTCGTTACATATGATTTTGTTTTGTAGGAATCTCTGGGTTAAAACAGAGTAATAGTAAGATGAGATTACTTCTTGAATCTTCCTTTTAGGCTTTGGCCGTTTCTGCGGCTTCAGCCTCAGCTTCCCAAAAACTCGTTTTCTTTTCCGTCTGCAGAACAGCTTCTGGTTGCACGTTGCCTTTCATGTTACCTTCTGTTCCTTGAGATCCACATCAAATGACTCCACACCTAAAAAAAACATTGTTTGTTTGGGTGTTTTGTGAATTTTGTTTACACATCAGAAAAGGTCTTCCGCAGAAGAATGGAATCACACAAATCTTAGTGGCATCTATAAAAACCGTGGCAGAGAGTTAAGCTCAATGAAGATTCTTTTTCTTGAATCAATTGTCTTCAGTTTTAGTTCAAAGTTCAAACTATAAAGCCAATGAAATGAGCAAGCAAGCATGAATCACCTTATAACAAATCTGCCTTGAGCGAAAAAAAAAATGACTTGATTCATCGAGAAAAGGCTAACATCTAACCTCCCATTTTGCCTAAGACTCTTTTCACAGCTCCAACGCATCCCTCACATGGCATAGCCACCATTCAGAACCACAGTCTACTTGGACAACAGAAAAATCCAAAGTCAAGCAAATTTTGTAAAAAGCTTTAAAATCAAAAGAATATTGAAACATTGCCCCAAATTGATTAAAAACAGCATGACGTACTACTCAATTTTGCTAAAAGTACAAGAGAAACAGACTTATCTAAACAAAACAGAGCAAACTCTTTTCAGCGTTAAATTTAATGAACATGACAAGAAAAATAGAACTATACATATGTAACACTGCTCAAATAATCTTACTTAAACGGCTTGGCCTAATCAAATTGCGAAAATACATTTCAGACTAAGATTTGATCCAGACAAAACATAACCTATTTTACATGATTCACGATCTGCATCTTATATGATCCATGTCAATTGTCATTACCAGTTTGATTTAGTGGGAAACTAGTCACATCAATGTTGTTATTAAAAAATCTAACTAACTACAGATATTTGTTACAATGGACGATACCGAATTGATTCATACATTATAAATCAGATACGAAGCATAACATCTAAAACAAGATCATAAACATCGAAATCAAAAACATTAGAAATCTGATTCAAGTACCTGAGACATTCTTTATATTTTCCTTTCTTACGTTCAAGTTTTCAACCACACCGAATCTATACAATAAAAACAAAACAAAGTCTCAGAATCTGAAAAAAGTATAATAGCCCTTTTAGATACCCTTTTCAAAAATATAATCTTTTTAGTCATTTTCATATTTGTTTTTTTTTTTTTTTTTTAATGACCCTTTTACTCATATATGAAAAATAATCAAGTCAACAAAATGAAATGTGAATTTTCGGGCAAAAAATCGGAGGTGAAGATGGTTTCACGAGCTTTTTGTTTTGACAAATAGAGAGTGAACAGAGGTGGCTAGGATTTATGATCGAAAACAACTACCAATTAAGAAAGTAAAAAAAGAAGAAGAAACATAGATCTTTCTATACAATAAATATTTTTGGGTTACAAGTTGAACAAGAGATTGATTTGTTATTTTATTATTACTTTTGTAGATTAGAGATTTTGGTGAAAGATTTGTATTGTACATGATCTAACATGGTCTAGCCACCTAAGCCATTATTTAAAAATTGTATCCTTTGTATTTTTTATTTTTTTTTTTGTGTTGTTGGTAGTTTATTTTAGTTCTTAATGTTTCGAATTTTAACATATAGTTTTTATTTTGTTATTGCTTTTTTTTTCTATATGTTTTGCTCAACTTTTTACTTTTTTTTCAATGTTTGGATATTCATGATTGTTTTTCAATTTATCGGTTTCATATACAATTTATAATTGTTATTTAAGACTTCGAACATTCTATCTCAAACTTCCTTTCATTGAGACTCCCTTTGCCTCGATTGATCCATTTTAAAAATTCTTTTTCTCAAACTTCCTTTCACTGATACTCACACACTTTTTCTTAATTCCTTTTTTCTTTTTTTGTTTGGAAAACTTGCCTAGAAAAGTTTCGTCATTTTGCTATATGGTGAGTGTTTGATAGTTTTAGGAATCGAAATCGTAGTACTCAAATGGTGATTTGATTTTCCATTTGATTACTTAAAAGATTGATTTTTGGGTATTCTGATGTTTCTAGCGGAAGATGAGTCGTTCTATAAGCGATCTTTTGTCTTCATCACGAGGTTCCCCATCGGACTGTGGAACTCACATTGATGCTTCGTCGAATTTTAATCTTCCAGCTGAGAAGACCTTTACAAAATCCAAGAAATGGTGATGATTTTGGGAATAATTATTATAAAAGATAAGATTACTTATGTGTTTAATTTATATATTTACATTAGTTATAATTTATGCAAATAAATTTTACATTACTTATACAAATGATTATAGAAATAATGAAGTAAATATCTTACAACAATTATCAATAATCCTTGTATCAATTAATATAATCGATATGTGTCAGCTGCGAAAATGATGTTAATTTTCTATCAATTAGTATAATGACGTTAATATATCTTAAGTTTCTAAAAGTTGATTTAAAATATTTGCTCAATCTTTTCATTCATTAATTAAAAGTATCTGGATCACTTTTTAATTGATTTGAATTTGTGTATCCATTACAAAATGCCAATATTGTAATTAATCTTCTTAATATCATATTAATAAACATAATATAAATGATATATTGAAATTTAAAAGTAAGATGTATTTATCACAAACAAATCTAATTGAAGAGAATGGGTTAGTTTGCAAAAACAGAAATGTCTAGTCTATTGTTTCACATGGTGTAATAAAAAAAATTATTTTATACTAACTGAGTTTGAACCCATATGGAAAACCAACTAAACCAAAAGAATGAAGAGTAACAAAACATTTTATTTAACCACATCAAATCAGATAATATGCGAGTTTTCTCTTGAACCGGGTTTGGTAAGAGCATCTCTAACAGAAAATAATAGAAAATAATAACAAAGTAGAAGAGAGAATCAAACACGTTTCTGGATTGAGAAACTGTATCGCTACTTGTCTTTATATGATTAGCTAAATTCTCTTTTTATAATTTATTATTTAAATAAATAACTTATTTATTATAAAATAATTAAAATAATATTTTTGTTAATTGTAGTCTACATTGTTCAATGCCTTTTCAACCAACCAAACATTTTAAGTCCTGTCGAAGATTCCTTTACCGTAAGTCGAAAAGATCATTTCTTTGAGGAGAGGATACTGAAGCAGAACAAACAGCAGCGCCGGTAAACAAGCGAGAAGGATCGTCGGAGCAACGATCCATTTCTCTTTATCCATCATCGTGAATAGGGCCGACGAGAAGGCAATAAGCATTGCCCCGATTGAAACGAACAGTATGGAGAGTCCGGCGATCATCTTTGCCGGTAGCGAGAACAAGAAATCATCGAAGGAGTACCTTGCGGTGTGTATCCCGAGGAAAATGAGGACGGAGGTGCAAGCTGCGAAGCAGGAGATCAGATCGGAGACGACGAATGTGGTGAAAGCACGATCACGTAGGTGAAAGGGTTTGCCGTGTGAGTTGTAGTTGGGGACGGTGAAGACGGCCGCGAAGGTGACCGTGAATATGAGAGTCGCGACTAAGCTGCACGACATCGCCGTGTATTTCATACATTTCTCAGCTTCTTGCCGCAATGTTTGGTGCTCCTTTGTGAATATCTCGATTGGTGTTTGTCCACTTGTGTTTACTCTCTGCTTCTCGATCTCTGGTACAATTTTCTCCACTTCCTGTGTAATCAAAGCCACATTTTTATACGCACCTATGTTTTACCATGCATTAAGTTTCTTATTGTGTCTGGATTATGCATATTATAAGGTGTTTAGTTAATTTGGCATGTTCCATTAAATGCATGGTTGAGACTGAGAGAAACAGAACGAACCTTGAACCATTGTAACTCACGTTGCATCTTCAAAGCTGCGCCAGTAACGGTAGAGAGCTTGCAAGGAGGAGAAAGATAGCCGGCGAGATGAAGCATACCATTGCCATCACAGTCCCTTTCCACAAGCAACAAGTACTTCCTATCGTCCAGACCGTAGAGTAGACTAAACACTTTTTCTTGTCTCAACTCGACGGCCAAGAGAAACAGAGTTCTACTCAAGCTCGTTTTCGTGGACCATAGAAGCTCGGAGTTGTTCTTGATCATCTCCACCAAGAAATCCACATTCCCATACCTTACTGCAAAGAGTAAGGCCTCACCCACTGTCTCGGAACGTTCCTTTAATCCCATGGCCCGTGTTTCTTCTGATATTACCAATAAAAGCTTCTTGGCTTGTAGATGCATAACCTTCAGTTGGTACACTTCATCTATTCCTGAAACATACCTCAATTCAGATTTCTTATAAGAAATAATAACATGTAAATATCAAACAACCTTTGCAGACGAAAATCTATACTTACCAGTCCATTTGGAGAGACACTTAAGCAGCTTCCTCATCAGGGTAGCTGGACAGAGAGAGAGAGAACAAAAAAAAAAACAAATCTAAACGTTTCTCACTTTCTTTAGAGGAATATGGAGACTTTTTATCAAGTTATTCATATCTAAGAACTTACTTTGCTGATCTTTTTTCGGATAAAACCAACCTGGATTAGCCTGAAGCTTTACTTGTATACCTAGCAAGTGAGAACAGCACGTTAATAAGTTTTTCTGAATCAAACTAAAAGGCATAAAAGTTGGAGTCATCTTTGTAATAAAGAGGTCTTGGATTAGTACGGACAATCGTATATAATGCGTTCCAATGGTCCGAGACGGCAGCCGCTGGGAAAAAGGTCCGGTTTTGAAGCTAAAACGATGATGGGAGTCGACTCTATCTGCAAGTGTTTTGTGACGGCAAGGTAGCGTGTCTTTGCGCAAAGAAAACACAACGCAATGTCTATTTTATGAACAAGCAGATTCAGAATAGATCAATGATTCCGTTTTTAGTTATCCAGCTAAAACATGTTTTGCTTGAAATTCAAGAAACCACTTACCGATCATTTTGTAGCGAGTCTCTTCGCTGAGAAAATACAGCGCAATGTCTGTATTGTATGAACAAGCAGATCAGTGATACCGTTTTTCATTATCCAGCTAAACCTTATTTTGCTTGGAATTCAAGAAACCACTTACCAATCATTTTGTAGTAGATGGCGTTGATAATGAGCAAGGTACCGTGGTACCCATCTTGATCAAGTAACAGAGGACGCATAGTTTGCACGTAAAAGTACCAAGCCATCTCTTTATGCCCGTTCTCAATTGCAACCACGGCCGGAAGCTGTCCATTTATGTCTGGCATCTTTAGCAGCCCAAAGTTCTTGTCAAGCAAGTATTTGGCGATCTCCATGTTTCCGGTGACTGCGACAACAGTGAGAGGTGTGTGGTATGAAGTGTGACGGCTCATCTTGGGAAGCATTTGTTCAGGTTTCATGCGACGAAGAAGCTCTTTAACAATCTCGGGTTTTCCACATGCGCAAGCCTTCAACAATGGTGTCTCATAAGGGTTTATCCATTCGTCCACAGCGCCCGGCCGACGGTTCAAGACATCTTTCACAACTTCTACACTCCCTTGGCTTATTCCTTTACTTAATTGCATATAATCATAGTATACATCTGTAACCTTCTCTGCATCCATAACAAGAACTTTATTATATCATGTGAAAAACTAAATTTTCTTCATAAGTCGTATTAATGGGTCTTACCGTGAAGTTTGATGGACGGAATCTGGGAATTGATGAGATCATTCGTAACTTCTTTTACATGTGAATAACTGTCGCCTAGGCCGCCACGAGGAACCTTAATTGTGTTGATGAAATTGAAAGGGTTCTTCCAAACTGTTTTCCTGAAAGCTGCATCTAAGTAATGATTAGAACTCAAAGCCGTTATAAAACTTCAAGGGCCAATCCTGATAACCTTTGTAGAGTTTCCAAACCGTTCTATCTACAGTCTTTTGGTTGCGTTAGGTAGTCTTATTCTTTAGCAAATACTAGGGTTTCCCTTGCTTGCGTCTCAAGAAAACGAGCTAGCCTAGGACGACTTGGTTGATAAGTCTAACATGCTTTATTCTAGAAAGTTTCGAACTGAATTTTAAATCTAAACATGGATAAACAAGATATAAAATACATCTCAAAAATATTCAAATTCCTTTTTTTGATCTTATGCTAATATAATCTAGTTAATTACATATACAAGCAAAAGCATGATGGAAATCAAATCGTCGTACCTGAAGAATCCATAAGAACAAAAATATGGATTTTGGATATGATGTTTCAAATCAAATTCTAAAAAATTTAGATCTCTAGTGATGCAAATAAGAGAAAAGATTTTAAGCTAAAGTTGATTTATGACCTTAATCTTCTATTTATATAAAATTCAATCCTTCATTTTTTTCTTCTATTGTTTGTTCTCATCTCTAAAATCTTTAATGTTATGACACATGTAACGTTTCCGATTTATGCCTCTCTCATTGTGATTTACACAGCCTTATTAATCTCTCATTTTATAAGTACAGTATTTATTTTCATAAAATCTAATACACATGGAAACGAATATTGAATATTAACTACAAATCTTTTCTAAAAGTCATCAACTTGACACATGAAACGTTTTCCTAATTTTTCCCCTCTCATTGTGATTTAGCCTTTTGACTTTCTCAATTTACTTATATTAAATTAATGGTTTATTGTTTATTGAATGCACAAATTGATTTACTATTTAAATTTAGGTGGTGTTATTCAATGATGGATTTTAATAGAATTGAAATCCAACACTAATCCGGTGTTATTCAACTAATGATTATAAATCTAACGTTAAAATCTGGTGTTATTAGATCTTATACTTCATTAGATTTTAAAAGTTTGGTGTTATTCAATGGTGTAGTTAAAGTCAATTCTTTAAGGTTTGTAAAATCCAGTGTTATTCAAAACTAAAAAACTTGTAAAATCTTTGTATATTAAGTCATTTCAAATGAAACCTCTTTGGAGTTTCATGAGTAAATTATTAGAATCAAAATTCAAGATATACTGCAGAGATTTTGAAATCCACACAAACAGATTATTCAAAACCAATATCAGAAAACAAATCTTTTTTTTTTTTTTCGCCATCAGAAAACAAATCTAAACCTTAAAGAATTGACTTTAACTCCACCATTGAATAACACCCCCTTACAATTTGGTTACCCTTTCCATATAATCTAATTCACAATTTAATATGTTTTAAATATAATCTAGTTAAATATAAATTATTCATAATTTTATAGCTTTATTTCAGTTTAAACATATTAAATAGATAAACATTTTAATAAAACATATAATATTAGATATATTAATAAAAATAAGACAAAAATTGATAATTTTGAGATATAATAATATAATACATAACTTAAGATATCTTACATGTAATTATCAATGTAAGATTTTGTTTCTTCTTCTAAATGTAGAGCTTCGAGTTAGACTCTTGTATTTGGCATTATCATAGAATCTGAGTATCATCCAAATAAAATAAAAATGTAGAGAAATTGAGAAAATTACTTAGGACGATCAAAAGCAGATGTCGAATCTCACCGTGGAGACGGGACGAAAAAAGCGGATGGAGGCACGCAAACGCCGGCGCGTGAGTATCCCGCCGGAGCGTCGACGACATCACCTAAGAAAACCGAACGAGAGGATCTCAGAGCGTCTTGTCTCCTAATTCCGAAGTTCTGATCCGCCGGAAACACAGTGGCGGTTCCCGCCGGAGCTCGACGACATCACTTGAGAGAGAGTGGCTTTCGGTGGGTGAGAAATTAAGAAACTAGAGACAAAACAAAGGGACAGTGGTCAGAGCTAACGTGCGCTCTCACGTGCATGGCACATGCCGCGGCTAACCGTGAAAAGGGCGTTAAACGCACCGCTTTACTTTTCAATTAATATTTATCCACCGTCGAAGCCTCGAAGGGGAGAATCTAACGGTTGATTAAGTGCCCGTGTTGGTTAGAGCATGATTATAGGTAGTCTCTTAGAAATATATTTTAGCAATATTTAAGTAATTTATTTGTAAAAGTGATTGTTAAGAGATAGTATTTTTGAGTTAAGATTTTTGTGTGATTAATGGTAGACTCTTAACATGTGGTTCTTAGAAAAAAATATATTAAGTTTCTAGGTGTGTGTTTGTACAAAAGACCGAAATCGTGTAATTTGATTTAGAAGTTCATGGTTTGATGCTCTGTTTGTAGAAAAGTGTAAAATGATTTCAGATTACAACATTGCAGCTCAATTCATTATGTGTCAATATTAGATCATAACTAATACTACAACTACAAAACCATGAAAAGAAGCAGTGACTAAATGAAAAACTCACTCATAATTCCATGAAAGCAAGTCATTGTTATATGTTTCCATGTAAAACTCAAAATGAAAAAGTAAGAGAAGAGTTGAGTAGCATACAGGATGACACAGACTTCATCTTCCTTTAGCTCTCCGGTGGGATCCACTGTGCCCATAAGGTAGTAAGATTCGGTCACAGGAAGCTTGCCTCACTCATAATTCCATGAAAGCAAGTCATTGTACAATGAGTTCTCTTTCCCATACTTCTTCTCAAAGATGTCTCGAAGATCTCCAAGCTCAGGAATCTCAGAGCATCTAGGTGCAGCAACAATCAAACTAGCAATACCTTCCTTATGATCCACAAGACATTGCCTAAAAAACTAGCAATACCAAATTCATTTCATGACGAATGCAGCAACCGATAAGGCTCCGATGTAAATACCAGTCAAGCAAAGAAAGAAGAATGCCAAGAAGCCTCCAGCAACAGCAAGTGAAATCAGAAGAGAGATTATGATAGCATTAGCTGTTGCAGCTACAAAGAAGAGTGTGAAGACAACCAAAGCCATTGTGTAAGAAGAAATATTGTTCCCATCTGCAACAAGAATAACAGGATAATAACAAATCAATATAATATGAGATACCCACGAAACTTGACTCAAATGGGTTCAATAAAACACTAAACTTTTCAATAAAGCATCAAACTTTTCATCAATGGTAAAGAGACACAGAACCAAGACGATTTAGGACACAAAATGTTAATTTACTTCAGGAAATCGAATTGAAGATAAAGGAAGGCTAAATTGAAATTGAAATTAGTCTCTAATTAGGTTCAATCATTGATCAAAGTCCACTTACAGTGATGACAAGCAGAGCACGAAGCGAGCTGCTTCTACGAGTCCATAGAAGAATCTCGCGTCCTGTTCTTTCAGAAGCTTCTCGAAGCTTAGGCCCATTTTCGGCGACGGAGTTTCTTACACATTCAAGAAACGAAGACGACGCATCACTAGTTTTCGAATTTGGGAACAAAATCGAACCTGAGACAAATCAAGGAATATAGACTCTTCAAATCCTCATGCTTCTCTACAGAGTCCGGTTTACGATAACCATTCTTCGTTCCTCCGTTGACAATTTCTTCTCCGACATCATCGCCACCGACAACGTCGACAATTTCTTCTTCTGTTTTTCTCTGTTTGGGGAAATCGCGAAGAGAGAGAGAGAAAACGCGACACCTGGTACCTTTTAACACTGAAAACGTTCCTTAGTTAAAAGCAGCATTATCAATTTAATTTAAATCATTTAAAAACTTAAGATTCACTTAACATCCCACCGATAATCATGCTCTTATGTCCAAGATCTCGTTATCCGCAATGAATTCGAACTATTATTATTACTCTATCAAACTTTTTGATAAAGGGTGCTCACTCTCATTAAAACGAAAAATACTTGAACAATCTCATGTAATTTCCATAAATTCAAACTTACTCGGATAATAAGATTTTTAGTAATGGAAAATATTATGTCATCGAAACCGAAGGTGTCTGACAAATAACTATATAGTTAAAGGAGTCCGATAATTATTTTTTAAAATCTTATAAACCGAGCTAAACCAATACCAGTACCAGCTTCGTTTTCTCTAAACCCAGCGTTTGGGATTCCGGTCGAATAACCCTTTGCCATATGTTGAACATCCCATCTTCCACAGAACAGGGCGCTGTATGAAGAAGAAGACCAAGATGGGAAAGCATGCGGGGATCAACAATATTGCCCTTAGCCACCACTCTTGGTGCACTGAGGTGAAGATTGCCGTGCAGAAGACCACTAGCATGCCCAACACTGAGAGTAAAAGACTCACTTGTCCCAAGAGCATCTTTGTGGGTAGCCTTTTTAGGAAGTCGAGGAACGAGTACCTCACCGTGAGGATGCCTAGGAAGATAAAGGTGGCCGTGCACGCAAAGAAGAAAGCAAATACGTCTGCGATGACAAAGACCCAGAGGCTAGCCTTGACAGCTGGGTGATCAGAGGTCGACTTTACACCCTCAGGAATGGTGAAAATTGCTTGGAAAGCGACTGTCGCAATGAGTATTGCGACGACGCTGCATGAAGTGGCCGTTCCTTTCATCCACGCTTCCGCTTTGTCTAGGAGATCTGTGTGATTTTCCTGGAAGCTATCCCACGGCTCCAGGTTCTCCTTGTTCATCCGTTCTCTCTCGCTAGTTGGAAGTAGATTTTCGACCTCTTTATACCAGAACAGCTCCCGCTGTAGCTCCAAAGGAGCAACCACTGGAGGTCCCTTGGGGATGACCTCCGGTTGGGCGACGACATGGAGAAGATTTTCTCCCTCGCCGTCCAGCTCCGTTACGAGGGTCACGCGCCTCTCGTCCAGATTGTAGTAAAGGCTGAAGATCTTGGCTTGCCTGGCGACGACGGCCAGGCTGAAAATGTTTGCCTCCAAGTAATTGTCTCTCGACCACAAGAATTGCTGATTATATTTGATGAGGCTCTTAATGTATTCCAAGTTGCCCCGGAAGACGGCCTGATAAATTCCGTCCCCGACTTTATAACGCCGTATCTCTTGGCTGTCCAAAGTGCAGAGCTCTTTCATCATTCTCTTTAGCATTGCCCGAGCTTGCCAGTTGCGCATCTTGAGCTCTGATACGTGACCGGCTCCTAGAGAAGAAAATAAAATCAACAGTTAGAATAAATATATCAACACAAGTACTGTATAAAAAAGGGTAATATATATTAAAGGACAAGCGCAAAATGCTACCAAATGATGTTGGTAACCATTGAAAAATCTTCCTCAAGACGTGACCTGCAGTTAGAAGAAGGATTAAAGCAAGGAATAGAGACACACTAGATATTCAACAATTCTTAATTACGTACGTTGAAATAGGTTCGTGGTCTCTGGAGGAGAATCCGCATCAAAATTTTGATGTGGACCCATCGGCGGCGGTGTGAATTCAACACCTGTAGCAGAAAACGGAAATTATTGAAGACTTTGAAAAGTCAAAGAAAAGCTGGTGAGGATAAGGAGAAACAAACTTACATGGGTAAACAATGCCTTCCCAAAACCCAAGATTCTCGGGGATTAGTAAGGCATCACATGCGGCTAGTCTAACAATTGGAGACGCTTTTGACTTGGGGTGCTTGGTTAAGGCAAGACGAGTCGGATACCTTGTGAGCATGTCCAGTGCGATGTCTAATCAACGGAAATCATTAAAAGAAATTATGAAGTTAGATTGTGAGAGAGATCAGAGAGCTAGAGAGATATATACTTACCCAACATTCCGTTGGTTATGACAGCGCCAAAGAGTTCTGAGGCTTGATAGCCGTCATTATAAAGCAGTGCCGTAATTGAGGTTTTCTTGTACAGAAAGCTAACAATGTCTTTCTTGGACATATTTGCTGCAAGGACGATGGGCATCTAGTTTAAAAAGAGTTAAGAACACAAAGATTTAAGAATAACTTTCTTATTGATATGCTTTAGAAAACTAACTCAAAAACTAAAGCTCACAAGAATCTCTCAAACTCAAATCTCTCTCTCAACTCATAAGCTATACCACAAGCTCGGTATATGCTTATATAGACTCGAGACTTAGACCTAATCCTAACTCGATTATGACTCTCGTGAATCTTCTAGATAACTCCTAAAAGATCTTAACTTTATCTTATTAAACCGATATCTTGCGGTTCAAGTAAATTCCGGTTTAGCCTTCAAGCTTAAACCAACAATCTCCCCCTTAAGCTTGAACTCTAGTTTCTCCAAGTCTTGAACACCAATGAGATCTCTCATCTCCTTAAACTTGATCCTTCCTAGAGCCTTTGTTAATATGTCTGCCTTTTGTTCTTCACCGGGGACATGTTCAACTTCAATTTGACCATTCTCAACACACTCACGTATAAAGTGGTGTTTCCGGTGAATGTGTTTGCTCCTACCATGAAACACCGGGTTTTTAGTGAGTGCGATTGCTGACTTGTTATCAACCCGTATGCTTACCCTTGTACATGATGCTCCAATGACCTCAGCTAACAATTCTTGGAGCCAAATAGCTTGCTTGGCTGCCTCCGTTGCCGCCATGAATTCAGCTTCACATGAAGAGAGTGCCACAACTTGTTGTTTTTGAGAGCACCATGTAATTGGGCATTCATTAAGATAAAACACATGACCTGCGGTGCTTTTTCCGTCATCAACATCCACATTATGGCTACTATCACTATAGCCAATCAATCCCGACTCTGCTCCTCGCTTGAAATAAAGACCATGAGACAGGGTTCCTTTAATGTACTTCAAGATCTGCTTTAATGCCGTTCCATGCGACTCCTTTGGCTCTTGCAAATAACGACTTAAAATGCCAACAGGAAATGAGAGGTCAGGCCGTGTGTGAATTAAGTACCTAAGGCACCCAATGTTTCTTCTGTAATCTTGTTCATTGACCTGTTTCTCTCTTTGTGCTTTAGAAAGTTCCAAACCTGCAGCCATTGGTGTTTGACTAGCGTTACACTCACTCATCCCGGCTTCTTCGAGAATCTTCTTAGCGTATCTCTCTTGTTTTAACACGATCCCATCTTCTCCCTGGATCACCTCAATGCCAAGGTAATACGTGAGCTTTCCTAAGTCACTCATCTCAAATTTTCCCGCCATTTCTCTTTTGAAAGCAAATATCAACTCCAAGTTAGAACCCGTGACCAACAAGTCATCGACATAAACTGCTACTACAAGAAGACTCTTCTTCTCTTGTTTTCTGTAAAGAGAGGGTTCTTTGGAACACTTTTCAAAGTTTAACTCCTTGAGGATTTTGTTTAGCTTGGTGTTCCAAGCCCTAGGTGCTTGCCTTAATCCATAAAGAGCCTTATGTAGCTTATAGACCTTTCTCTCACTTCCTTTGGTTTCAAAGCCTTCGGGTTGAGTAACATACACATTTTCTTTCAATTCTCCGTGGAGGAATGCGGTTTTGACGTCTAAGTGGTGTACTTCCCATCCGTTTGAGGCAGCTAACGCAATGATGAAACGTATTGTTTCGATTCGTGCTACTGGGGCAAACACTTCCTCAAAATCAATTCCATGTTTTTGCACGTATCCTTTAGCCACTAGTCTCGCCTTGTGTTTGTTTATGCTTCCGTCAGCGTTACGTTTTAGTTTAAAAACCCACTTCAAACCAATGGGTTTGCTTCCAAGAGGAAGGTCAACAAGACTCCAAGTGTTATTCTTTGTTATTGACATGATCTCTTCTTCACATGCATTCTTCCACTCTTGTGACTTGTTTGCTTCTTTGAAGTCCCACGGTTCTCCATTGATCGTAAGCAGCAGTTGATCTCCTTCTAGTTCCGCTAATAACACGTAATCACTTAGATAAGCTGGCTTTGTGATTTGCCTTTCTGATCTCCTCAACAATGGCGCCGGAGGTGCTTGCTCTGTTTCAATATACTCGGGTTCAACAGTCCTTTCTTCATCTTCCTCTTCATCGGAGTGATTCTCACTTCCTCCGTTCTCCTCTATTTCTTTATCATCTCCAATATCATCAATCCCATGATTACCAAAATCTCCTAGAGTGAGAGTAAAGGATTCTTGACTCGATATCTCCGAGTTGCTCCACTTCCAACCTTTATTTTCGTCAAAGATGACATCTCGACTTACTATGATTCTTCGAGCTGTCGGATCAAGAAGGCGGTATGCTTTTGAACCGGGTTCTGTCCCGAGGTGAACAAGTGCTCTAGACCTATCATCAAGCTTCCTTAAGTGTGGTCCATCGATTTTGGCATATCCTACACATCCAAATACTCTTAGATGCTCTAGGTTTGGCTTCTTCTTTTTAAACGCTTCATATGGAGTTTGATCAACCAAAGCTCTTGTCCCTACTCTGTTTATGAGATAAGTTGAGTGTCTCACAGCTTCTCCCCATAGATAATTAGGCATGTTCATGTGTTTCAAGATGCTTCTAGTCATTTCTAACAAGGTCCTGTTTCTTCTTTCAACCACTCCGTTTTGTTGAGGGCTGTATGGTGCGGTTAGATGCCTATTTATGCCTTCTTTCTCACAAAAATCTTGGAATTCATGGGACAAGAATTCTCCTCCTCTGTCTGTTCTAAGCGTTTTGAGCTTGCCACCACTCTCTTGTTCAACTAACTTCTTAAAGGCCTTGAATTTCTCAAATGTCTCACTTTTCTCTTTTAACAATATAGTCCACATGTAACGGGAGTGGTCATCGATTAAGACAAATACATACCTCTTCTTGGCAGCCGTTGGAGGTGATATAGGTCCACATAGGTCAGCGTGTACTAGCTCAAGACTTTGTGATGCCCGATACAGAGCAGTCTTTGGAAATGTTTTCCTTGTTTGCTTTCCAAGCAAACATGATGAGCAAATTCCTTTTTCCTTCGGAGCTGCTGGTATTCCCAAGACCAGTTCCTTTTCCACCATTGTTTTAAGAGTTTCAAGGTTAACATGTCCAAGACGAGCATGCCATTTATTTGAATCACTCGACTCTATAAGCTGTAGACAATTTGTTTCTTCTACTTCCAAGTTCACTTTGTACAGCCTGTTTCTTGATCGTGTCGCCTTTACTAACAGTTTCCCATCGCGGTCAAGCAAAGTTAGGTAATCTCTTTTCATTCTTACATCACATCCAGCTTCAGTGGCTTGTCCTAAGCTTATGATATTACTTTTTAGGTCAGGTATATAGTATACATCAGCTAGAACTTTTCTTTCTCCGGTTTTACTCATGAACAAAATGGATCCCTTTCCTTTTATATCAATACGCGAGTCATCCCCGAACCTTACCTTTCCTGTGATCTTCTCATCTAACTTGTAGAACCATTCACGATTTCCCGTCATATGATTACTAGCTCCATTGTCAAGATACCAAGCCTTTTCAGAACATGTCTCAAAATCTTTGGGCATCATATTCTTCTCATTTAAGAAAACTACTTCATGCATCATAAGAGTTTCTGCTTCTTGAGTATCGTCTTCTTCTGTCTCTTGAATCTTGATCAATTTTAAAAGTCGATCCGGACAATTTGAGGCATAATGCCCTGTTTTGTCACATCTATAACAAGTTACCTTGGACTTGTCTCTTTGTTGATAGGCAAAATCTCTGTTTTGGTAACCAAATCTCCCTCTGCCTCTTCCGAATCGACCACGGCCTCTTCCTCTACCTCCATCTTGTGAATCCGAGCTAGCATACAGGAGCTTGCTTTGGTCTTCTTGCGAATCTTCTTCATCACACACACGATCTTCATACGTTTTAAGCCTTCCTACAATGTCTTCAAAGGTTGTGTTTTTGAGATCAAGAACTTGCTCTAGGGCTGCAACTATGTGAATATATTTCCTCCTAGGTAAGCTCTTGAGAAACTTCTTGACAACCTTAGTTTCTTCGATGTTTTCACCTAAGGATGCTGCTTTTGTAGATATCTCGGAGATTCTTCCTGCAAAATCATCAATGGTATCACTCTCATTCATCTTTAATCTATCAAATTCGTTCATAAGTGTTTGTAGTCTTGCTTCTTTGACTCGCTCAGCCCCAAGATTCCTAGCTTTTATTCCGTCCCAGACACCTTTTGCGGTTTCATGTTCTCCAACTTGTAGAATCATTGACTCCGGTATAGACTGGAACAACAAGGCACGGGCCATATCGTTCTTTTCTATGTCACTGGAACCAGGATCAATTGTTTCCCACGCCTTATGCACTCGGAGAGTAGCCTTCATCCTCATACACCAAACCGTGTAGTTAGAGGTGTTTAACATTGGACATTGTATTGATGTAGTGCCTCCTTCTTTAGGTTTGTTAATCGTCGTGGCTAACTCACTCATGTCTTGGTCTCGGATAATCTTCGTTTGTCTAGGGTTTGAGAAACAAAGCAAACCTGCTCTGCTACCAAATCTAGTTTAAAAAGAGTTAAGAACACAAAGATTTAAGAATAACTTTCTTATTGATATGCTTTAGAAAACTAACTCAAAAAACTAAAGCTCACAAGAATCTCTCAAACTCAAATCTCTCTCTCAACTCATAAGCTATACCACAAGCTCGGTATATGCTTATATAGACTCGAGACTTAGACCTAATCCTAACTCGATTATGACTCTCGTGAATCTTCTAGATAACTCCTAAAAGATCTTAACTTTATCTTATTAAACCGATATCTTGCGGTTCAAGTAAATTCCGGTTTAGCCTTCAAGCTTAAACCAACAGGGCAACATCCCATCTTTATTCATGGGGGTTTCGGAATAGGCAGGTTTCTTCTCAAGCAGCGCCTTCGTTATTTCCAGGTTCCCGTTTGCAATAACCATGTATAGGAGTTTCCAGTCGAGCTTAACTTTGTCAGTATCATCCATTCTATCTAACATCGCCTTCACAATCTCTTCGTGCCCACAGCTACAAGCTCTGTGAATTAGCGTTTCTGTCGCACTAATCCTTTCAGTAATCAAAAATTGGCCGTTGCTTAAAAAGTTACGCACGGCGTCGGCCTCACCGCCGCTTATGGCTTTACTAAAATGCTCGAACTTAGAGAAGGCGTCATTGTTTCTCGCTGCAATGAGAAAAATAAGGAAAATGAAAGTGTTAAGTACTCAGATTCCTTACCTTTTTTTCTTCAAATTTTGACAATGAACTTGGGAGCAAGAGTCTACCTTGTAGGCGAGCGGAGTTAGCGATCATGTGTTTCACCTCATCTACATCCGGACAAAAGAACGAAAAGCAGAGCGATTAGAAATTCATTTAATTCTTCAGTATTCAACAAACAAATATATATATATATATGAGATCAAGAATTTACCTTCGGGTTCAAGCACGGGGTCCGTTGCGTGTAATATCTCTTTCAGCATTTGATCCAAGTGGGAGGCCTCGAAGCATGGGATATTCAGTTGATCTACATCCAGAAAAAGAGCGATAAATTAAGTCCTTTCTCAAAAATGTAAGATCAGGCTGACCTAAGAAGAAATCTATTTGTTTCTTGTTTTCCCTGCAGCGACTAATACTCTTAATTTTGTTTTTCAACATTTACCTTCTAGTTTTTTGAACTCCAAGAGGACGGCCTCAATCCTTGGTTTTACTGGTAAGATTTCTTCTTCGATCCCTTGGTTGGCGAGTCGGCCTTTAATTTCATCTACATCCGGAAAAAAAAGAAGGGAAGAGCCATAAGTAACTCATTCATTTCTCAAAATTTAACTATGAAAATGGGATCAAGAACTTACCTACTAGAGATTTGTACTTAGGAAAGAGATTAAGGATGCTCCTTCGGTTTGCTGCTATTAATTGTTGGTGTTCCTTTATCTCGGAGAATTTGTCAAGCAGGGCATCTACGTCCAGTAAACACAAAAAGGTTATAAGTAGTACACAGAAAATTTCATTTTTCAAAATTTTAATGAATAATGAAAATTGGATCAAGAATGTACTTTGGCTTTTCTCCATAACCTTGAAGTAACCCTCCTTCATATCCGTTTTTTTTTCTTCGCTCTCATGGGAGGCATCTACACACACGGAAAAGAAACCAAAGAAAAAAGAAGAGCGATTAGTACTCATTTCGTTGCCAAAATAAACAAAAAAGAATATGTTTTTTTTTTTTTTTTTCTTCAAGATTTTACCTTCTGGAAGATTTTTGAATTCATCACCCATCACCTTCTCAATTTCATGTTGTCTTACTAAGCATTTTTGAAGCTCTTGTTGATCGCTCAGATGGGGGGCAAGTGCGAATCGGCGAACCAATTGATCTACATCCCGAAAAGAAGGGAAGAGCGATAAGTAACTCATTTCATTCGTCAAAATTTAACTATATTTGAAAATGGCATCAAGAACTTACCTAGTTTACGTCTGTTACCAACAGATGTATCTTTCATAAGGCATTTTCTTTCCCAGTCAAGTTCTTCATGTTGTTTCACCTGGGACTTTTTGCGAAACAGTTTGCCTACAGCCGGGGAAAAAAAAGTGATAAGTAGTACTCCATTTTTTTTTTCCCCCAAAATTAACAATGAAAATGGGATCAAGAATGTACCTTGTATAGGGTGTTCAAAAAAAAAAAAAAAAAAAAAAAAGAATGTACCTTGTATAGATTCAGTTTTACTGACGAGAATCTCGACAGTCATCTTTTCTGGCCAGACCTCTTCAGTCTCTTCATTCACGTCATCTACAACCGAGGAAACAAAACAAAAATACACACACAGAAAAAAGAAGATCCTTAAGTACTCTTTCGTTTTCAAACTGTAACAATGAACAAATTAAAGGGGTCAAGAATTTACCTTGAGAGGCTACTGATGAGGCCGTGTCTTCTGATGAGTCCTCTTCAGTCTCTTCATTCAGTGCATTTACACCCGGAAAAGAAACAAGAAAAAGAAGAAGATCCATAAGCACTCGTTTCGTTTTCACAAGTTAACAATGAACAAATTAAAGGGGTCAAGAATTTACCTTGAGAAGCTACGGCTTCGTCGTCATTGTTGTTAATCTCTGACGCTGATGAGACCGTGTCTTCGTTCGAGAGCTCCTTAAGAGACATATCTTCTGATGAGTCCTCTTCAGTCTCTTGATTCCGTGCACCTACACCCGGGAAAATAAACAAGAAAAAGAAGAAGATCCATAAAGCACTCGTTTCGTTTCAGAAGTTAACAATGAACAAACTAAAGGGGTCAAGAATTTACCTTGAGAAGCTACGGCTTCGTCGTCATTGTTGTTAATCTCTGACGCTGATGAGACCGTGGCTTCGTTCGAGAGCTCCTTAAGAGACATATCTTCTGATGTGTAATGATTCTCTATCACTTTTGATGTGTTATGGTTCTGTATCTCTTCAGATGTGTATACTGCATCTCTTTTATAGTCGATTTCCTACTCTCTCCCTTTTCATTTGCTTCTCCATCAATTAATCCACGGGCTTTAAGTTATCCACTTCGGGTCTATTTTGTTGTTGTCATGTCATTTTCTTCCTGTACGAATATTCTCCTCGATTCAGTAACGAGAACTCATGTCAATGTGGAGTCGATTGAAAATATGTGTTTTGAAAATGTAAGTTTCTTAATTTAAAAATTTATAACTCTTTTATTTCGTCACTTTTTAATTATCACGGTGCAAGATTTTTTGAATTATATTTTTACTTTTTTCTTTTTGTTGCGTGTCTGAATTTCTTTCATAGTTACTACTGAGAGAGTACGTGATATATTTCTTATGTTCCTTTTAAAAATATATTTTGGTTTAATAATAATTAAATTCGCATTCAGTGGAACACACGTGATCTCACACACAACAGCTTAATTCTTCATATACTAATATTGTGAATAGAAAAAGAAAAAGAAAAAAAAGAAGAAGAAGGAGAACGGGATTAAAATGAGTGACTTTGACCTGTTTTCCAAATTCCCTGACCTAAAACGCTTGAACACGACCTAAGCTGTAAACCCTAATGCAGGATTCTTTATGACTCTCTTGCATCATCATCATCTCTTGTCTAATGTTTCTGCGTACTCAATGCAGTACAAGTTTTTAGAAACTAAAATTTGCTAAGAAAGTAATTCTATGCGTATCCGAGTTTTTTTTCACAAATGCTACTTAACGTACATGGAGTCAGGGAGAAGAACAGTAATTTCTTAAGTTCTTTGTCAAAGAAAAAAAGAGTTTCTTAATAATAATTAAATTGTTAATTCGCGTTCAGTGGAAACACACATTAAGTCACAAACAACAACATATCCTAGTATTCTTTATTATGACTTCACATGTGTAATGTCTCTTGACTTTCGTGAGACCCTTTCTATTTATAGCCGATTATCTGCTCACCCTTTCCCATACGCTTAAGTTATTCCCTTTTTGTCATTTTGCTGTTTCATGTCATTTTCAAACTCCACTAATATCCATTAGCATTCAGTGGAAACACATTATTTCACACACAAACAACTTATTAATTCTTCATACTGACATTGTGAATTAGAAAAAAAAAAGTGATTGTAAGAATATCTATAACAAAGAAAAGAAAGTGGTTGTGACTTGTGAGTGTTTACAAATTGAGAATTAGACTTAATTGAAAATAAAATGCTTGACTTTTCCAAATACATGAAAACCCCAAACATAAAAAGTTAAAAACGCCTGAAAGTCCAATTGCATCATTTTTTCTCATGTGCAATGTTTCTGCTCTCCCACTTCCCATACGCTTCATGTAATTAATTTTTTCATCTATTTTGCTGTTTCATGTCATTTTCTAATTACACCACTAATATCCTCCTCGATTGGACTTGTGGTCCTTACAATTAATTTTCATCTTGACTATATTTTCCAATCTTACTTGCTATGAATAGCAAAACCTTTGATCAAACTTATCACGAATTAAATTCCTCATTAGTAATATTACATTGCACTGATTTATTCGATTGGTTTGGTATAATTAAAATTGATGTGCACAACAACATCCTGGTTTAACCTAGCTACCTTCGTTGTTAAGAAACGAAATGGAATAACCTAGAGTTGATTAAGAAACCATCAAATATAAATGTCAAGATCACATCACAACAACATCCCTCTTTCTAGTCTTTTTCGATGAATGCCCCCTATAACGAAAAAAAAAGAGTGAAACTGTCAAGAATCTCCATGACATAAGAAGAGCAACGGGACCTACAAAAGCTATAATTCTGAAAGGTTTGTAGCTACTAGCTAGTAACAAATCTGACATCCTTAATTAGTTTCATCCAAAGGGACCCTCACTTTTTTTTTCTTTTAAATTATAAAACATTCATATTCGATCTTTTTCATATGTTTTGCCAGGAGGAAAAAAAAAAAGGTTACTCAATTTAATAATTATTTTATTGAGTCAAATTAATTTATTAATCAAGTACACGTTTCTTAAAGTTAAAACCTTGCTAAGAGAGTAGCTTTTGATGTGTAATGATTATGCATCTTGTGTGATGAAAAAGAAAAGAAAAGATTATGCATCTTGTGAGTTGCGTGACTCTACACGAATATTCTCCTCAATACACTAATGATGACTCGTGTCAATGTGCAAAAATGTGAAGATAATACGTGTCTTGAATTAAGTTATTCAATTTAATACTCCTGTTTTCTTTCGTCACTTTTTAATTATCACAGAATACGTTCTTTCCGAAATTCAAATTTGCTACGAATTTTTTTTTTGGGGTCGTATCTGAGTTTCTTTTCATAAATGCTACATGGTCTAGAATACATGGAGAAGAACTACAATTACCTACCTACTTAAGTTCTTTTGAAAAATCTGAAAGAAGAATTCACAACGGGTTTCAAAATGATTGCGAAAGTGTTTACAAATTGAGTATTAGAAGAAAACATTAAAGAAAAGAAAATGCTTGACTTTGACCTGTTTTACAAAAACATGAGAAGACCTAATCCTAAAACGCTTGAACCGAACCGACATAAGCTAGTAGAAACCCAAATGCCAGACCTAATTAAACCAGTCAGGATGTTGCATCTACTCAGAGAAATAATCTTTAATATGCCAAATGCATTGGGACAAAACAGTATGCATGCTTTAATGCATCATTGTTTCGAAGATTTCAGTAAATATTATCTTCTTTTCCTTTTTTCTTAATATAAATTTCAGTAACTATTCGTTGTATCATTCCTATTCGTAATTTCGTTGTACATCAAAGATAATTGATTGGTTTGTGGCGTTGGGTTAACTTAAGTACGGTTTTTTTTGTTTAACCATGCTGTTCAAATTAGACTAAGTAGTACGCAATTATTACTTCCTCTCCCTGTTCTAAAAATCCCCGCCTAGCCCCGATTACTCCCCGCTTAATCGCTAGGCCCACCCTATCCGCCTCGATTAATGACTAATCCCCTAAAAAATCAGTAACCCGATTATTCTCCGCCTAATCCGATTACTTTCCGCCTAATCTTATATACCCCGATTATTTTTTAGATTGCAAGTATAAAAAAACTTTTTATTTTTGTTATTCAATCATTTGAATGGAGAGTTTGTGATGTTTTACAATAACTTGTGTTCAAATTTTAATAAAAATCATAAATTTGTAATAAAAATCATAAATTTTTACAAAATTGGATTAATATATTTTAAAAATATTAAAATAACTCTAAAACTAATCTCCGATTAATCCTCGATTTTAATCCGATTTTCCGATTAATCGCTAGGCCCATGCCGAGCGCCCGACTAGCGCCTAGCGATTTTTCAAACAAGGCTTCCTCTGTTCCTGAAAGTTTGATGTTTTGGTTTTTCTCCTTGTCCTGAAAGTTTGATTTTGTAGAATTTATTTAATGTTTTATTTTATTTAAATTAATTAATGATAAAAAGTGGAGTTGAGTAACTCCTACTTTGCATGTGTTAGTAACACAACACACTATCCGACATTTCAATAATGAGATGTTTTAATTAAATAATACATAATTTTTTTTCTTAATTTATATGCAAATCTTAAAACATCAAATTTTCAAGTATAGAGAAAGTATTATTTTGACCACATTTTATTAAGATAGTACTATATTATTTGACCCATTTGCCATCTGGAATACAAAACCCTACCTGATAGTTAAAACAACAAGTTTCCTCGTGATTGCGACGGACGGTTCAAAACAAAACAAAAATGATTGAGACGGATCTCTTACTAACCCCACCCACCCCCAAAATACCACTTTAGTCCCTCATCTTTGTAGACAATCGTACTTTAAACCAATGTGAAAGGATATCTGATCCAATAGTTTCTTGTCTGTTGCTCCTTGTATTTTTCTAAGGGTGAGTTACCCTTTGCCACACTTTCTTCAAGTTTACTAACAAAACACACACTTTTTGTGTTTTCCAATCTTTTTACACTGTTGATTTTAAATCAATACGAAAATGACCCTGAAACTAGATGTTAGGTGTAAAAGAAAACGTTTACATACAAACATATTTACATGATTCTTTTTTTTTCTCCTTCATCGTAACTTCTCTTTCTCCCTCTCTCTCTCTCTTTTTTTTTTCTCTCATTATCTCTTTATTAGCATTTTAATTACTTAAAATCACATATCTTATCATTTTTTTATACAATAAATTAAGATTTAGTTTTTCATACATTTTAAGATCCATTTTACTATATTTTAAGTGAATAATTATATTACATATTATCCATTTCTGATTGAACATTTGTTAGTTATTAAATGGATATCCATAGATACTTTGAACAAACATACTACACCAATATTTTTAACTATCGATCATCCAAGCATATCCGCTATACTCTGACCACATAGATGACTAAGGATTCGGTTTTTCGATAGACTATACATCTGCCAAACTCTGAACAAGTATGTTGTTCATATTTTACTATTAGATATGTTTTTATTTGTTTATCTGACCATCCGACACTGAACACATGGTAAAAGTTAATATATACAAGTATTTATATACAATGTCTACGGACATTTGAACATATGAACTCATTTTTTGCAAAAAAGCCACACATGCAAACCATAAACTCAAAACCCAAAATTATTAAACTTAAATTCACACCATTTTAACAAAATTTGTGTAATTATCCATTTTTGATTGAACATTTGTTAGTTATTAAATGGATATCAATAGATAAGTACAAATAGATCGATTAAAAATAGTTATTTGAGTCAATGGTCGATTTTAACTATATTATGCAAAGGTTGTGACCATTTTACATGAGTTTCTTTGTTACCATCATCTATTGTTAATTCTTTCATTGTTATTTATTTGTCATCCATATCAACAAATCCATATGTTCATATACATGGTAATTTGCATTAATCTTAGGGTTCACCTTGTGCCATATCGATAACATCAAAGTAGTAAACTTCAAACAAATGAGGCAAATAAGTGATGAACATTATCACAGAACTATGACCAAGATCTCCAAGCACATAATAGTTTTATGTAAACAAAACCATTAATCTATAGTTTAATCTGAGAAAATGACATAGAAATAAGGGGATGCACTTCAGTCTCTTCTTTGAACGATGCACTCTTCTCCACACCCTTACGATTGCTCTCATCTTCTTCAACAGCTTTGACTTCTTCTTCTTCCACAACAGATTTCACAGTAGTCCCCTAACACTAATTAACTTTCTTTTAGTTGAGATCTAAAAGAAACAAGCTTACTTCTTCTTCCTGATTGATTCATAGAGATCTATAAATCAAAAACGTAATTCTTGCTAAACCCTAACGATTAAACGAACTCAAACAACAAAACAAAAGGAATCTTACTCAATTTCTTGTCTCAACTAACCAAACTAATTCCATCATCGAGAAGAGGAATTGATCCAATAAGCTATGGAGAGATGGAGAGAGGAAGGCGGTACAAATCATGGAAGGAGAGAGAGAGAGAGAGAGAGATCCTTTATTTTGCTATGGATCGTCAGAATCAAGGAGGAAGAAGAAGAAAGAGAAGTAGATGAAAGTAACGAAGAAGAGGAGGATTGGGTTTAGATAGTATGCTTAGTTAGAGGGTATAAATGACTTAACACACATAAAAAAGATGTGAAAACTTAAAAGTGTGTCTAAGTGAAAGAGAACTTGAAAAAGTGGGTCTAAGGGTAAATATCTCTTTTTCTAATTAAAGATTTTATTTGACTCCCAAATATTTAGATTTGCTCACAAGTCAAATAAGTAGTCAGTCACAAGCCACGAGTTACGAATCTTTATTTTTTGGAAATTATTATGAGATTCTCGCTCTGTTTTAAAATTATATCCGTGGGAAGAAAATTAATATAAATATAATATGTTTCGTAGTCAACATTGTAATTTGTAAATAATGAGATGCGTTGTTTTTTTACCCATGAAAAGAAATATAGCTAATCGAGTCCGAAAAATTACTCTTTGTAAACAAATTAATAGTACTACTTGAACGGAAATACATTTGACGTAAAAACATTTTTATAGGTAATCATGCAGTTACATATCTTTTGAGATTGTAACATTTTGTTTGACATAGATAGAAATTGTTCATATACCAAAACAAAGAATTTTTTGTTAAGACTTTTCTTATCATCATTAATTACTTTGATAGAAATTAGATGTACAATTGGTCAGCGTTTGTATTATTATATAGGTTTTTTTTTTAATTTTAAATACTTTCTATTTCACGACAAAAAAAAAACTTTCTATTTCACGACAAAAAAAAAACTTTCTATTTCTTGCGGCATATATATGGTGCAATAGTAGTAGAGGAGGTTTTTCAAAGGAAAAGTACACGTCTGAGAATCAAGAGTTAAGATGTCAGTTCTGAAAACAAATGACTAAATTCATTTGTTGTATCCAATGTTCAAGAAAGCGCTAAGCGCTAAGTGGGCGGTGACCCAGCGCCTATCACCTAGAACGCCTAATCGGGGCCTAGGCGATTTTTAGGCGGTTTAGACGTTTATAACATAAAACATTATAAGTATGATATTATATATAAAAGTTATAGAAAAAATCTAGAAAAAAACTAGAAATACGAAATCATAAACAAAAATTAGATAAATCATTTATTTATATTCATACTAAATAATATATGAATATTTATAACTATTTATATATAAATAAATTTATTCAAAAATCAATAAAATACATTAAACAAGGTCTATGTAATTTTAGGCGGTCAAGGCGGTTATCTAGGCATCGCATAAGAGCCTAGCGCCTAGTCAGGGCCTAGGCGACCGCCTAGACCGCTTTTTAGAACACTGGTTGTATCTAGCTCTTACTCGTAAACATTACTTTTTGCTTTAACAAATAAAAGAGAAAAAAAAAACATTATGGAAAAAAATTGGAACGTTTTTTTTTTTTTTTTTTTTTATCGTAGAAAAGCAACATATAATTCGAGTGGCAGGAGGAAGCCTCTCGTAAATTCAAAAGAAAAAAAAAAAAGTACGGCGTATGAGCATGTAAATTTTGGTTTTAACTTTATAGTAACTATTAATTTAGTAAAGCCGAAAAAGTAATAATGAAGCTCACCCAAAAAAATGATAACACAAAAGATTTCGTTTTTTCTAAAGGCCCAAATCACTATTCCCTCCAAATCTCCATTCTCTAGAGAGAGACCTCTACTCCAATTGTTAAATCCAGCAGGTGGGATCTCTACTAATTGACCACCAGATCTGAAGCACACTATATTAGAGTATGGTTTTATATGGTTTAGTAAAATTGATTTCTGTTATCGTAAACCGGAGTAAACCGAATCTTATATAAAATTGATTTCTGTTATTGTAAACCGGAGTAAACCGAATCTTATATAAATTTGTTCTTCGTCTCTGTAACAAACTTTTTGTTCTCTAACACACTAGACTAAATAAATTTTGTGGCTTTCCTTTGTTCGTTGGTATTAATTGAGTCGCCATTGAAGAACACGATGATGTTTCTGGAGGGTTTTCTTCGATTCCCAGAGTTTGTTGAATTGATTCGGTCCGTTTGCTTATACCTTTTCGATTTCTGGGGTTTTAGATCGGAGGCGATGAATTGGATGAAAGAGAGGAGTTGAGAGTAAAATTCAACCTGTTACCTAAATTCAGGTAATTTACTGTTACTTCATTCCATTGTTTTGTTATTTTTTATTCATTCGATTTACTGTTATTAGTCGAGCCAATTTCATTCAATTGTTCATCGTTTTATGATTCCATACTCGTTCCCTTTATATAGTATGATGGTTTCAATTTAGTTTGAAGTTTAGTAAAGGCATACAATAGAACCTAAACCCTGATTCGTTTTTTACCTGTGTTAATTTTAGGATATATAAAACCCTTGAAATGTAATTTTGTACATTTCTTGCTACATCTATAACACTGGTCATGCTTCTAAAAAGCCAATGTAATGCCTCAGGTTGGTGAAGTTCCAGGGAGTTCGGTTAAAGAATGGAGTGATAGTAAGAGTCAACTGTTGGCTGAAGAGGTCTTCTTCTTCCAGTAATAATCCAGCTTTGCTTAAGATATGCGTAGCACATAAAGGACCTGAATGCGGATGCCGTTTTCCAGCTGCTTGAACGCTGATGATATCATCGGTTTTCTCCTCCAGAAGACGCCATAAATCTAGTTCGATGGGTGTACATCCAGAGTCTGGGAGTTCCAATGTTCCTGTTGTAGAAAGAGATCCAATGAAGCTCTGGAAAGAAATGAAACAGAACGGGTTTCTCTCTAATCCGCACGGTGGGGTTTCACCGGCATCAAGCAGCTGTCTCGTCTCATCTTCTCTTCGAGGGATATGGACGCAAAAGCTAGAATAATGATGGCGCTCGAAGAAGACAATGATAGAGATTGCAATGGCGAGCAAAGTTGACAGGTTCACTAGCCTAGCTGCTCATTGTAGACTGCTTAATGAAATTGAACCCTGGAGTTATTAACCATGTGAGAAACGAAAAGCTGCTAGACTAGCTGCTCCTAGTAGACTGCTTAATGGAATTGAACCCTGGAGTTATTAGCCATATGAGAAACGAAAAGCAAGTACTTCCATTATCGAAAAAACATTGTCAACTCTGGACGAGATTCTGGAAACTTCTATCACCTCCCCATGAGGCATAGTAATACTGCAGTTGGGGGGGTTCCAAGAGGAACTTGGATGCTGTGAACACCGATGCCTCCAGATCTGATTCTTACCCAAGGATTTTCAAGTATTCCATGCCAGACTGTAACTACTCTATGCACTACTACGATGAGAACAATAGAGTTTGCTCGGATGGTGAGTTCAGTGATGAAAACAATACATTTGTGTCGAGGTTTCAGGCGGCAGATTACTTCTCAGAAAATGCCAGTTCCTCGTCGAGGAGGATGCATCAGATCTTTACAGTGCTAGTCTTCTCACTGTTAAAGGTATGTCTACTTGAACTCAGTGCTCAGTCTGCATGGTTTTATCATACGTGGCTTAGATGGATCTTCTTCTTTTGTTTGCAGCCGCTACCATAGCTTCTCAATGGTTGGAATTGCAGGACATAAAAGGCCGTGTTTCCGGTAACCAAAACTCATGATTGTCTACATGACCAGATGGATGGCTCTGTTTAACCAACTCGAACACAATTCTATTACAAGAAGAGTCACAACTGGTAATATAGATAAGATATCTTTACCACACACCTTGCCTTTTTTTTATTGGCGTATCATATGGAGTTTGTAAACTCTGAAAATGCAGGAAAGCTGGTTAAACCAAGTGAGAGATCTGCAATCACACTGTGATAAAAGACTAGATTTTTCTCATTACTAAGAGAACCTTGCAACATTTTGAATGATAGTGCAAGTTAAACAACTACATTTTCTGGATAATCCGTTTAACAAAAACAATCTAATCACACATATAGCGTGCCTTACTTTCATTATCTAGGCCTGTCACTGAGATGCTAAAGTCTCACTCCCCTTGTATCAGCCATTTTCTAAATGCTTGGGTCTTATGCATATTTCAGAATAGCGTGGGTACTGCTGATGAATTCTTTTTGGCTGCAAATCTTGAATCTTCTGGCTCACCTCCAAAAAGGTCCCCGCCATTTCTCACCCTCTCCCATTGTAACAAATCCAGAGTGGTGCTAGTCACCAACTGAGCCACCATTAATGCGATCAGAATCTATTGATTCACCACAAGCTAAAGAGTTGACTGTTGATGACATTGAAGATTTTGAGGACGATGATGATCTTGAGGAAGTTGGTAATTTCAGGATCTCAAGGCGAACTGCCGATGATGCGGCTGATCTTGTGCCAAAGCTGCCCCTCCTTTGCGACTGGTAAAAAGATTGGAAAATGCATATCTTTAAGAAGTAAATTTGATAAATAAATACTGTTGTTATTGTTATTCCATTGGATAATCTCATAGACTTGTTCAGATCACACGTGCATTTGTAGACTTGGTGATTTATCATATATGGACAGGGCACTTTAGCTCGAGAAACAAAGGAGTACTTCTAAAATTATCATTACTTATACCATCCAGTATCCAGAGCTTACTACGACTGGACCATAAGTAGTACACCCATATGAAAAATCAAGAATCTGCTGATTTATTAAGAAAGTTGCAATGTATTTCTGTTTCAGGTATTACAGATGATGATCTCTGTGAAACTGCATTTGAAATCCTGTTGGGTGGCGCTGGAGCTTCAGGGTATACAGAATATTGACTTGCTTACTTTTTACTTTCTTTGTTCAGTTGAGGTGTGCTTTTAATTTCAGTCAGAGTACTGATAGCATTCTCATATGTTTTCAACATGTATTATGTCATCGTATAAAGGTCTCATAGCACCATCAAAAGAGAAAAAAAAAAGGAGAAGAGCAGGTCTAGGCTGAAGAGGAAGCTTGGTCGCAAAAGTGAGAGTGTTTCTCAGTCTCGGAGTTCATCAGGATTGGTTGCCCTTTTAGAAATGATGAGGGGCCGAATGGAGGTCACTCCCTCTCTCTATCTCTCTCGCTGTTACTTTCTTATCTCTATTGGTTGAGGCATATATGGTTTGTTCAGGCCATGGATTTTACATATTTATTACTCTATTGTGGAGTTGTTCTTATATAAGTATCATGTCAAGATGCCCTCAATTTTGTATGCCAACTGTCTCTGCTCATTGATTTTTTAGCATTCGTTCGGACATTTTTCGCTGGGTTCCTCAGTTTACTCTTTCCATATGTCAATGCATTGTATTATGTTTTTGGTGTTGTTGTCTACACTACCATATGAATCACAGTTAACCCACTTCATGTAATTTTTGTGTAAATGACAATCAATAATTTGGGCGCATACAGATTTCTGAGGCCATGGACATCAGAACAAGACAGGGGTTGCTTGATGCCCTAGCGGGGAAAGTTGGCAAAAGAATGGACAGCCTCCTGGTGCCTTAAGAATTGCTACGTTGCGTGTCTCGTACCGAGTTCTCTGACAAGAAAGTGTACTTACGATGGAAGAAAAGGCAGGTAAAGACCACTTTTCACATCTGGGTGTAATATTGACCGCTTTTTTCATTTAGTATTTTGGTCCTATCATCTATAAACGTTTGGTATCTCAGTCAAACATGTTAGCAGAGAGGCTCATTAACAATCCAGTTGTTGGGTGTGGAGAATCAGGTCGTAGGGCAACTGACCTGAAGAGTCTTCTGCTAAGGATTGAAGGATCAGTGGTATTGTTTCTACTTTATTATGTTTATGTGATTTATTGATGGTGTAGACGTCAGATACTGAGAGTGGTATTTTATAGGTTTTTTCTTTAAGGGTGTGGCATTATAATATTCAAAGGCTCGTGGAGATTTGAAGTCTGCCAGTGGGCTTATGGCTATCATTTGAATGTATGAAAAATTGCAGTGGGCTCAGTCTCGGAGTTCATCAGGATTGGTTGTCAAAATATTATTGAATACATGTTCCTTAAAAACCTTGCAGCGTAGCCTATTAGTAACATTTTGTCCGAATTACATAAAATGAAATTCCATGCTGAATCATTTTTTTGAAACGTTTTCTTAATCAGCTAAATCTCTAACCAAAATAATTAACGTTCATAAAATAATCACTGTTTGCATCAGAATACCTAAATATGCACCCATATATATTCCTGAAATTAAGTTCTCCGGTAAAAAAATTGGAATTTTTGTTTTCCACAAATGATATGGGGAATTCAATATAAATGATCAAAACCAAGTTCGGCAAATATTAATTAAAATAATTATTTTTCTTCACGAAAGTATAAAACTAGTTTTTTTAAGGTATGTTAATTATAGTCTATTTTGTTTAATGCCTTTCAACCAACCCAACATTTCATGTTTCTGCCGAAGATTCCTTTGCCGTAAGTCGAAAAGATCATTTCTTTGAGGAGAGGATACTGAAGCAGAACAAACAGCAGCGCCGGTAAACAAGCGAGAAGGATCGTCGGAGCAACGATCCATTTCTCTTTATCCATCATCGTGAATAGGGCCGACGAGAAGGCAATAAGCATTGCCCCGATTGAAACGAACAGTATGGAGAGTCCGGCGATCATCTTTGCCGGTAGCGAGAACAAGAAATCATCGAAGGAGTACCTTGCGGTGTGTATCCCGAGGAAAATGAGGACGGAGGTGCAAGCTGCGAAGCAGGAGATCAGATCGGAGACGACGAATGTGGTGAAAGCACGATCACGTAGGTGAAAGGGTTTGCCGTGTGAGTTGTAGTTGGGGACGGTGAAGACGGCCGCGAAGGTGACCGTGAATATGAGAGTCGCGACTAAGCTGCACGACATCGCCGTGTATTTCATACATTTCTCAGCTTCTTGCCGCAATGTTTGGTGCTCCTTTGTGAATATCTCGATTGGTGTTTGTCCACTTGTGTTTACTCTCTGCTTCTCCATCTCTGGTACAATTTTCTCCACTTCCTGTGTAATCAAAGCCACATTTTTATACGCACCTATGTTTTACCATGCATTAAGTTTCTTATTGTGTCTGGATTATGCATATTATAAGGTGTTTAGTTAATTTGGCATGTTCCATTAAATGCATGGTTGAGACTGAGAGAAACAGAACGAACCTTGAACCATTGTAACTCACGTTGCATCTTCAAAGCTGCGCCAGTAACGGTAGAGAGCTTGCAAGGAGGAGAAAGATAGCCGGCGAGATGAAGCATACCATTGCCATCACAGTCCCTTTCCGCAAGCAACAAGTACTTCCTATCGTCCAGACCGTAGAGTAGACTAAACACTTTTTCTTGTCTCAACTCGACGGCCAAGAGAAACAGAGTTCTACTCAAGCTCGTTTTCGTGGACCATAGAAGCTCGGAGTTGTTCTTGATCATCTCCACCAAGAAATCCACATTCCCATACCTCACTGCAAAGAGTAAGGCCTCACCCACTGTCTCGGAACGTTCCTTTAATCCCATGGCCCGTGTTTCTTCTGATATTACCAATAAAAGCTTCTTGGCTTGTAGATGCATAACCTTCAGTTGGTACACTTCATCTATTCCTGAAACATACCTCAATTCAGATTTCTTATAAGAAATAATAACATGTAAATATCAAACAACCTTTGCAGACGAAAATCTATACTTACCAGTCCATTTGGAGAGACACTTAAGCAGCTTCCTCATCAGGGTAGCTGGACAGAGAGAGAGAGAACAAAAAACAAAAACAAATCTAAACGTTTCTCACTTTCTTTAGAGGAATATGGAGACTTTTTATCAAGTTATTCATATCTAAGAACTTACTTTGCTGATCTTTTTTCGGATAAAACCAACCTGGATTAGCCTGAAGCTTTACTTGTATACCTAGCAATTGAGAACAGCACGTTAATAAGTTTTTCTGAATCAAACTAAAAGGCATAAAAGTTGGAGTCATCTTTGTAATAAAGAGGTCTTGGATTAGTACGGACAATCGTATATAATGCGTTCCAATGGTCCGAGACGGCAGCCGCTGGGAAAAAGGTCCGGTTTTGAAGCTAAAACGATGATGGGAGTCGACTCTATCTGCAAGTGTTTTGTGACGGCAAGGTAGCGTGTCTTTGCGCAAAGAAAACACAACGCAATGTCTATTTTATGAACAAGCAGATTCAGAATAGATCAATGATTCCGTTTTTAGTTATCCAGCTAAAACATGTTTTGCTTGAAATTCAAGAAACCACTTACCGATCATTTTGTAGTAGATGGCGTTGATAATGAGCAAGGTACCGTGGTACCCATCCTCATCAAGTAACAGAGAACGCATAGTTTTCATGTAAAAGTACCGAGCCATCTCTTTATGCCCGTTCTCAATTGCAACCACGGCTGGAAGCTGTCCATTCATGCCCGGCATCTTTAGCAGCCCAAAGTTCTTGCCAAGCAAGTATTTGGCAATCTCCATGTTTCCGGTGACTGCTACAACAGTGAGAGGTGTGTGGTATGAAGTGTTATGGCTCATCTTGGGAAGCATTTGTTCAGGTTTCATGCGACGAAGAAGCACTTTAACAATCTCGGGTCTTCCATATGCGCAAGCTTTCAACAGTGGTGTCTCGTAAGGGTTTATCCATTCGTCCACTGCGCCTGGACTTCGGTTCAAGAAATCTTTCACATCCTCTACATTCCCTTGGCTTATTCCTTTACTTAATTGCATATAATCATAGTATACATCTGTAACCTTCTCTGCATCCATAACAAGAACTTTATTATATCATGTGAAAAACTAAATTTTCTTCATAAGTCGTATTAATGGATCTTACCGTGAAGTTTGATGGACGGAATCTGGGAATTGATGAGATCATTCGTAACTTCTTTTACATGTGAATAACTGTCGCCTAGGCCGCCACGAGGAACCTTAATTGTGTTGATGAAATTGAAAGGGTTCTTCCAAACTGTTTTCCTGAAAGCTGCATCTAAGTGATGATTAGAACTCAAAGCCGTTATCAAACTTTTAGGGCCAATCCTGATAACATTTGTAAAGTTTCCGAACCGTTCTATTTCCGGTCTTTTGGTTGCGTTAGGTGGTCTTATTCTTTAGCAAATACTAGGGTTTCCCTTGCTTGTGTCTCAAGAAAGCGAGCTAGCCTAGAACGACTTGGTTGTGTTTTTACCGTGATAAGTCTAACATGCTTTATTCTAGAAAGTTACAACTAAATTTTAAATCTAAACATGGATAAACAAGTTATAAAATACATCCCAAAAATATTCAAATTCTTTTTTTGATCTTATGCTAATATAATCTCTAGTTATACAACCAAAAGCATGATGGAAATCAAATCGTCGTACCTGAAGAATCCATAATACAACAAAAATATGGATTTTGGGATATGATGTTTTAAATCAAATTCTAAAAAAATTTGATCTGTAGTGATGCAAATGAGAAAAAAAAAGTTTTAAGCTAAAGTTGATTTATGACCCTAATCTTCTATTTATATATAATTCAATCCCTCATTTTTTCTTCTATTATTGTTTGTTCTCATCTCTAAAATCTTTAATGTTATGACACATGTAACGTTTCCGATTTATGCCTCTCTCATTGTGATTTACACAGCCTTATTAATCTCTCACTTTATAAGTATTTATTTCCATAAAATCTAATACACATGGAAACGAATATTCGAAAATTAATTACAAATCTTTTCTAAAAATCATCAACTTGACACATGTAACGTTTTCCTAATTATGCCCCTCTCATTGTGACTTAGCCTTATGACGACTCTCTCAATTTACTTATATTAAATTAATGGTTTATTTTTATTGAATGCAGAAATTGATTTACTATCTAAATTTACAATTGGTTACCCTTTCCATATAATCTGATTCACAATTTAATATGTTTTAAATTAAATATAAAATAGGCCATTATCCAACCAAAACATATCATAATAATTTATAGCTTTATATAAGTTTAAACATATTAACAAAAAAAGAAGAAGATAAATTAATAAAAAATAAAACAAAATCTGCTAACTTTGAAATATAATACATAATACATAACTTATGATATCATACATGTATAATTATAAAATAAGGTGAAATGTGTAACACGAAATTATATATACATGATATCAAAAGAAACCTTATCCAACTACAATGCCATATCATCAACATTTTCTCTTCCAAAAGAAAAAAAAAATCATAGTAAATAATCATCATATCTATCCTACCAAAATAAGCACTCTCCAACTAGAGTGGCACATCATCAACTAGAGAAATAGTAGTTTAAACTATATTTACTAGTTATATATTTATAAAAAAATCCACAAATAAAAGTAATATAAATAAAATCACATTAAACCTTTATAACGTTTCCAAATTCCAGAAACATTTGAAAAAAAACACAAAAAAAGCTAAGCATTGCACTTTTGTTTGCGAGATCATTCATCAAACTCACTTGTTGTAACAAGTAAAAAAAATATGAACACACAAGTAGCTAAAACTACAAATTTGATATTGTGAAACAATTACCAAATTGAGGAACTAAAGAAAACAAAGAAAAAAAATTCAAATTGGTGTACACATATCAATAGTATAAACTATGAATTAAACTTACAAAGATCATGCTTTGACAATTTTCTTCATACAATTACAAATCAAAGCCAAAACATAAGAATTAATGAAAATGCTTTTTTACAACAAATTAAAATTATTTTAAGCACAAGAGAGTTTATGATGTCAAAAAATTAAAGATAATAATTAGTTTGTCAAAGGATATTCTAATTACTTTTGATATAATTATATTGATTTTACATAATTAATGTCGTTAGATTGGAAAAAGAAAATTGATTCTTTGCTGAAGATCATCGCGGTGCTCAAGTCTAACGCCACAACTCTGCATCTTTGAACCCGCTGCACCTCTCTTCTCCCTCGCTGGCAAAGCTCTCAACTTACATCATAGACTCATAGAGTCATAGTTGCTTCTTTCACTAATCTTATTGCCCCTTTGTCCTTTTCTCTTCTATCCTTCTATCTCTTTGCCTCGTACGTCTAGTAGTATGGTACGGTAGTGGTTGGGACTTAATTTATTTAAATCCCATCTTTCTAACAATGTTCATCTCACCTTCTTTTTGTTATATATGGTGCTTACAAACTGGTTCATAATTAGTTTCTTACTTGCTCCATCAGTGATGATATCTTCTACACATATCTAAACACTGTTGGCTTGGAAGCGTAGAGTCTGGTGACATGGCATCACCTTTATAGGGTTTTCAGTTACCAGCCAAAACCAAAACCATTATTCAGAAGAAAGAATTATGCTCACTTAAAGAGAGATTTTTAGAAAGGCTGATATGGACTCATTGAAAGGGTTTTTTTTTTTTTTTTTAATATATAATTTGCATCAAAAAGCTCCTTTTATTAGTAGTAGATGTAATATATTGTAGGTATATGGTAGATAGATGTTTCATATGTGATGATATTTGGTGGACCGGTCCAAGAGTTTGTTTGTACATTCAGAAAAACATCATTATTTTTATTCTATTAAAGAGTTTCCGAGTTAGGCCCAAAAGATCAATGTCTCAAGTTAAGCCCAACATTTCATATTTCTGTTGAAGATTCCTTTGCCGTAAGTTGAAAAGATCATTTCCTTGAGGAGAGGATACTGAAGTAGAACAAACAACAGCGCCGGTAAACAAGCAAAAAGGATCGTCGGAGCAACGATCCATTTCCCTTCTTTACCCATCATCGTGAATAGCGCCGACGAGAATGCTATAAGCATCGCCGCAATTGAAACGAACAGTATCGAAAGTCCGGCAATCATCTTTGTCGGCAGAAAGACCAAGAAATCGTCGAAGGAGTATCTTGCGGTTAGTATCCCGAGGAAGATGAGGACGGAGGTGCAAGAGGCGAAGCAAGAGATCAAATCTGAGACGATGAATATGATGAATCGCCGATCATCTAGGTGAAAGGGTTTACCTTTTGAATTGTCGTCAGTGCCACCAGGGACGGTGAAGACCGCCGCAAAGGTGACCGTAACAATGAGAGCTGCGACTAAGCTGCAAGACATAGCCGTGTCTTTCATCCATTTCTCGGCTTCTTGTCGCAGTCCTTGGTGTTCCTTTGTGAATATCTCGATCGGTGTTTGCTCTTCTGTGTTTACTCTCTCCTTCTCAATCTCCGGTGCGATTCTCTCCACTTCCTTCATTAATCAAGGCCAAAAAATTAACACCTCTGTTTCCTCTGTTTTAGCTATGCATGAGAGAAACAGAGCAAACCTTGAACCATTGTAACTCGCGTTGCAACTGCAAAGGTGCGCCAACGACACTAGAGAGCTTGGAAGGAGGAGAAGGAAAGCCGGCGAGATGAAGCACACCATTGCCGTCACAGTCCTTGTCGGCGAGTAACAAGTACTTCCTGTCGTCCAGACCGTAGAGGAGACTAAACACCTTCTCTTGTCTGAACTCGACCGCCAAGAGAAACAGAGTACTGCTCGAGCTTGTTCTCGTGGACCATAGAAGCTCAGAGTTGTTCTTGATCATCTCCACCAAGAAATCCACATTCCCATATCTCACTGCAAAGAGTAAAGCCTCATCCACTGTCTCGGAACGTTCCTTCAAGCCCAAGGCCAGTGTTTCTTCTGATATTCCTCGTAGAAGCTTCTTGGCTTGTAGATGCATGACCTTAAGTCGGTACACTTCATCTATTCCTGAAAACATCACTCGATTCAGATTAAAAGTGCATGTGAATCCTATTGAATAGCCTAATACTTACCGGTCCATTTGGAGAGGCCTTTCAACAGTCTCCCCATCAGAGTATCTGGAAAAAATCGAAACTTTCTCACTTTCTTCAGAGGAATATATATATATATATATATATATATATATATAGACTTCTTATGAACTTTTATGTATACGGAAGAACTTACTCTGATGATCTCTGTTTAAACGAGAAGGCTGTGGAAGAGTTGGCAGCTTTACTTGTATCCCTAGCAAGTGAGAGAAGGACAAATTATTTAATTCAAAAGAGAATGAAAAAATGATTGATCTTTGTAATGAAGAGGTCTTAGATTAGTACGGACAAGAGTAGATGAAACGTGTCAATGGTCCGTGATAGCAGCCACCAGGAAAAAGATCTGGCTTTGAAGCCAAGACAATGATGGGAATCGACTCGATTTGCAAGTGTTTTGTGACGGCTAAGCGTCTGCTCATGTTGAACAGATCCAACGCGATGTCTAGTTATATAAAAAAAACAAATCAAGAAATAATCATCAAAACCGCCAAAAAATATGGTTTGCTTGATATCCAAGAAACCGCTTACCAAGCATTTTATAGAAGATGGCATTGAGAAAGAGCAAAGAACCGTGATACCCATCTTGGTCAAGTAACACTTGAACCGGAGTTCTGGAGTAAAGATAGCGAGCCATCTCCATCTGTGTATTCTCAACCGCAACCACAACCGGAATTTGTCCATTGATTCCAGGAATCTCTAGCAGCTTAGGGTTCTTGGCGACTAAGGCTTCAGCAATCTCCATGTTTCCACTAACCGCAACAACAGTGAGAGGCGTGTGGTAGGAAGCGTTTTGGCTCATCTTGGGAAGCATTTGTTCAGGTGTCATACGCCGCAGAAGCTCTTTAACAATCTCGGGTTTCCCACACGCGCAAGCCTTTAACAATGGCGTCTCATAAAGGTTTATCCATTCGTCCACTGAGTCCGGATGATGGTTCAAGAAGTCCTTCACGACTTCTAAACGACCTTGGCTTATTCCTTGACTTAATTGTATATACTCATAATATACGTTCGTATTCTTTCCTACATCAACAACAAGATACATTTATATACCCTAGTACCCTTACTTTCGAAATTGAGACTTTGATCTATCTCCTTGTAACTTATAGGCGATTGATTAGTTGAGAATGAAATAAGAACTCTTACCGCGGAGCCGAGATGCGGAAAGAGCTGATTCGATGAACGGAATCTGGATATTGACGGGATCATTTGGAACTTCTTCTTCTTCAGGAACTTCTTTTATAGGAGAAATACTGTCGCCTAGGCCAGCATGAGGAACCTTTGTATTAGCGAATTTGAAAGGGCTCCTCCGAAATGTTTCCTTCAAAGTTGCGCATAAGTAATTAGAACTCATTGCCATATCAAATTTTCTTGGACCAAACCTAACAAAATATGAAAAAAGACATAACGGTAATCGGATATATATAAAAAGCTCATGTGTATATGTTGTTGTCCGTAAGTATATGCAAGGCATAACGGTAACATACAATTACAATCTTTGGTGTTTTTCTATCCTATTCTTTGATTGGTCTTACATAAGAATATATCCTTTGCTTGGTTACTCATTATTTTATTTGGATTGCTTTTCTGTTGGAAATAAAATTAAAGGCTCTTCTGTATATGAAAAAATATAAAAATTCGACAAATTAAAAAGAATCGTATTTGTCAAGATAACAATAGGCAGTGTTACAAACCGGAACCTTAACCTTGAAGATTATATTCCAATTTTCCTAAACAAGAGAATCAAATTTTAGGTTCTGTTCTTGTTGTGAGACTGAGGACCAGCCACGAACAGAAGTAACTAGCTGAACATTCTCACCATGTCTTAAGATCTTTGAGCATGGACGAAGCGCGGGATTTTGTTGCCTCGAGATTAATATCCAGGGGAGTTAATCATCCACAACGAGCTTCTTGTCTACGCTTGAGAAAGATCGATAAAACGCCTTGAAATGTCTGTACGCGATGTCTATATCGTCTGTTCCACAAATCTCTCTCACACTGTCTCACAGGTAACAAGTTCCAAAAACCAGAAGCTGAGTCTAAGTATTTTGATTTGGAAACATGAGAAAGAGTTGTTAAAAAATGGCAGTAGTTAACATACCTATGCATAGAAAGCTGAGCTATGCCACAATCAACGGTTCGGATCCCCACTCCTGAAGCCAATATAGGTCCTATTGTTGAGCCACATCCCATATCATTTCTCACCACAAACTCCTGCACAGGTAGCAAAAATCTAATTGTCTGTATACCATTCTCAAATATGGGTTGATTAGTGTGGAGCAGCTAGATGATCTATTGTGTGTAAATCCTAAGAACCACAGACAAACCGCTTTCAACATCTCAACAGAAGGCTGCTGAAGACAGCGATGTAAACTTTTCCCTAAATGTTGTTTACTATTGGACTTAACACTAAGAAGAACACCCAACCTGAATTGGAAGATCATGGAGCTTTGCTACTTCTTTGAAAAGAAAAGAAGTGATTCCACTGGTTGCATAGCGTTGGTTTGCGTTATGTTTGATAACCAGACCCTTGTGTAGTTGAGGACGGTGGTTCTCTTCATGCTTGTCTGCAAAGTTTGGGTGCACTCCATGAGCCATGTCTGCAGACACTGCAACCACAAGAACCCATACACAAATTTCAGTAGAAACTAGAAACTAAGAGATAGAAAAACATCCAAATTTTGTAACCACTGTCTTACAAAATTTCCAGAGACTACATTAGCATAAATAACTGGAAAAGTAGAATATGTGTACCAAGAAAAGATTTCCGGATAGCACGGTCAAATGTACACTCAGTGACCTGCTTATTGCCTAGGGAACTTACAATCCGTCTCATTGCTTGAAACATAGTGGGCGCCCCTGCACCTTGACATGAATCTGAACCAACCTATTGAAACAAAACATTTTTAAGAAGAATTTATTGAAACAAAACGTTTCAAGCACATCATCACCTTAAAGCAAAAAGGTTATGGAAGGTTAAATGCAAGTCCTCTTTATTCAACAATTTTCAGGACTCTAATACTGCTAATAAGTTCCTCGATTTGAAGCAGCCTAACAAATATCTTATAGGAAAAGGGTACCTCCTCGTTGTCAAATAAAGCTATCATCCGGATATCATGTTCAGTCGACAGGCTTTCCGATGATTCACATGAATCAATGAGAGCTCTCAAAGCACAGAAACTTGATGCAAGATTATCTAGTCTTCCAGAGAATATGAATTCATTGTTTGCTCCTCCTAGGCAGCTAGGTTGGGTGTCACAGATATTTAACTCAAGACTCACTATATCCTCGACCTTACAGTCCAGGTCATCTGACAAAATCTGCAACACGATCAGGAAGCTTTGAGATAATTTGCGGATTTTACAGTTATACTACACACATCAGAAATTCCGAGAAACTAAATGAGATAAACATTTAGCAACACTAATGGATGATGATGATAGGAACTAAAAATACTGGTACTGATATAAAAAAAATTTAGCATCACAAACTCCAAATTTCTCATTTCGATTCTCATGATCTAATATCTTAGAAACTTGGTGCATGTTAACGATGCATAGGAATGACTCTAGTGACTAACCTAATTTTGTCATACCTGCATGAGTAATGGATGATGGGCATCTTTGGAGGATACATTTTTGTCCTTGGACTCTGCTGAGGATTCATCTGGCTTCGTTGCCAGTAGCGGAACAAGTTGGGTCTCCAAATTCGGTTTAAATCCATCACTGTTCACTGTGCTAAACAATACAAGAAGAACAAAACAGCATGAATGAGCTTCAAAACACACCTCCACCTGATAGCAAATGAATTAGTCTAAAACTCAACTAGAAAAACCTCATAAAAGAAATTTACCTATCAAGATGAATGGCCAAAGTGGGCACTCTTAGTAATGGCCTCTTCACTTTGACAAGCCTGTGAACAAACGAGCCATCGCTGGCTCTCACAATTGCTCGCCCCGCAACACTCAAGTCTCGATCAAACCATGTGTGCCACAAACCACCTCCATAAGTCTGAACATTCACCATGAGATAGCCAAACTTAGATGAAGCAGACTTGGGCTTAAGTTTAAGACACGGGCTATCGGTGTGAGCAGCTATGGCATGAAAACCATTACCAGGAACATACCTACAAAATGAGGAACAAATGTAGGTTCCCTGAACCCAAAAATTAAGGAATAAAAAAAAAAGCCCTTCAGTTATCAAAGCATGACCTAGTTCCAGGATTCATTAATCTACTAATGAAGATCATAGCAAAACCGATCTTATACCATGGAGACATAATTGAATCGGAAAACTCACTTTTCGCCGACAGCAAAAGCAACCAAACAGGACATGTTTCGTGTAAAGAAGTAACGGCCACCAGGTTTCAGCTTCCAGTCCTCGTTTTCACTGAGGAGATCAAACCCAGCAGCCAAAAGCTGTCTCTTCGCCTCAGCTGCAAGCAAAAACAAAAAAAAAGATCAATGAGAGTCGTCACTTCACTTGAATACCGAAAAAGAAAACAACTTTTCAATTTACCAGTGGCGTGAAACTGGGTCCAGGATTCATTAAGATAATCCAGAAGATCCCCGACAATCGACGCATTAGAATCACTCCCCAGCGATCTCGAATCACCCAGAGAGGAGGAGGAGCAGAGGATTGGAGAGAAGGAGCGAAAGGGAGAGCGAAGGAGATAAGTAGGAAAAGAAATAGATTGAGAGAGGAATAATGAAGGATTGAATTTGGAGGGAAGAGAATGGGTTAGTGGAAGACGAGCTATGGCCGCCATTAAACTGTCTCCGGGATTGTGAAGATGATGAGAAAGGTCCTGTTAGCTAAACTCTGATTTCGACTATTACCGTCCGCCGCAGTTATTTTTCTTTATTTCCTTTTCTTTACCTTTCACCGTTTCACCTTTTTCACAAAAGTTTTTTTTTTTTTTTTTCTCGTTGGCTTTTGTTTTGATATGTAATTATTTATTAATGTAAATATAATTCTTATGTTACACTTTGATATTTTTTTACAATTTAATTTTCTCTGTTTTTCTTCAGGGTTGGCTGATTTTATAGCCATAAACTAGTTGCATTCTCAGCTTTTCCCCCAACCTTTTTGCCCCTGAAAATTCCACCATAAACTTAGATAATTCTCACAATTGCAACATGTACTTTTAGATTCATCCTTAAAACTACGCATTCAATTGAACCGGCCAATAAACCGGTACCACATAACCCGGTTTGATTTAATTCAAATTTAACCAAATTTAAACCCGATTTTGACCCGAATCTTCTTCTTCTTCACCCGATTTATTTTTTCTTCTTCTCTCCGGCAAGCAGCACCAATCGACGACATCGCCAATTGAGTAACCTAATGACCGCCACTCAGGCTGCTTATGGAACAGGTTACTCAATTGGCGTTGTCGTCGATTGGTGCTGCTCGCCGGAGAGAAGAAGAAAAAAAATTCTGATCAAAATTGGGTGAAGAGGAAGAAGATTCGAGTCAAAATCAGGTTTAAATTTGGTTAAATTTGAATTAAATCAAACCGGGTTATGTGGTACCGGTTTATTGGCCGGTTCAATTGGAGGCGTAGTTTTAAAGATGAATCCGAAAGTACATGTTGCAATTGTGAGAATTATCTAAGTTTATGGTGGAATTTTCAGAAGCAAAAAGGTTTGGGAGAAAAACTGAGAATGCAACTAGTTTATGGTTATAAAATCAGCCAACCCTTTTCTTCATCAAAAATTTTCATTAACTTTATCACAAAAAAAAAATCATCGGATAATCCATTTTCTTTTTTTTGACAGCTGGATAATCCATTTTCGCAAAATACCACAAATAATAGAACATGATAGGCCTCGATTTGCCCAAAGGCCCAAAACCAAAAGTCTTTCTTTATTTGGGTCTTCGTAGACTTTAAAGACCAACAGGTAACTGCAACGAAGCTTCGTTAATGGGTTCCACATCGTCTCCTACTTGTTTTGTTTTCTTTCTTTATTAATAAGTAGCTTGTTACTTCACTCCTCCTTGCTTTTTCTTCTCTCCACTCATCTCTCTCTTTCTCATCGGCGTTCCGATGGCAGATATCATCGGCGGCGAAGTTGTGACGGAGCTCGTAAAGCAGCTCTATGCGGTATCTCAAAAAGCCCTCAGATGCAGAGGCATCGCCAAAAATCTCGCCACCATGATCGAGGGTCTTCAACCTACGATCAAGGAGATTCAATATAGCGGCGTCGAGCTCAGCCCTCATCGCCAGGCTCAATTGCGTATGTTCTCAGAAACCTTAGACAAGTGTAGGAAGCTCACCGAGAAAGTTCTCAAATCCAGCCGTTGGAACATGGTTCGACAGGTCATCCATGTTAGGAAAATGGAGAGTCTCCAGAGTAAAGTCTCTAGCTTTCTTAACGGTCAATTGTTAGTCCATGTTCTTGCTGATGTCCATCATGTTCGAGTCGATACGGAAGTTGGGTTCGATCGGATTGATAGGAAGTTTGATTGCTTGAGTGAGAAGCTTGGTTCTATGAAAATCAGGGGAAGTGAATCCATGCGGGAGGCCTTGAAGATGGAGGAGGCTACCATGGAGATGGTGATGACTGATGGTGCTGATTTGGGAGGAAATTTGGATTTGGGAAAGAGCAAGGTGAAGGAGATGTTGTTTAAATCCAATGATGATGAAAGACTTATTGGTATCTCAGGGATGAGTGGTTCAGGGAAAACCACTCTTGCCAAAGAGCTTGCGCGGGACGAAGAAGTTCGAGGTAATAAATTATGGCTCTGATTCAATATCGTTTGTTAATTTGGTTGGTACATCTTTGTGGATCTATTGCAGTAGGTTGTGGTGTTTCTTAATGGTGTGTTTTGTTAGTTTATTTGATGATCATGCTTCTATGTATGTATGTTTGTTTGATTATGTCTTGTTCATCAAAGGTGAACTATTGTTGTGTTATGTAGTTGAGTTCTTGATGCTGAAATTGCTTTCATTTACTGCTTTTACAGGGCACTTTGGTAACAAGGTTTTGTTTCTGACTGTGTCACAATCTCCCAATCTTGAGGAGCTTAGAGCCCATATATGGGGATCTCTTACTAGTTATGAGGCTGGGGCTGGTGCCACTCTTCCGGAATCTATTGGTGAAACCCGGAAGCTAGTGATCCTTGATGATGTTTGGACAAGGGAATCTCTAGACCAGCTCATGTTCGATAATATTCCTGGAACCACAACTCTTGTGGTCTCACGGTCTAAACTCGCAGATTCTAGAGCCACTTATGATGTAGAGTTACTCAATGAACATGAAGCAACGTCTCTGTTCTGTGTCTCTGCTTTCAACCAGAAATCAGTGCCTTCAGGATTCAGCAAAAGTTTGGTCAAGCAGGTAATGGGTCTGCTACAAGTTATACATGCATAGTAGTAATGTTCTTTTGCTTTCAGTACTCATATTGACTTTATTTGGTAGGTTGTTGGGGAGTGTAAAGGTCTACCTTTGGCTCTGAAAGTCATCGGTGCTTCATTGAAAGAACGACCTGAAAAATATTGGGAAGGTGCAGTGGAGAGGCTATCAAGAGGTGAACCTGCTGATGAAACTCATGAAAGTAGAGTTTTTGCTCAAATCGAAGCAACTCTAGAAAATCTTGACCCTAAAACCAGAGAGTGTTTCTTGATTCTGGGTGCTTTCCCTGAAGACAGGAAGATCCCTCTTGATGTTCTCATCAACGTGTTAGTCGAGTTGCATGATCTCGAGGATGCAACTTCTTTTGCTGTTATTGTTGATTTAGCAAGCAGAAATCTCCTTACTCTCGTGAAAGATCCAAGGTACGGTTGGTTCTTTATGATCTCATCTCTTGTAGACACTTCTACGGTTTTAAACGTTCTTAGCTAATTTACCATCGATAATTTTCAGGTTTGGCCATATGTACACTAGCTACTATGATATATTTGTGACGCAGCACGATGTTCTAAGAGATGTGGCACTTCGTCTTAGCAACCGTGGGAAAGTAAATAACAGAGAGCGGTTATTGATGCCAAAAAGAGAGTCAATACTTCCAAGAGAATGGGAGAGAAACAATGATGAGGCATACAAAGCCAGAGTAGTTTCCATTCACACAGGTAAGAATTTGTTACCCAACCATCTTCTAATGAATTAATTCGGTTTGTCACTAGAACATAAAGTTTTGATATGGATTTCTGTTTAAATTTTACAGGAGAAATGACTGAGATGGATTGGTTTGACATGGAACTCCCTAAGGCTGAAGTTTTGATACTACACTTTTCTTCTGAAAAGTATGTGTTGCCTCCTTTCATTGCTAAGATGGGCAAGCTTAGGGCGCTCGTGATCATCAACAATGGTATGTCTCCAGCACGTCTACATGACTTCTCCATCTTTACCAATTTGGCCAAACTCAAGAGTCTCTGGCTTGAGAGGGTTCATGTCCCTGAACTCTCTAGCAGTACAGTGCCATTGCAAAACCTCCACAAGCTGTCTCTCATCTTCTGCAAGATCAACACTAGTCTTGATCAGACAGAAGTAGACATTGCCCAAATCTTCCCAAAATTGTCTGATCTCACAATAGATCATTGCGATGATCTTGTGGAACTACCTTCGACCATCTGTGGCATCACCTCTCTCAACTCCATCAGCATAACAAATTGTCCCCGCATCAAAGAATTGCCTAAGTATCTCAGTAAGCTAAAATTCCTTCAGCTTCTGAGGCTATACGCTTGCCCTGAGCTGCAATCTCTGCCAGTAGAACTCTGTGAGCTGCCAAGATTAAAGTACCTTGACATCTCTCAATGTGCCAGCCTGAGTTCTCTTCCGGAAAAGATAGGAAAGGTTAAGACACTTGAGAAAATCGACATGAGGGAATGCAGCTTATCAAGCATACCAAGCTCTGCGGTTTCATTGACTTCTCTACGCCATGTAATATGCGATAGAGAGGCTTTGTGGATGTGGGAAAAGGTCGAGAAGGCCGTTACAGGACTTCGCGTTGAAGCTGCGGAAAAATCTTTCAGCGTGGATTGGCTCGACGAGTAGGTTCTTGATTCTCCCTCCCATAGAAGTGTGTTTATATAAGTAATTAATTGCTAATCTGTAGCAAGTGTTGTATAACATTATATTTTATCAGCACACTCAAGAGTTCTTCTACAGAAATTTATCTATCGATTCAGAGAACTATAAAATTTCTATAAAAGAATCAGTTTTATGTTAGTATCATTCCAGGGTTAAATCTCTTGAGCCCACGTCCATAATTGATTAATGATTTTATTTCAAGAAAATGAAAGCGTGGGTGCCAAGACACCTTTGCCATTTATTGTGTACAACTCCACACAAACATGGGACAAATAATAACAAAGAAGTATCCGTTGAGACACAAACATTACATTGTCTATAGGCGACCACGGCTTACTGATTTTGGCCAGATCCTTGTGTAATATCTACTCATGGTAGCCAATTCTTTGTATCGCGGTAGAAGAGTCGTTTGCCATAGGTGGAAGAAATCATCTCCTTGAGAAGAGGATATTGCAACATCAAGAAGAGAATCGAAGGGAAGCTGGCGAGTGGCTTGAGTGGGACTACAAGCGTTGGCCTGTGCCGCATTGACGCGGAAAGGGACGTGATAAATGAAACAAGCATTGAGGCAATAGAGATAAACAGAATTGATTGACCCAATATCATCTTTCTAGGAAGTGATACAATGAAGTCATCAAAAGAGTACCTTGAGGTCAGAATGTTGAGGAATATGAGCACAGAGATGCAGGAGGCGAAGAAGGCGAGAGTGTTTGTGAAGATGAACCCCGTGAAATGTAAGTCATGAAGAAGGATAGGTGCACCCGAAGTTTGATCAGTACCTCCAGGAACAGTGAATATGGCTTGAAAAGTGACAGTTGCAATGAGAGCTGCCACGAAGCTACAAGCAGTGGCAGTGTATTTCATCCATTCTTCTCCTTCTTTTCGTAAAGTTTCGTGAGAATCTTCGAATATTTGTCGCGGGGTCTTCTTCTTGTTGTTTTTTTGCACTACTTCACGTTCTGATACCAAGCTTTTTACTTCCTTAAACCATTGAGTCTCTCTTTGCATCTTGAGAGCAGCTCCAGAAATCTTAGAAAGTTGGTCGGGAGTAGAGAGATGAGCGGCGATATGGAGAATGTTGTTGTTTTTATTGTCGTAAGATCTAAGCAGCGTGACCTTTCTATCATCTAAACCATGTATGAGGTTAAAGATCTTATCTTTCTTGAATTCAACGGCCAGCTGAAAGAGGTTTCGGCCAGAGTCAGCTTTCCAGATCCAAAGAAGTTGAGGGTTACATTTGATTATCTCAATGAAAAATTCCTTGTTCCCATTCTTCACCGCTTCAAGTAGTGCTCCATAGACCATCTCTTTCCAACTATTGTCCTTGACCATGCCTGGTAGTTCTGTGCACATTTTTTTTAGCAAGTTTTGAGCTTGAGAATGTCTTTCTTTTAGATCATATGTTTGCATGATACCTATGCCAAATAAAAAATAGGAGATGTTACAAGATCGACACTAGAAGTAATATTAGAGGGTTGGGGAATATATCTGAAGTGTACACCATCGTAGAGAAATTTTTCATTCTTTTTCCTTAGTAGTTGAGAATTTATGTCCCAATCCATACTAATAATTAGAGTTCATATATTGTTATGAATTCCACACTAAAAATTAGAAGAAAAAAAAACTAAGAAAGACGTTGTATTATCATCCAAAATAGACCTGATGAAGGAAAGACATTTCAGTTACTAAAAAAACATAGGTCCACCTATTCATTGATACTGGTTTTGAATTGAAATAAACCTGTGAATTAAATTATAAGTGTGCGAACTCTATTGTAGCATAAAATTCTCAACTTTGGATAAAAACTGAAAAAAGTTCGACCTACATACGTACCAAACCATTTGGGACGACGTTGTATTATCATCGAAAATAGACCTGATGAAGGAATTCATTTCAGTGACTATATATATACATCAAAACAAATAAAAATTTTGGGATAAAATCCAGAAATTGATGTGCATGGCGTACGTTGGCATCGGTTTGGTTTCGAGTCCTCAAAATCCAACTCTATACCTACCAATGGAATATGTATATGAACAATAAAGTTCAAGAAGGTTGAAAACTGAAAAAAAAAGAAAAACAAGAATAGCTAGTAATGGATTGCAAAGATATATAAATACATACAAGAGTAGATGAAGCGTCGCCAAAATCCAAGATTGGAGTGGGCCGAGTGGCTATGAAACAAGTCAGGTTTCAAAGCTAAGAACTTAAGTGGAGTTGATCTTTGACTTGCGTGTTTAGTCACGGCCACAGACGGTACATTTATGATGATGTCCAACGCAATGTCTAACAGCCCATGAAACCAAGCTATTATGTCCACTTATGTATACTAATCAACTATATTTATTTTAGCATAAAGCATGGCCGAAAATTTTGTAATCTAACAACTATACAACATATGACCACAACTACCACGAAACAAAATCATGAGTTTTGGTCACATAAGCAACTGAAAGTTAGTGGAGTAGCCTATCTCGCCCAACAAATGTTCATGGATATTCATTTAAAAACCCAATTTTTCAGTAAAAAGAGTCATTCTTTTTTTTTATAGATATAAAAATGAGGCATTATATTCATCCATTTACGTTCCTTACATATCAGATTAGATTCCTAACATTTCCGGTTCACATTTCAGTTGTCCTACAGCACCAGTTGAGATTCTTAGGTGAAAACTACTAATAAAAAAAACACATGAGAGAAAATGAGAAAGGGTTCTCCAATGAGATACCGTAAGAAACCCATATGCCCATTTGTCTCTCATAGATTGGTCTAATTTATCATTTTGAATTAAAGTTAAGTATAAAATTCAGTTGTATTTAAATATTAGTATTTTTTTTGTTAAGAAACTCAATCCCTTTTTTATGGATGGAAATGCTCTTACATATCAAGTACTCAAAAGACTTACCTAGAAATCCATAAAATATGGCATCCAGAAGGAGACAGGTAGCCCAATATCCTTGTTTATCCTTCAAAATAGGAAGAAGTATATTCTGATTGTTGAAATAAAGGTTGCCAGTGACCTTTCCATGGCCTGCATTAGATGCCCGCACAACCGGTATTGCTAGCCCATAGGAAACTGAATTATCTTGAGCAAGCAGCTGGTTGGGATAGAGTTCACACAGGTCCCTAACCATCTTCAAATTGCCACTCCCAGCAGCAATATCGAGCGCTAAACTTTGACAATAAATGTCATTTGCCATTTGGCCACGACTCGTCATTTCGTGCAATAGTAGCTTCTTGACGATCTCGGCCAACTGACGGCGACTACATGCGTTTTGCAATGGTGTCTCAAATGGGTCGATCCAGGCAGTAGTTGTGTCTCTCTGCAGGTTCGAGAACTTTACTTTAACGTGTTCCAAATCATCGTCGCTAATGTTTTGTGATAATGATAAATATTCACAAATTTCACCTAAATCTGCAACCCCACATGAAGAAAGAAAATAAGATAACCAATTAGATATAAATTGCATCTATAAACAAATTACATCTAAATCTTTTGTGCCGTATCTGGATGCATCTACGTTAAGCAGCCGGATATATACAAATATAAACAAACCGAACCTAACTTAGAAAACAAGTTATATGAACTACGTACAATATGTAGACCGTTGGCAGTTACCAAAATCAAGTCAGATCCGGAAGCGAAGTAACTTAATGTGGACAAACATGCGATGTGTTTACACACAGAATTGCCCCTAGTGATAAGTAGTAACGAAACGATAAAAAGAAAAGCTGTTATTACTAAAAGAGAACCTGACACTCCTTGTGAAGAACCTGGCACATTTCCTGAAGACCCGGCCACTCCTTGTGAAGAACTTAGCACATTTCCTGAAGAACTTGCCATTTCTTATGAATCTGATGGGAAAATTGGAGTTGTACTGTCAATTTTCTTCTCAAAATAAATCTTTTTGTAATTTGCGATTATATGAAATGTTGGCACAGTGAGATTGGTTTCAAATAGACTTTTTTCGTTTAAAGTTAATTATATACGCAATTAACTTTCACATCATCACATTCACTTACTCTTTCATACGTCATCGCATTATATTTAACAGTTTTTTTTATTTTTGTTTTGAGTTCTCCCCAACTAGGTCATGACTCATGTTCATATCAGTATGATCCTTTTGCAAGTTTAATTTGTTTGACTCTATTTATTTTCTTCTTTTGTTTTAATTCCCTAAAAGGTCAACGATAATGTGGTACTCTCTCTGTTTATAAAAGATTGATTTTCTAGAGATTTCACATATCTTAAGAAACAATCATTGTACAATTATTTATTTTTATTAAACATTTTCTAATAACCTATGAACCAATAGTAATATAAAATAGTTAATCATTACGTTTTGAAATCTACGATTTATTAATATTAATTAATTAAAATTTAAAAAAAATTATAAAATCAATCTTTGTGGAACAAACTCAAAAACTAAAACATCAAACTTGAAGGAATAGAGGGAGTATATGTTTAACGATTTTTTTTACGTAACATAATATAAAGTCTGTAATTAGAAATATCGCATGTTGTACATTTTTTTAGTTTAAGAAGTTATTATATATTTTATATGTGACGTTTGTGTTTAGTTCCTTTTGGAGAATCCATCAAACTAGTTGACATTTTTTATTCCTTGTGAAATTTAAATAATTTTCCGAGATACATATTGAAATTTCTTTTTTCCTTTATTGAAGCAGTCACAAAGAAAATAGAATTAGTCATCAAAACAATAAAAATACTTAAGCGAAGTTTTTTTTTTTGTTTAATATATTATCACTTTTGGGACGACAAAAGTAAAGTGACCTTTGGGAAAACAAAACTAGAATCAGTCATCAAAACAATTATATATATATATATATATATATATATATAAAGGAGTTTTGCCGAATAATTATGATGGATCCCACGTCGAAATGTTAACGACACATAAGGTAATTACTAATTATACATGAATCAGTTCACTCGTTAATTAGTCTAATTGAAAGTTCATAATTTTAAAATGATCATAAAAGATAGTCCAAGTAGGATTCATTGTTGGTTCGAGAGTAAGATTCGCTTGAAATAGAGCGATAATTAAGAGTCGTTATTTCGAAAAAGCATGTTGAATCCCACATTTAAAATTTATATGAGATTAATAGTCATATACTCATATATTAAGAAGAACCAATTTAAGAAAAATTCACTATTGTGGTCAGTGAGGGCCCCTTATCCTAGATCTAGGCTTACTCAGTCCCCAATTCGGAAAGAGAGGTTATTTTTATTAAAATACCAAACTAGAGCTTGTTGTTAAGGGAGGTTTCAGATTTGTAAAAATTGAGTCTTTTACGAACTTTCTTAACGGACCCAAATCAAAAGTGTCAAGAACCCATTTATTTTTTAGCCACAGTGGTTCAATTATAGTATCACGAATTTCCCACATAATCTTCCAAACAAAAGACTTGAAAGTTTCGTAGCACAGATACATGATTTTGCTTTAAAGGATAAAGAGCAGTTTTGTTTTAGAGCAAACAAAAGCTCATTTAGTAGCTGTCAATGTCAGTTTCAGGCCTTCTCAGGAAGTAACGCAGACAGTTCACCAAAACCTGCAGGAGATAAGTTGATTCTTTTTATACCTCTCTCTCTCTCTCTTTTAAGGTTCAAAGGACAAAGTAACTGAAACAAAAAACTCACCTGTGACAAAGATCTGTTTAGTGCTTGCCCTTGGTAGCTTACGTGAAACTTGTCTTTCGCAACCAGTCCCTGAGAGCGACGATGGAAACGTTATTATTATAATGCATAATAATGGAATCACACTCTCTGTAGGTTTTGGGAGTTTTGATTACTTCTGTGTCTATCTCTGCGGATTCCACGTCTATGTTGATATCAGCCATCACTTTGATCATCTCTACGACAAGACCTGGCCTGTCCGCTGTCTCTATGACAAGCAGGCTAGAGAAAACAGGAAACCAGCGAGAATTATGTAAACTATTTCAACAGGGCTATTCTTTAAATATGACATTGTGGTGTCATTATTCTAATAAATGGTGAATACCTCCTCTTTGGTCCATCTTCTTTCACAAGTATATGAGTTGCGATATCGACATCAATCTGTACCAAATGAATCCAAAGCAGAATTAAGACATCAGTAATGTAAAGCTAGCCTTTAACAACTGCAAGCTTCTTTAGAAAACTCGATTAAGCCATTAGAAAAGACTTTGCATAAAACACAGGACACAAAAGTAAATCATCCAACAAGCAGAGTAAACATTACCTTATTTTCTGGAGCCTTTATTCCAAAAGTCTCACCCATTGCAAGTTGCTCACTGCATTCCTGCAAAACAACCAAAGGCAATGTTCAAAAAAACACAACAGCTGCAAGCAGGCCTCTTTGAATGTGAATGTGATTAAGGGAAAGAGATAAAGAAAACTGTAAGCAGACCGGATGGTATTTCAAGAGATTGTTGATGATTGTTAAGCGGATTTGTTCCAGCAAGTCAGGATCTTCCACTTTCCGACCAGTGTCACTGGTGTGAAAAAGAGAATTTAATTCAGGCATCTGTGACAACTGACAATGCAGGTAGCTGAAGATGATATTTGCACACAACACCAATAATTCTCGAAACCAGAAAGTATTTTTTGATCAGATTCACTTGTCTCAAGCTAATTATCTAGTTTAGAAAGAATTCTCCAGAGAAATGTTATAGCCCAATGCCAATCATGAACTTCATAGGGCAACTGCAGAATTCTATAATAGCATAATTTGAGATAAGGCCATAAGGGAAGATCATAACTATCAGCACTAAGTAGATTGAGACAAAATTGTGCATCCTATTGAACAAGTGAGAAGTCAATAAGTGATAGAAAATCATCTAAAGCAAAGAGAGACCACGGAAAGAACGGCATTTCTTACCGTTTTGTTATAGAAAATTTGGTCTGCTTAACATCTCCTTCAGTTGAGACAGTTCCTTTTATTACATCCAATCCCAAATCTTTCAGCGACCTCATCTGCCAAACACAATTAATAATTCATAAGCCGAAGACAAGGCAAGTTTCCATGATATAACAAAAATGAGGTGATAATCTGATAGTAAAAATGCTACAAATCTAGCTCCAGTAGATCAAGAAGAGCTAAAGTTTTTTCACATCGATAAGATAGAACATAAAACCAAGACAGGAAATAGAACCCCTTACTGTGTCAATGAGAGCCCCAAGACGATTTCCAAAACTGAGTTGTACAATAGTAGCTTCAGGGTCAGCATCCTGGTCTATCATAACCATTGGCATTGGAACAACATCGTCATCGTCTTCCGATTTCTGCGATCAAATTTTCCAGCAAATGTCATCTCAAAGCACACGTGAACACAAAACTCATACGCAGACCGTTTCCCTATTAGACATGAGAAAATCAAATCACATATCAAATAGTTTACACATGAACACATAACCATATACTCCCTACATTTTTACTTGCTGAGCTTCTGAGAGCGCACATATATGCAAGTCCATGGTAGTCAAATCAATAGATCCGAGAAACATCAATAGTTTAAATGCGACGAAACAAAAAAAGACTGAAACAAGTTACTGACCGGATAAGATGGAGTAGCGGCCGAATCAATGCTGTTAATTGAAGCATATACACGGTTTTTTATACTGCATACCAAAACAAACAAGCACATAAAGATATATCAGCAACCTCAGATAAATCATCGATTCAAGATTTTACAATCGGTCCAAAGAGAAACCAAATTACCAAGCGACTTATTGCAATTATCTCAAGAAACTGTTAAGAACTTCAATCTGTAATTCGAAATTTAATCTCCCTTTGCTTTGTCAAATCTCCTAAGTTCAAGATTCATAACGACAAACTCAACAACTCCAAACGAGAATCTAGTATAAGTTTCGTTTGCCAAATCGTTCGAGCACATACAGAGCAAAGATTATAGTCGAATCAAGCTAATAGTAGCTGAACATAAAAGACGAAGCAAAGATTACTCAAATCGAGTAATCAGAAGGAGCAAGAAGACTATAAATCTCCAGCTAAAAACGAATCAACGGAAAGATCTAAGAGCGAGACACGACGTATACGAAATAGGCAAGAGCTTAACCTCTTCGTCAAGAGAGACATTACACCTCCGACGAACTTCCGGCGATCATCGAACAAAGCAGGCGATAGATCTGGAGAAGCAATTTGAGCGGGAAAACGAGTCTGCCTACTGATCGCAGAAGAAGGACGCGAAGTAATCGAAGAAGAAAACTGAGTAACAGAGAAGATAGAACTCGAGAACGCCATTGAAGTTTGAAACAAGACTATTTTTTTCTTCTTTCTTTCTCCTTCGAAGTCAGAGAGAACACCGATATCTATAAAATGGCGAAAAAATTGGCGTTTAGTGATAACAAAAAGATGATGGAGTGCTGAATCTGCTGATGTGATGTCTGACGTCACTATCGAGATGCTCCACCTATACATCTACTAAGCTTTTTTTTAATTTTTTCTTATATGTTTTCTACATGTAATTAATTGAATATTTGCAAATTGTTATAGATTAATGTGATAGTGAGACGAATTTAGACGCAGTTATTTGGTTGCTGACGTTCACTTCTACGCTGCAATTTACTTAATATCTTCTCTTTTGTATTCTTTTCTCCTCCAAGCCAATCGGACTTGTTTGCAGATTCTTATAATACATATATTTAAAGCAATTAAACCTGCTAATGAATTTAAAAGAGTATTTTGTTTTGTCTCTAATAAAAAGTTTGAAGTAAAAGAAAATCTCTTATACCAATTATTGGCGTGAGATTGTTATAAACAAAAACTATTAGTCGTTGACCAAAGAAAAGAAAAAGGAAATTCTAAAAAAGTGTTAAGAAAAAGGAAATTCTAAAAATAGCACAATCTCGAAGATGAGGCTGGGCAAGGCTCTCTCCTTATTGGGCTGTATAGCCCACTGGGCCATTCAACAAAATAATAAGTCTTTGCTAACAGATTTACGCGGGTGCAATGTTCTAGCGGGTTCTTTTAAGAATCGATAACCCGAACCCGAACCCGAACCCAAAGCTGTTACTGAATCTGGAGCTGCTCCGAACCTGCCTAACTGCCTCGTTCACAATCACTCCAAATACATTTTCTACCCAAAAAAAAAAAACGAATTCGAGAAATCTCACTGATTAGAGCAAAGATGTCGTTGGCTCGTTCTGCGATCACAAAGCTAAGGCTGGCTCGATCCCTGTGGGAGACTCAGATTGGAGCATCGCGTTCGGTGGAATCGACTCGAGGATCGGCGATTCGGTGTTTCAGCGACGACAAAGGTCGTGTGCTCAGCGAAGAGGAACGCGCGAAAGAGAGCATGTACATCAAGGTTCTTCTTCACCTTCGACTTTTTATGTCCCTTGACTTCTCTTTGGATGCTACAAGAGTTCATTTATGCGCTGTTGCTTATTTGATCTCAGGAGATCAATCAAATTATATGAAATATCGTTTGGGAATTGGCGTTAGAATTGATTTTAAAGATTATTAGATACAATGAAAAGATCCAATGCCTATCCTCATCATAACAGTTGGATCCAATTGATGTCTATCATAACAAATGGTCAAATAGTGTGTGGATGAGTTTTTCAAGGCGTATTAGTTCATACAGAGGGAAAGAATTGAAAAAATGTTGTCTGTGTGAATCTGTGATCCAGCTTACGCTTTACCAAAAGTATTTGTTGAAGAAAGGGGAAGAACTTTGTGTTGTTAAGCAATCTCTATAGCTTGTTGTGTTCCTTTCTGATTTGAGGTTGAGCTCGTAGTAACAGTTGCAGACAATTCTATAGCTGGTTGCGTCTCACTTGCATTACTTAGGCTCAGAAGAATTGGCTGTGACTATTAAAATTGATGTATTTTGGGACACAATTCTAGTTTATGAAGCTATTTGTCTTCTAGTACAAAACTCACTTTTAAGAAGCCGATCTATTTTGTTGTAGAAAATGGAGAAGGAGATACTGGAGAAGAAGAAGAAACTAGAGAAACATAAGCCAGATAATGAGAAAGGAAGTGCCGACAAGGTAAACTTTCATCATACCATCAACTTCTTCCACTCGTCTTTTTAATTCAAGTGTTCAGTTTTACAACATGTCTTGTAGTCAGAAGGGCATTTCTAGACCTGAATTTGGCTTTAATTTCAATACAAATGAAGATCTAGCTACTTCATTGATTGTTTGCTTTCACTCTCTTGTGCAGAAACCTGATGCAAGCAAGCCATGAGTTCATGGCTCACAGATCGGGTCATAAGGCAAGAAGTAGTGAAAAATAATAATGCCTTTTGACCTTTGTCACTCTCTTGGTATGAGATTTTGTACTTTCTGATGTGTGTTTGTGTGTTGTAACTTGTAAGAAATCAAGTTTAAAATAATCGAAAAAAACCCTCCATATGCATTGATTCAAAATACCAAAATGGTTACCAAACATATTTGTGTTTACAAAAAGCTTTCCTATACATTATTTTTATTCTTTCATCACCATCATCATCTGTATAAGAAAATACCCAATCCTATTTTTTTCGTATTCACATAAAATGAGTAAAACCCCTATTAAACTAAAACCATCCCAATATTTCTTCCATTTCTTCACATCCGAAACCCGAAATCCTCAAAATGACCAGGAGTAGTCAATTGCTGACCAAACTCAGACAGAATCTGTTGCTGCGGTTGTGCCTGAACAGGACTCTCATGCTGTCCAGTCCAGTCCATGGTAGACCCAGGCATAGCTAAAGTAGTATCAACCGTAGTGATATCATGGATGCTCGACCTTTTCCTCTCCTTCTTCACCGAGTTCTGTCTCAGAAAATACTTCTGTGCGTGACTAGCGACCTGCGTCGGCGTCCTCGTCACAACCACGTTCCTCGAGATACTCCTCCAATCTCCCTTACCATATCTCTTCAACCCAATCAGAAACAATCTGCATCAATAAGATTCATATCAAACAATGTAATTAATCACCTAAATTTAGCAAAATTGTATTTGATTTCCTAAATTCTCTAACCAACCAAAACCCTAATTTGGAATGATTGATAAAGAAACGTACTTGTGTTCGTTCTCTGTCCAAGGAGTTCCTCTTTTGCGTTCACTCTCACCATGTTTAGACCCAAACGAGATCTGACCAGCCGAGTCCCAACCCGCCGCCGAGTCATCCATGTAATCGGGGACATCAACTCGACCAGAATCAATCTCGAAAACATCATGAACCAAGGCCTCGTAATGCTCCCTAACTTCACCAGCAGATTTATGAAGCTGATCAGCGATTCTCTCCCACCGATTAGGAGATCCTTCAGGAAAAAGAACCAAAGCTTGCTCAAACATCTTATCCTCCGACCTCGTCCACTGACTTGACGCCATAATCCAAGGATTTTAGTTGTTGTTGATGGTTAAGAAGACTCGAGTATAAAACAAAAAAAAATCTGAAATTTGTTGGATGGTGGAAGAAACTGTTAGGATAATTTATACGGATTCTTTGGTTTTTATTCTTGGGAAAGTTTTTTATATATGGGAAATAAAGAGCTGGAAATATAAAAATAAAAGGAAGGAAGAAGCAGCTCAGAGACCAACTTCAACACGGTTTCTCTGCAATTGGGATGTATTTTGTTTCTCTCTTTCTCTATTTTTTTTTCTTAAATTTAATTTTAGCGTTACACCTGACCTGACTTACTGAAATTTTGCTTCCAGTTTGTTACAGTTTCTCCTTTTTTATTTTTTTTTATTTTATAATAAGTAAATGCCACTTTATTTTCCTAATCAAATGGGAACACGTAGCTATTTTAAAAAAACAACCGCCTAAAAATACGAAAAGCAATCTAGAAAGACTTCTTTTTAGGTTTCACATTCTCGAATCAATCACAACGCAACACTGTCTACGTCTCCTTGTCACTATTTTTGTCCAAATCTCTCACTTCACTTTCTTAATTATGGTTATCTGTGATTTTCCATCTGTTTTTAATTTTCATTTTAATAACCTTATTTGTTGTTATTTTTTCAGATATTTTTTGGCCAAGGACAATTCTCGTGATGAACAAATAAAATTTTCTAGTGATGGTCCAACATTTGACCTGTTAAATTATCTACCGCAAAGTTTGACTAATTTTTGACAGTTGGGTCATTAATGTTAAGTCAAAATTTAATCCTCAACTGTTTTAATTGTAAGTGTATACTACTATTGACCATTAAAAGCTCCAATACTCACGACTATAATCAATTGAGTATATATACTATTCATAGCACTTCCATGCCTTGGTTAAACGAGTTTACTTAGGTTTCGATTTAGAGAAAACATAGCATATGCATAGTAAAATAATAATACTAGTCATGGTATCGTTACATTACTACTTGTGTTAGCATTTCTTTGTTTCTCAGCCAAAACGGTGGAAAGTGGAATATGTGAGTGTTTGATTTTCGAACGTGTTAAAGCGTTATAAGATGGTCCGATTTATAATAGTAGTAATTTATTAAATACTCCTGTAGAAAAAGATAACACTTAAATTTTGTCTCATCTTATCGGAATTGTATTTTATTAAACTATGTTCTCAACGACCTTCAACAAATTTAACTATAAGAAAACAAAGGAACTTCAACTAATTTTTTTAGTACTTTTTACTCGCTACTTGTTTCTTTCTTCACACGTAGTTTAGTTTACTTGTTTTTTAAAATGGTTTACACACTTTTACTAAATTAATTGGATTGCACAAATAAAGTGGATACGTTACCAAGTCGACGAAGACGCCTACACCGACTCTTCACCAGTATTGAGCCACGTGTCTTCTGCCAATTGTTTCCCATGGATACTTTTTGGCATCTGACTGGTGCATCTAGATGACGTGGCCTCTTGCTTAATCTTCACGTGGCTTTCCAAGTAAAATCTACTAAGTTCTTGCTATTTTAAGCTTTTTGTCTGCTACCATATGTTTTAAGTTTTGATATTATCTTCAAAGTACGGGAAAATAATAGATATAAAAATAAAAAATAAACGAATGGTGAGTTTTAAAAAAAATGGGGTGGTATATATTGAAGACAAAAGGTAGGTATGAAATTCTTGGATAGGGAAAAATACATAGAAACGAAAGTAGGAGGAGGATAAAATTGGTGAGGTAAATTACTAAATTTTTCAAGCAATAGCTTTGACAAAAAAGGTACAGTAAAATAGGAAGAAAAGGATTTTTAATACTGGAAATTTTACTAATTTAAATGGGCTTATGAATGGGCTGACCAAATAGTTAATGGGAGTTTTAGATTATGTAAAAGATAATGGGCTTTTTAGGACTCTAGATGGAATTTGATAATGGTCTCATGATCCAACTAGAAGCAGCTCACGTAACTATAAATTATCGTAATTTAGTAGGGTGTCTCACTCATAAACATTTTATAACATATTTATTAAGGGTTCTAAAAAGTAAAAATACTACATTTCTTGAATACACAATGTTTTTTGGTGAGGAAGGGGTAATTATAAGGTATCTTCAAAAAATTATGTATGAAATCGGATCCTAATATCTTGCTTGAAAATCAATATATTTGAAACAAAAAAAAAAAACATTTTACGGAACAGATCTATATCGGATCGGCTCTCGAATCCCGGATATTTTGCCACAGATTTTATATAACTTCAAGTATATGGAGGAGGGGATTATAAATTAAATGCATGTACAATATGACAAGGAATTTTGTTTTTTCAATTTAAAAAAAAAAACAAATACAATAGGAAAACAGAGATGGGCAGGTCTGGTACAGGGCGTGTGAGACGTGGTCGGATTGAGGCAACCTGAATTTTGCATCTTATCTAAAAGTCAGATTTGACCATCCCACTCACTGTTTAAACCACTCCACATTATCTTATTGTTGTTATTTCATTATTCACCCAAAAATGTAGACGTATTGGTGACCATACAAGTCCTAATTTATTCTTGTCGAATTTAATTTACATATATGTGTGTTGTTGATACGAATATGTGTCAAGGTTGGTTGACAATCATCTAAATACCTTTATTTGTGAACAAAAGAGAGGCTTAAAGAGTGTTCTATTGAAGTAGATATTTAATATTATTTGTTTGGATAAGGTAATGTTAATTTAATGCAATGCGCGTCCAACCGAAAAAAAGAAGATCAATGCACCGTGTATCCAGTTATGGGTGTGATTGGGAGCGATATAAATTTTTCATTACGTCTACAAATCATTCTACAACATTTTTACCTAATCAAGTTTTAAGGTTGTAGATGAGTCATGTTAGAATTAAGCTTACACTGAGTGCTAGTGTAAAAATAGTGTTGATTATGGACTATATACATTATTTTAGTTGGTGGTATTGTGGATCTTGATTTCAGTAAACAGCTTCGAAGGCTCCAAGTTCTATCCATGGAAATAAAATCAGTCAGTCCATTGATGCTTCTTCATCTAAAAGCGTCGAGTCATTGTTTTAAAATGCCAATTTGTATATATATGGAGAACACTCAGGATCATGAGACAAACATGTTGCATTGCCCTTATCACAAAGAAAAGATCACTCGTCTTTTTTTTCAACAACTCACTCATGCATATTACCACTAACACACACTTTCATATAACACGGCATTAACACTAAAACAAATGACTATAAGTTACAAATTCTACAAATTAAATATACTCGTTTACAATCTTATATATACCTAAGACCATTGTCGTAAAACATTTGCGTTTGTACTATTCTCTAACTACTAAAATGTTCCAGTCCTAATTTCAAAATGATTAAATGCAGAGACAAAATCATTTTAATATGACCTTAATTACATGCAAATATGCGAGGATATTTTCCTAGTAATGCCAAGTTGCCAACTAAAAAGGATAAAAATTGTCGAAAAGAACCAACTAATTACGAAAACTCATTTCCTCAAATTCTGGTCACGCTTCGCTTTAAAAATTAAAACCCGTGTGCTTATCCATTGAAAACAAAACAACATCCCACGTGTCACCTTCTTTGCCACACGTGTGAATCATAGCCGTTAGAGGTAACGTCGTTACCGTGCCTTACGATATACGAAAGTTAACGCCGTTTGTTTAGTTTTTCTCTTTTTAACGTCCGTGACGGTTTCATAACCTCGGGAACAAAGGAAGAGCTTTCGAAGCAGAGAGTCGTTACGTTTCAAACAACCGTTCGTACTTCGTAGTCATAGTCACAAGTTACTTTTTTTGGTGAGCGTCATAGTCACAAGTTATTTAATTTGTACTACTAATTCCCTATCATCAACTAGAAGGAAGGCAATTACAGAATTTAGCCTATAAATAACATCGATTTTAGACCCTCATTTTAAGGAATTTTTTTTAAAAAATGAGGGAATCGTTATCCTCCAACACAAAAATGAACCTTTTTATTTACAAAATGACCTCTACACTTTTATATGTTTTTATTTTACATCTAAACAAAAATATTTTTCTTAATAAAAGACTTAATAAAAAATTACGTACAAAAATATTTGTTAGTTAATTAAAATTCTAAAAATACAATAATGACATTAATAAAATAGAAAATAAAATGACAGGACCAACAGTCAAATTTAAAATTGGTGAATTTTATTTTGGGTCTTAATGATGCTTAAAAAACTATTTTCTTGTAATGTTTATGTGGTGTTATGTAACTTTACTTATACCATCAACGTTTAATTTAGATAAAATCGATTTTTTAGTTAAAATCTGTAAATTTAGAAAATAAAGTGTGTTATTAAAAATAAATGATAATCAGTAAAAAATATATATATACTCTTAAAAAATCGTAATTCATTTAATATTTTAGAAAAAAAAATGAAGATAACCATTGGAGATGCCACTCTGTTACGACTCAGCGATATAATGACATTTATTAAGTACCACTTTTAGTGGTTATATGGTCAACAAAAAGGGTTTACAAGCTTAGCTAGATGTGAATACATACTAAATACTACCAAACTAGTTTATGATTTGTATATGAATCAATAAAAGCGTTAGCATAATTAGTATATATAATTATAAATGTAATTGGACCAAAGAGATAAAAGCATCTTGGGTTTAGTAAGCTTTTCAGCTGATGATGCTTATGTGATTAATGCGATTATAAGAATTGGAGAACAATCTTGTTGTTAAAAACAATATTTATAACATTTAAATGCCCTTAAGTATCGTCATAATTACATCTTTGTCCCTATTCTTCTCTTTTTCACTTTTCCTAATCTCTATTATAAAACCAACTCTTGTCAAATCCACAAAAATTCTCAGTCCTCCACCGACCCTGACCCGAACCGACCCGAATCTTGCCGGTGAGAACATGGAGGTCCAAAGCAGCAGCAACAATGGCGGTCACTCTTCATTCTCCAGTCTCCGCGTCTACCTCAACTCTCTTTCCGCGACGCCTTCTCGCTTATCACGCCGCGCTATTTCCGTCTCCACTTCTTCCGACGAGATGAGTCACGTCCGCGCCGTCTCCGGCGAACAGATGCACGTCCGCGCCGTCTCCGGCGAACAGATGCGCCGTACTCTCCGATGGTACGATCTCATTGGACTCGGAATCGGCGGAATGGTCGGCGCCGGTGTTTTTGTCACCACCGGCCGTGCCAGTCGTCTCGACGCCGGTCCTTCAATCGTCGTCTCTTACGCCATCGCTGGACTCTGCGCTCTCCTCTCCGCTTTCTGTTACACTGAATTCGCCGTACATCTCCCCGTCGCCGGCGGCGCCTTCAGCTACATCCGTATCACATTCGGTTAGTCTCCCGCCAAATCATGACTCTCCTCCGATCTGTAACGATTTCTGAAAATTCAAATTTCAAATCTGAAACCGTAACTGATTTCTTTTCTGTTACATTTCCGTTCAGGTGAGTTTCCTGCATTCTTCACCGGAGCGAATCTTATAATGGACTACGTAATGTCAAACGCCGCCGTTTCGAGAAGCTTCACCGCTTATTTAGGAACAGCTTTCGGGATCTCAACATCCAAGTGGCGATTCGTCGTCTCCGGTCTACCAAAAGGATTCAACGAGATCGATCCAGTCGCCGTTCTCGTAGTCCTCGTAATCACAGTCATCATCTGTTGCAGTACAAGAGAGAGCTCGAAGGTGAACATGATAATGACTGCATTTCACATCGCATTCATATTCTTCGTGATCGTGATGGGGTTCATAAAAGGAGATTCAAAGAATCTTTCCTCACCGGCGAATCCAGAGCATCCGTCGGGGTTTTTTCCGTTCGGCGCGGCCGGAGTTTTCAACGGAGCTGCCATGGTTTACTTAAGCTACATAGGATACGACGCCGTTTCAACCATGGCGGAGGAAGTAGAAAATCCCGTTAAAGATATACCCGTCGGTGTCTCCGGCTCCGTCGCAATCGTCACCGTCCTCTACTGTCTCATGGCCGTCTCCATGTCAATGCTTCTCCCATACGATATGGTCCGTACTTAAATTTATTAATTTTTTTGATTAATTTTCGTTTGACAAAGACGGCACGTAGTCTGAGTTTAAAGCTGAAAAACGGCGGGGCATGTGTGTGTGTGTGTGTAACGCAGATAGATCCGGAGGCGCCGTTTTCTGCGGCGTTCAGAGGATCGAACGGCTGGGAATGGGTGACGAAAGTGGTGGGGATAGGAGCAAGCTTTGGGATATTAACATCACTTTTGGTGGCAATGTTAGGTCAGGCTCGCTACATGTGTGTCATCGGACGGTCCAGAGTGGTCCCCTTTTGGTTCGCCAAGATTCATCCCAAAACATCTACGCCAGTCAACGCCTCCACTTTTCTTGGTACGTTTCTTTGTCTCATTCATTCATTCATTTATTTTATTACTGTCAAACAATGATGAAATATAATCAAATCATATAGTTAAACAAAAAAAGTTTGGTCCAAAAAGTGTGATAGAAGTAAGCAGTTAGGTTAAAAGGGGACCCCAATGAGAACCGTTTCGGTTGTTTCCATGATCTTTTTATTGATTTGAACTTTTAACGTTTTCTCTAGATCATACGATCCACGTGATTTCATTATCTATACGTGTCCATTTCAATATATATTTTAAGATCAAAAACTTTTGGACGTTACCATTTTAAAAATCTTCCGCTATCGATTTCGATCGTGACAAGGGCTATGTGCGTTATGTAAGTATCTCTCAACGTAGGGACATGGTTCAATGTGATTTTTATGGTGTTTAAGACATAGTCACACAGAGAGCATCTGAGTCTGATTGCTAGATGTCGTTTGTTCAGTGTTCACCACTGGTTTTCTTTTAATTTTTTGCTCTGTGAAAAGTTTGGTGTTTTTCTTTTTTGTTCAAAGATTCAATCTTTTCAACGGTCTTGATTGTGATGGATTTGGTGGGTCTCTTTGGTTCTTTTTGTGTCCCCTTAGTGTTAAAAATACATATTCCACCTTTTTTATAAAAATACGATAGTTGGATTATTAGTCATCCATTGGACGACTATTAGTTAAATCAATCATTTTTTCTAATTTCAATTTTTGGTGAAGATACTGCTAAGCCTAGTCGGCTGATATTTTGACAACTCCAACTTTTTCGTAATTTCCGGAAAATCTGGCTGAGCTATGCAAGTCTTGATACTAATTAGGTACCATAGTTTTGAACAATAATGACCATCTTTGAAAATACACTGAAGAAATAAATCGCAATTTATTGGCAGATTGGAAAACATATACTAATGCTTAGTATACATACTTATTGAAATAAATCGCAATTTCTTTTGTAACAAGCATTGTTTTCTCATTTAAGTTATTCTCATGCCTTTGTCACAAAATGGATCATTATTAAGGGTCATCATCATTCAACCGGGACCTTATCCTTACTAATTTTAGCAACCACTAACTCACATTTGCTATATCCATCAATAGCATTAACATCTCTCTTCTTTTTTTTCCTCTCCGTATCTGCTTTGACAAAAAGACATAATAAACGAACAAATCCTCCCACCACCATTCATTTCAAATTTGGACTTTTTCATCCGTCGAATCATCTATAGTATAGAGAATATGACCAATCTTATTAATGTTCGTATTGTTTATATCCCTTACCAGGCATTTTCACGGCGGCTCTTGCGCTTTTCACCGACCTAAACGTCCTCCTAAACCTCGTATCCATTGGAACACTATTTGTCTTCTACATGGTCGCAAACGCTCTCATCTTCAGACGTTACGTCCCCGTCGGACCCACCAAGCCATGGCCCACACTCTGCTTCCTCACACTATTCTCCATAACCTCTCTTGTCTTCACCCTCATCTGGAAACTTGTGCCGGAAGGCAAGCCTAAAGCTTTCATGCTCGGTGCCAGCGCGGTGGTGGCTATAGCCATCGTGCTGATCTTCCAGTGCGTGGTTCCCCAGGCTAGGAAACCCGAGTTATGGGGAGTCCCATTCATGCCGTGGACCCCGTGCGTGTCGATTTTCTTGAACATTTTTTTGCTTGGTTCGTTGGACGCACCCTCTTACGTCCGTTTTGGCTTCTTCTCCGGTTTGATTGTGCTCGTGTATTTGCTTTATGGCGTTCATGCGAGTTCTGATGCTGAAGCCAATGGGTCTTTTGGTGTTAAAGATGGACAAGTCATGAAAGAGCTAACCGAAGTGTGAAAAGTATTTATTTAGTTTAGTTTTCTAAAACAACTAGCTTATGTAATTAAACTCTCTAGTTTCTTTTTCCAAATGAGGGGGTTTTAAAATATTACTGAAAAAATATTAAATTCAACTTTAGGGAAAAAAAAGATCATGTATTTTTTTTTAACGACTAAAATGAAATCGATCGTATGCTAGTCATTCTGTTGAGAGAATAGAGAAACTGATGATATTTTTTTTTACCGTTGTGTACAATTCACAACGCACAATATTTAAGTCTAGTACAAACTATTAGGTTACAAGTTTCTGTAAACAGAAGATTTTTGAGATTGAAAGATCAATCTTTGTCAATCCTTTAAGGCAAGATCACGTATGAAATATTTATGGGATAGATAACATTAATAAAAGGAAACGGTAGATAGACATAGGTCGCTCATAAATACGACGAGATGGCGTACAATTGAAAACGATGGGTCCACATCTTTCTCACGGGACACACATACGTGACTTTATCTGCAACTTCATATCCAACAAGATCACCTTTTCTTTTTCATTTTTTTCACAATCACTTGTTTCAAATTCCTTGAGGATATATACACATTCTTTTATTATTTGCATTTATATATTCTATATATCATGATTAATAGTTTGATAACAATATACGAAATTTCCATGTTTTGAACTCCTGAAAAAAAAATTCATACAAAGTTTAGGCACTAAAAGTTTCAGTTTATTGAAGATGTCTGCATTATTTTAGTTTTATTTCTTATTATGTTTGATTTTTAGTTTCTCTAATGTTTTCATAAAGAGGGATGTGTAAGCTAGGATCGAATATGTGATTTCAAATAGTATAATCAGTCCAATTATTCTTTTAGTGAACACTCCCAATAGGCAATAATTATGTGAGCAATTTGGTTAGGATAATATACATAATTACATTTTTATATATTTTGAAGTGGATGATATATATCTCGAATCTAAGTTAACTGTGTTTAAGTGGGAGACGACACTTGCTTGTATTCTCTCTCTTTTGGGTAACTATATTCTTAAGGATGGGGTCCAAATCAAGAAAAGCCCATTATTTTCAAGATCGTCACATTGTTGGAAGCTTTTTTTTTTTTACATTATTTTATTTTTTATTAGAAAATATTCTGCCAATAAGAAGATGTGATTCTATTGGCAATACAAAGATTTGATGTCTTTCTAGAAACCCCACTTTAGTGAAAGTAATGAGTTCCCTCTGCAAAAGGGTTCAAAGCTAAGCGTGATCAGTGCTTCTTTAATCTTTTTTTCCTTTATTCTAATTACAAACCTTAATGTTAGATTCTACATTGGATTAACTAGTAAATACCAATATTTTGATATTGAGTTTTACAAAGACAACTAGTATTTTGTTTTTCAACGGCCATGAAAAGAGTCTAAACTAACAAAATATTTTGGATTTTAGGATCATTGCAATTTTCGGCTAATTTTTTCTCTCTAAAATGCACTAAAGTAGTTGAAGAAGTATAGCTTAATCCTTGATTAAATAAATTATAAAGAACATGGGACCACGAAAATGTCAACCTCTTTTAAACCATTCAAAGCACAAATGCACAATCTAAGGCAAGTTGTGTAGAAGATAGAGTGAGTCCATTAATCCATAGCTAGATTAGATAGGTCTAATCAATGATTTCACTTTTTTGTTGACATATTCATAACGAAAATTTTCCGACTTCTCATGAGCTTTGACATTCGCTTAAAGAAAAAGATCTTTATATATAAAATAGTGTTTTCCAAAAGAGAAATCATAAGAGGAAAGATAGGAAGAAGGATAAGACTTTGATTCTCACCAAACAGCGAAGTTTTTGGCAACTTGCAAGTTGCAATACCTTCCACATTTTAATTATCCAAAAAAAGTTTAATAATGTTAAACTTAAACACTCTATTCCATGATGTGAAAATCTTGTCGTCAAGTTGGTCTTACTCATATTTCAACATTATTAATCATACAATACGGAATCGCAAATCTTATATATATCTGCTTTCTTTGACCAATTGTAATAGATTAGTATATTTTAATCAACCACATAAATTACTTTTCAATTAAACAAATATCAGACAGAAAAAAGTAGTAAATTTTTTGAAAAGTCATAGGTTATTAACAATTTCCGCCAATTTTCCGAGTACAATCATTCATTTGTAGCGCTATTATCTTGTACTCTTGTAGTAGTATATCATTGAATCAAAGACTAACAATTTATTTGCACAAAAAAAAAAAGACTTTAACAATTAAAAAATAATATTGTATTAGAAAAAAAAAAGGAGCAGACTTGAGAAAAAGCCCATCAATATTCAAATGTGATAGTACACTTCAGGCATTTAGGCCTGTGGCCCAAACTAAGTATGTTGTCGCTTTCGCTGCCAAGTAAGAACATTCTTGGTTTCACGGCGAACTTCTTGATCCGATGCAAGATCTTACCCAGAAGAAGCAATACGAGTTCTCTCTCCCGAAACATCTCCGTATTCGCCAGTTATGAGCAGGAGGAATTATCACCGGGACGATATAGCGATGAGTTTAATGTGGTTCAAGCTTCTGACTTTATCGAAATTTTGCAGCTTTGTGCTAGAAACGGAGCTGTTATGGAAGCAAAAGCTTGCCATGGGAAAACTATGCGTATGGAGTTGCAGGGAGATGTCACTCTGTCAAATGTTCTTATTAATGCTTATTCCAAGTGTGGTTTTGTGGAGCTTGCTCGCCAAGTGTTTGATGGAATGCTTGAAAGAAGCTTGGTTTCTTGGAACACCATGATTGGTTTGTATACACGGAACAGAATGGAGTCAGAAGCATTGGATATTTTTTGGGAGATGAGAAACGAAGGGTTTAAGTTTAGCGAATTCACGATATCGAGTGTTCTTTCTGCTTGTGGGGCAAATTGTGATGCCTTGGAATGCAAAAAATTGCATTGTTTGTCAATGAAGACCTCTCTTGACTTGAACTTGTATGTTGGTACTGCTTTGCTTGATCTTTACGCAAAATGTGGCATGATCAACGATGCAGTGCAGGTTTTCGAGTCTATGCAGGACAAGAGTTCAGTTACATGGAGTTCTATGGTAGCAGGTTATGTTCAGAGCAAAAACTATGAAGAGGCTCTCCTTCTTTACCGTCGAGCTCAAAGAATGAGTTTAGAGCAGAATCAGTTTACATTATCTTCAGTAATTTGCGCTTGTTCAAATCTGGCAGCTTTAATAGAAGGGAAACAGATGCATGCTGTTATACGTAAGTCCGGGTTTGGTTCTAATGTCTTTGTGGCATCCTCTGCAGTTGATATGTATGCTAAATGTGGAAGCTTGAGAGAGTCTTATATTATCTTCTCGGAAGTGCAAGAGAAGAATATTGAGCTTTGGAATACGATCATCTCGGGGTTTGCAAAGCATGCTCGTCCTAAGGAAGTGATGATCTTGTTTGAGAAAATGCAGCAAGATGGAATGCACCCAAATGAGGTTACTTTTAGTTCCTTGTTATCGGTTTGTGGTCACACGGGTTTGGTCGAGGAAGGAAGGAGATTTTTCAAACTCATGAGAACCACATACGGTCTGTCACCAAATGTGGTTCATTACTCCTGTATGGTTGATATTCTTGGTCGTGCTGGCCTATTGTCTGAAGCGTACGAGTTGATAAAGTCTATTCCTTTCGAGCCTACAGCTTCCATTTGGGGTTCTCTTCTTGCTTCATGTCGAGTCTGCAAAAACCTCGAGCTGGCTGAAGTTGCAGCCAAAAAATTATTCGAATTAGAACCAGAAAATGCCGGTAATCACGTCTTACTATCCAATATATATGCGGCAAACAAACAGTGGGAGGAAATCGCCAAATCAAGGAAGCTTCTAAGGGACTGCGACGTGAAAAAAGTAAGAGGACAAAGTTGGATTGACATTAAGGACAAGGTCCACATTTTCCGTGTTGGAGAAAGCAGTCATCCGAGAATCCGTGAGATCTGTACGATGCTAGACAATCTAGTTATCGAATTGAGAAAGTTTGGATATAAACCAAGCGTAGAACACGAGCTGCACGATGTGGAGATAGGAAAGAAAGAGGAGCTTTTGATGCAACATAGTGAGAAACTGGCTTTGGTTTTTGGTCTAATGTGTTTACCAGAGGGTTCTACAGTGAGGATCATGAAGAATCTGAGGATTTGTGTTGATTGCCATGAGTTTATGAAGGCTGCTTCAATGGCTACAAGAAGATTTATCATTGTTAGAGATGCTAATAGGTTTCACCATTTCAGTGATGGTCATTGTTCTTGTGGCGAATTTTGGTGACAAAACTCTGTTTTAGGATCACAAATAAATAAATTATTTTTTCCCACCAATATTTTAAATTATGCTTGCGTCAATTTATTGGGCTTATCGGGTCTCAACTATGCGTTATTGAATTGGACTTAGGCCCACTAATAATGCGACGAATGCTAGGGCCCATGGCTGGATTAAAATTAAACCCTAACGAGAACCTTTATTTATATAGAAAAGCAATTTTATCAGCTCCGTCTTAGCTTCTTCGAGTTTTGTCGCCGCCGCTTCTTCTTCCTCGCAGGTACGTTCTGCTTAACCTAGGAATTGCGTCACTGTCAGAAACTGCAGAAGCTTGTGCTCTAGGTTTCGATCTGCTTCTTCACTTTTGTTGTGGTTTTTGTCTCTGTAGCTAGTAAATCTTAGGTTTGGTTAGATTCGTGAAATGGGTTGATTTATTACCTGATGCTGTTTCAAGTTCAGTGTTATGTTGATGTATGTCTTGATTCATCTGCAATTCTCTGGACTTAATTTGACATTGCATTTTTCATGTGTTTCCTGTGTTTTTCTAGTGTTACACCTGAATGTTGAAGTTTAAGACACAAATCAACTATACTCAGTTGTTTCTTGATTTGTCATATGCTTATGGATCTCTCTTGTTCCACCTAAATATTGAAATGGCATTTCTTGACACCAAAATGTTTTCATTTTCATCATGTAATTGAATGTTGATCACGGAATTTGTATCCTTAGATATTCTTTCTCAAAGACATGAATTTTTTTGGTTTTTCTCCTCTCAGCAGGTAAGTCACAAGGTAACTGAAAGATGGGGCGTGTAAGAACCAAGACCGTGAAGAAATCTTCTCGTCAAGTCATTGAGAAGTACTACTCTCGCATGACTCTTGACTTTCACACTAACAAGAAGATCCTTGAAGAGGTTGCCATCATCCCTTCAAAGAGACTCCGCAACAAGATTGCTGGATTCTCCACCCACTTGATGAAACGTATTCAGAAGGGACCAGTCCGTGGAATCTCACTCAAGCTTCAAGAAGAAGAGCGTGAACGCCGCATGGACTTTGTTCCCGATGAGTCTGCTATCAGAACCGATGAGATCAAGGTCGACAAAGAGACTCTTGAGATGCTTGCTTCTCTAGGAATGTCTGACACTCCCGGCATCTCTGCAGTCGAGCCACAAACTATGGCACCAATCCCTGCTTTCGGCAGAGCACCCAGAAGATACTAAGATGGGTTTTTTATCATTTAGCCAATCAAGACAAACGATTGGCTCTCTTTTTTCACAGTTAGGGACAACAAAGACTTGTGGTTCTTGGAATGTTTATTGTTTCTTTTGATTCAAGATTTATGTCTTAAAACTCAAAGCGAGACTTTTCTTTTTAATGGTTTTTCAGTTGTGGAACCAAGATTGGCGTTAACACTTTTGATAGTAGCAACGTTTTACATATCGGATCCTAGTTGATTCTTGATATAAAAATATCCAAATTCACCTGAAACATTCTCAAATGACAAATATTAGGATTTTGAGAAGGGGCGAATTGGTAATTTTAGATTAGCAAGGATTTTTTTTTTTTTTTTTTTTTTTGTTCACCTATTAGCAAGGATTATGTTTCGTTATAACCAGAGAGAAGAGAAGAGACGAGAGAAAAGGAGATATGGATAATGGAGGGAGCGTGTTGTCCCTCTCTGCTCCACACTTTCCTTACTCCGCCACCATTCTCCGCCGTCACTCTCCGATGGCTTCCATATCTTTCTCCCTCAAACCACCGCCGCAACCACCACAACCTCCGCCAGAACCTCCTGAGAGTCCTCCTGACCTCCGTCGCCCGGAGAAATCTCTTGGTTCTTCTTCTTCTTCTTCCTCACCTTCCCCTATCCCTTCTCCTAAAACCCCTCTAAAGATTAATCCACTCAAGGATTTAACGAATCGTTCTTCTGTGTCTCCTCTTGTTCAATCAGAGGTTTCGAGTAAAGTTTCTTCCTTTGGCTCTTCTCTAGCATCCAAACTACGTTTGTCCAGCAAGCTTTCTCCTCCTCCTCCTCCACCTCCGCCTCTTGTGGAGGAAACCCAATTCCGAGATGACATGCGTAATGACACGAAACCTCCGGAAGAAGAAACTCCGAAGCCGCAACCGGAATTCCGACAAGAAGGGAAGATATTCGTCGGTAATTTACCGACATGGATAAAGAAACCGGAGTTTGAGGAGTTTTTCCGACAGTTCGGACCGATAGAGAATGTGATTCTAATCAAAGGGCATCACGAGGTCGAGAAAAACGCGGGATTTGGGTTCATTATTTACGCGGCAGAGAAGTCTGCAATGAAAGCTGTGGAGTTCGACGGCGTTGAGTTTCACGGCAGGATATTGACGGTGAAGCTAGACGATGGAAAGAGGCTGAAAACAAAGGCTGAGCAGAGAGTGAGGTGGGTGCAGGAAGGAGAAGAAGACGCGAAAATGTCGAATAAGTCGTCGTGGCATCAGGAGAGAGAAGGGTCACGAAAGTCACTTCAGAGGATTCTAGATACTAATGGAGATAACTGGCAAGCTGTTATTTCAGCTTTCGAGAAGATCAACAAGGTTTGTCATTGTTAACATCAATCAGTTTTGCTCTGTTTTTGGACTTATCATTTGGTTTGTGTATGAATAATGTAAAAAAGTCTCACTGATTCAATGTTTATTCTCAGCCTTCTAGGACAGAGTTTGGTTTGATGGTGAAGTTCTATGGAAGAAGAGGAGATATGCATCGTGCACGTGAGACTTTTGAGAGGATGCGCGCGAGGGGTATCACACCAACATCACGTATATACACAAGGTATCTCCTTTTGTTACAAAATGTGTTACATCTCTTGTTCAGATTCTGCTTAGTCAAAACATGTCATGGATAAGTCTTTGTTCTGAATTGCCTCACTCTCTTGTCTCATTTCCAAAGTAAAAGATTAGTATCTTTTGTGTAGTTAGTTTTGGATTCCTCAAAGGTTAAAAGAGGATTTGTTTCATGCAGCCTTATTCACGCTTATGCAGTTGGTAGAGATATGGAAGAAGCACTGTCTTGTGTTCGTAAAATGAAGGAAGAAGGAATTGAGATGAGTTTGGTGACTTATAGCGTAATCGTTGGAGGATTCTCCAAAGCGGGAAATGCCGAGTAAGTATAATATTGTGTCTGCCTGCATCGATGAGCGTTGTTAAATGCTTGTTGTATATGCTAATTCGATCTGATAATTTGTTGTCTCTGGAAGAGCTGCAGATCACTGGTTTGACGAGGCCAAACGGATACACAAAACCCTCAATGCCAGTATTTATGGAAAAATCATATATGCACACTGGTAAGCATTGATATGATTTCTGACTCTGTTAGTGCTGTTTGTCTATAGTCTAAAAGATTCTGAACATTTTCTCAGTCAGACGTGCAATATGGAGCGGGCAGAGGCATTGGTGAGAGAGATGGAAGAAGAAGGTATTGATGCTCCTATTGCTATCTACCACACCATGATGGATGGCTATACAATGGTCGCCGATGAGAAGAAAGGCTTAATTGTTTTCAAAAGACTTAAGGTATTAATTGGCTTTAGATTTGGATTCTCTCTTACTTCCTTTTTAGAATCTGAACAAGTGAAGATGATCTATTTGTTTTGCTATAGGAATGTGGATTTACTCCGACAGTTGTTACTTATGGGTGCCTCATTAATCTTTATACTAAGGTAAGGAACAATAGTGTTGTATATAAAGCGAAAATGTTTATCTTGCTATTGTGTCTTGATGCTTCCCTCCTCCTGTTAGGTTGGAAAGATTTCAAAAGCCTTGGAAGTTAGCAGAGTGATGAAGGAAGAGGGCGTAAAGCATAATTTAAAGACTTATTCGATGATGATCAACGGATTTGTAAAACTAAAAGATTGGGCCAATGCGTTTGCTGTATTTGAAGATATGGTAAAAGAAGGCATGAAACCGGATGTTATACTATATAACAACATCATCGCAGCATTCTGCGGAATGGGTAACATGGATCGAGCGATCCAGACTGTTAAGGAGATGCAAAAGCTGAGGCATAGACCAACCACACGGACATTTATGCCTATCATAAATGGATTTGCGAAATCCGGGGACATGAGGAGATCCCTAGAAGTTTTCGATATGATGAGGCGATGTGGGTGTGTTCCAACCGTTCACACTTTCAATGCTTTGATTAATGGTTTAGTTGAGAAACGTCAGGTATGTTTCATGAATCTATGTCTCGATTGTTCTCCTATGGAGATTATCTGATTGAACTAATCTCTTGTTAAATTATTTTTGTAGATGGAAAAGGCGGTTGAGATATTAGACGAGATGACATTGGCGGGTGTTAGTGCAAACGAACACACTTACACAAAGATCATGCAAGGCTATGCATCAGTTGGTGATACTGGAAAAGCCTTTGAGTATTTTACAAGACTTCAAAACGAAGGTTTGGAGGTTGATATTTTCACTTATGAGGCGTTACTTAAAGCTTGCTGCAAATCAGGACGAATGCAGAGTGCATTAGCTGTCACGAAAGAAATGAGCGCACGGAATATCCCGCGCAATTCCTTCGTCTATAACATATTAATTGACGGGTAAAGTATCTGGTTTTGTAGCCACTTTTTGGCCTGCTTCTAGAATTCTCATTCGTTTTCCTTATGTTTATTCTAGATGGGCACGAAGAGGCGATGTATGGGAAGCCGCGGATTTGATACAGCAGATGAAGAAAGAAGGTGTTAAACCCGACATTCATACTTATACATCCTTCATTAGCGCTTGTTCTAAGGCCGGCGACATGAATGTAAGTTTTCATCCAAGAAGCAGATTCTTGTCTATATTCATTTCACGGGTTTGTAACCAGAAATACAACATTTGAAAATGTTTGGCAGAGAGCTACACAAACAATCGAAGAAATGGAAGCATTAGGGGTGAAACCTAACATCAAGACATACACGACCTTGATAAAAGGATGGGCGCGAGCATCTCTTCCAGAGAAAGCCTTAAGTTGCTACGAGGAAATGAAGGCGGTGGGGCTAAAGCCCGACAAAGCTGTGTATCATTGCCTTCTGACTTCGCTTCTGTCGCGTGCTTCAATCGCAGAAGCTTACATTTACTCAGGAGTTATGACTATCTGCAAGGAAATGGTGGAAGCAGGCTTGATCGTTGATATGGGAACTGCAGTTCACTGGTCTAGATGTCTGTGTAAGATCGAAGGTTCTGGTGGTGAGCTCACTGAGACGTTGCAGAAGACATTCCCACCTGATTGGAGCTCGCATCATCATCACCATGGCTTCTTGGATCAAGTTTCTGATGTTGACTCCGATGAAGATGATGTTGATGGTGAGGATGATGATGATGATGTTAACTCGGTTTCTGGTTTCTTATCTTACAAGTAAGAGAAAACTGATATTGTAACAACTTTAGTATAGAGCAATATCAGCATATTTTTGTTTTGTTTTATGCTTCTGTAAAACAAATCTTATTGAAAGTACGATTTCTTCATAAAAGCGAAAATAATAAAAAAGACATTAGAAAATAAATCCAAGAATTGACGAAAGCAACTTTATAACATTTTGATCCATCAATACATGTGGTTTTGCAGATTAGTTTGCAATTAACCGCCAAAAAAGGATTGAAGGATTTGACAGATTTGGTAGACTGTCCTAATCTTGACATAATTGATCTTATTCTTATATGATTAGGTTAGGAGCATAACTGACCTTGATTTGAAAAAGAAAAAACGAAAGAAAATTGGCTCTTAAGAAAATTAAGACTTGCGGTAATTTTTGGTTCACCATAATTATAATTTTCTTCATCATGTGTATGTAACTTGATCCGGAAATTTAAAAAACAGAAACAAAACATGTAGTTTAAAGATTTACTAGTGGACTAGTGTACTTCCAAAAATGGTTATTTCTGTCAGTAAATAAAACCAATCTAACCTAAGATATCGATCATGTGCATATCCAAACACTAACCTAAAATGTATCTGTAAAATTCATTTCTAATGATATGATACTAGGAAAATGTAGTTTATACATTTATTCAAACAAAACTGTATATCTCACTGAATGTTAACACCTAATAGAACAAACTAAATTATCTTAACAACACATGTTTTGACAGTTTGTTTACATTAATTTATTTAAATGGTATTATTGTGTATAGGAAATAACGAAAATTAACCTTTATAAAGTTTGTTTTATATATAGTTTTGAAGATATGCAAATCTGATTTAGAAAACAGAAAAAATAATTGAGTGTCGATCCTTAATAAAACAGTAGTCAGAACTCTCCAACCTCATGAACCCATGCCTTTATACATATTTAAGTTCATCAATATAAAATTTGGCCAATACGTTGCATGATAGGTTAAATAAGTCATATTAAATATAAACATGTGGTTCGTAAACGTACGTCTCACAAGCTAAGTCACATGTTAGAATGGTTGTATAACAAATAAACATTCATACACCAAATTAATCATAATGTCGAAAGACGTATAATTGTTATTCATCATTGTGAAGGTAGGATAAGAACAAAAAAAAATGCATTTAATAATGATTCAATCATCTAATTATGTTGTTTGATGTTAAAATGTTCATGACTATAATAACATTATAAAGAAAAATGTTTGTGACTAGGAAGGCCATAGACAAAAGGAACAATATGATATGGAACAAGATTCAATGGATCTCCCACTTTCGTACCTTCTTCTCTCTTCCACTTTAAGTTTCACCTAACTATCAACGAGATGAAATTGGTTAACCTAAAATTTAGATACATACTAATTAGTATGATACATACTATATAGTGTGCTTTCTAGTTTCTATATGTAGACTCATTCCACTATGAGTTTTTGGAAGCTGTCGGCTAAACCACTTTTTCATCGCATTGGTGAACGCAAAATCTATCGACATTTAATTTTTGGATGAAGAGATTAATGAAGTGCGGGGTCAAGAGAGGAAAGAAATTGTTTTGTTTTCTTATTCATCAAATCGTTGAAAAATTGAAATGGAAAAGTAACAAGTCAAAAATCTAGTTGAGACAAAGAGAAGTCGAGAGGCGGTGCCCATGTGGCCTCCTAAAATTTAAGTCCTAGGTACACATACATGACCTTAAACGTTCCATTATTATTCCCATTACATTTATTAAAAACTTCTCTAACCTTCATTCATAAATATGAACCCTTTTTAGACGAGATTTTTCAAACCTATATTTACTGTTGACAACAAAACTAGCCTTTATTGTTATTGTAAAATAGGAACATCATAAAAAGGACATTTCTTTACTTTTGGCATTTGTCCCATGCAATATGTTCATACTACTGCATTCTAGAGATGAACCTATTTATCAGTAGGTTTCCACTTTGCGCTCATGCATGTAACTTGTTGAACGTGTACGAATGTGTAAATGTGTATATGTATATATAAAATACAAATTAAATTTTGGACCAAACAAAAGGGACCCAAGAGGTATGAGTTATGTGTGACATGGTAATTTTATATCAGTTCTAGCTAGTTTTAAAATTCATGATTAATAATATATATAGGTAATAATAAAACACGCATATAACATAATGTTAAGTAGGGTAGTATTATCGAAGACTAGTTGCTAATTACTACAAAATTAAATAACTAATCATGAGGGATTGAGGGTCAACGGGGTACATGTTGTTCCATGCATTGCTGGCTTTGCCTGTTGCTCGATGATTTCAAGTAATGCTCTTTTCATGCAATCTTGATAATCATTTTTTAAAATCAACTAACACTTAATTGTACTTTTCCTTGTTCTTTTTTCAAATATTCCTATATTTTTTAATAGTAAGCTCGATGAATTATTCATCAAGATGTTAGTTTTTAATTAATAAACTCCGTAGAATCATGAGTTCTATGATAATAGGTCTAATTAAGAGATCTTTCATTCGACTATAGAAAATTAGTATCCGAACTGTCAAATAATGAAAACTTTTAACCAACCAAACTATTAGAACATTTTTTTTGTACCAAGCCACACTAACGATTCTATTAACTGGTTTAGTTCAATCCTTTTTCTGTGCCTGATGTAGAAGATAGTAGTAAGTAGAAGAAAGATTATATTTGGTTAAGTAAAAAAAGACTTATGTCTAAGAAAAAATAAATCTATACTAATATTTTTGCAATATTTTGGTGACGGATGGGTAAAAATGCTTTCGGGTATATCGGATACCAGACCCGTTTTTAAAATTCCTTCACAAAAAATTTGTTGGGTCGGGTTATATTTAACCCAACTCATACACCGGATATTCCATATTTAATAATTTAGATATTTAGAAGATTTGATTAAGATTTATAATTATGATTCTCCTATCATCTTTGTTTGATTTGTTTTTAACTGTTTTGAATCATCATATAATACATAAAGTAAAAAAAAAAAAATCAATTTTTTTTTCTGCATATACTGTGATTCAAAAATTTTAAAACGGATATATATTATCAAATTGAGAAAAATGTGTGTTCAACGTTCTACATCGATTAAAATATTTAGACAATGATTCAGAATCAAATCATAAATAAGAACATTAATAAAATAAATGAGTTTTTTTGCTGGATGGATTTGGCGGGACGGGTTTTTGAATCAACAATAATAAAAAGATTAAAATATCATTAATCTGCCGCTTCAATAGGGATTAAATCTTTTTTTTAATACCACAAATATTAGACATATTAAATCAGTCTCATTTAGAAAAAATTGTATAAAACCAAAAATTGTCCCGTGGTATAATGTCTCGTGGTCATAGAGGATGATATGATTTGTAAACTTTTATATATAATAAATAATCAGTAAATTTTAAAATAAAAACAAATCACGGGACGGGTTAAGAAATTACGGAACAAGTTATATTTCGGAAATGATTTATATGGCGGACGAATTTGAATCAATATTTATATACCGCTTTAATACGGGTTAAATCCTCCGTTTATTAATAATTGTCTCGTAGACTCGTGGTATACCGTTACTTAATAATAATTATAAATTATAATATAAATAAATATGTTATAAGGAGATACAATTTACAAAATATTTTTATACTAACTTTAAAAATTAAATCATCTCGCGGTACACCGCGGGTTAAAATCTAGTAGTTTAGTATGTCTCTATGATTAGTGCCAAATGGTACAAACTCCGACATACGTATCACTCGGTCGTACGAACACAATATTCGTATCTCTTATGTAGGTTTTATGTTACCACAGTGCTGAGATTTGTTAAGCAGCCAAACTAAAATCACAAAACCAAATAAGTTACATCAAGGTACGTAATAACTTGTTACTTTGGATCATTGTTGTTTAATATGCAATTAGACAAATTATCGTTGGAAACCTTGGATTCACTCTACAAAAACATGGATATTCCAGTGAACCGAGATAATTATGTCCAAAGTTTAGTGAGTATGGACAGCTTGGGTCCATTCTACGAACAAGTGAGTAGCTTAGACCCTACCCGAATAGCTTTAGGTCACTTACTATGTGTTGAAAGATAAATAAAGATCAATACAATCTCATGTTCCAAGCTTGGAAAAGGTAGCATTTCTTTCCTGAACACTTCGGACACTTCCACGAAGCAAAAGTGCATTAATCTTTAGTTCTACTAGCTAGTAGGGGATGCAAATAAATACTGAAGATAAACAAAATGTAAACAAATACTCAGCACAATATTGACCATTTATCAAATCTACGTACTTATGAGTTAGTAAATATCAACATCAAAAATATTTGAGGTAAATTTCTTAAAATGCTTTATTTAGTGATGGATAAAAAACAAAGATAGATAGTTTAAATCACCGTGGAAGTTGTTGAGAAGTTACTTCTAAGACTTCTTCAACTGTGCTTGGCATTTATTATATTTTACACTGTTAAATATCAAGTAAGATATTATAAAGTAGAATAATTATACTAAAGTCGGTCTTTAGCAAACGGATAAAGAGGCATGTCCAAGATCGATGTTCATGTGTTTTTTTTTTCCTTTTCGATTTTCTGCATTTCGTTGAATTATTAAAACTGTGAACATTTTCATAAATCAAGTAAAAGTATTCAAATTAATTTTTATCAACTGTATTATATGGAGCAAATTTAAAATTACAATATGGCAAAAATGTCGTATTTGAACATAAAATTAAAAGTCTTATACAAAAAGATGTAGGAACACTGTAGACTGTAGAGTATTCCAAATACTGCATGTTATAAAACTTTATTTTTAGACATCTTCATTTGAAACACGTTACAAGTTGAATAGTCTATCATGAACACTGTAGAGTATTCAAAATACTGTCCAAAACGTAAATTATAATCTAATGTAATTAAAATAAGAGAGGAATATACTGTACTTTTGTAAATTTTGGACCCCTAAAGATCTAGTAATATATAGATGGAAATCCACAGTTAATATATGCGTGATTCAACGGTGCCCTCTTTAATTCCTCACATGAGTTTTGCACTCAATCTTTCTCTCTCTTTTTTCTTCTTCTTCTTCTTTTTTTTTTTGTCTGAATAATTCATTAAATAGAACCAAAAAAGAAATACAAAGTTGGGATACATGGTGAAATACTATCGCCGGCGGGACTCTAACCCCCGGAAAACTAAGCCGGCGGGATTTTAACCCCCAGAAACTAAGCCCCAAACAACGGAGAAACAAACATAAAACTAAAACAAATCTAAAAAAGCTTAGAAATTTTACACAGAAAAACAATAATTTTTTACCCGAACAATCCGAGATCGCAAAAACTATCAGGTTGACAACAAAAGAACAGACCGCAACCTAAAAAGCTTTCGATCAACTTGCCTCACTTGATGATTAAGAGTCTTCATAAGATAAACCTTGGGATTCCAAGAGAAGCGGAACGGTGAAACCTCAGCCCAACAAGCAGAGACCGTTGAAATCGCAGTGGCCGGAGATGTCAAGTAAACGACTTGAACCGGTAAGAGGAACCCAAACCTGGGCGGATCTCGCCCTAGATCCGATCGTTGGAGCTGTGTGAGGAAACCCAAAAAATTGGGTCGCCCAAACCGATTCACCACCTCACAGACAGTGAGTGGTTTAGAGCCATCGCGGTTTGGGCCATGGAGGGTCATGTAGAAAAAGAATTGAAACCTGCAACAAAAACAAACCAAGCAAACCCTAGATCTGAAAGGAGAAAAAGAAGGAAATGAAAATTCGCATCCAAATCCGAGATCTTTCCACACACGAAACCATAGCTAGCTAAAAAAACAAAAGCTCAAAAGCCGAACCGACGCTGTGACCGTGGTGGCTCACACGCGCCGGTCGAAAACGAAGACCTAGTGCGGCGGCAAGAAAAAAGAAGAGAGAAGGGAGAGCAATTAAAAGGAAAGAGAAGAGAGAGGACGGTTTTCTCTTCCTTCTATTTTCCCATTTTTTTCTTCTTCTTCTATTTTCCCATTTTTATCCCTAAAAAGTTGATCCAATATCTTACGCAAATTAAGGCAAAACAGGAAATTTTTGCAAAAGACGAAATAATGAAGGTGTTGGTAAATAAAGTTAAAAATGTACGAAAATAATGATGCATTTATTTCACAACAATGGGTTTCAACATCAGATTGCTTCTGTTTAAATCTTTTACTACTTTCAGTTTTATATCTCTCTGAAACTCTAGAATATTGATTGATTCCTCAAGGACACTGTCTCAGAAATCAGAATCTCTCCCTTACATTCTTGTTCAACCTTGATGGATCATGTTTTTTTACTATAGTGAAAAATCGTCCAAGAAATTCATCGTTTTAAGAACGTGACATGCATTTTAAGATTTGTATACATGTTTAACTTATGTATGAATTATAATAACCAAATACTACCTTTTACATGAGTTTTGAATATTTAAATAAATTAGTTCAGATGTAAAACCGTATTAAGGTCGTAAATAGAGAGTAATTAAAAATGAGAAGAAGATTTGACAAGACGAGCCAATGGACAAGAATGTAGTACCGTCAATCAACCTTTATAAGTATATAAAATTACTATATGCTATTGGGATTTGTTTTCTGCAACATTTTCTTGTAAGCAATCGTTTTTAATGCTTTGTGTTCTGCACAGTGCTTTGTCATTGGCTCGGGACTAACATTTTTTTTTTTTTTTTTGTAGTAGTAATATTTTATTCTTTTTTTAAAAATATAATTAGTATTAAACTTTTCTTGTCTTCAACCAAATTGAATGCTACTGCTGTGTCTTACTATAACTTTAGTATATGACTTGTTCAGAAAAAAAGAGCCATTATATCGTGTTTGCATGAAATTTTTGTTAGTTCAAACTCACCTCTCCAACAACCCATCACCCATGTAGCTAAATAATATGTAAATTACATGCGGATAAGTGAAGGTTGGCATTTCAAAAATACTACAATAAATTTTACATTTATAAAAATGGTTCATTCATTCTATATGTTGTTCAATGAATAAACGAGAAAGATCACAAGGATAATTTAATTGTGCAAACACGTATAATCACATTTCTGATTATTGATTTTTAAATTTGATAGCGGAAGTGTGTGAATTATCTACGATTATTTTTTGATGATTTTAAATTATTTGAGAAAATATAAAATTGAAAATTTATTGGTCAATTATTTAGATGGAATAGTGTAAAAAAGCCAAGATTAAATTTGGATGGTAGCAAATAATATATTGGAAATTACTATTGAAATCCCGGTTGAACAGAAAACGAATCCAAAAAGTTAACCACAAAACAAAACAAACTATCAACTTCAATCATCGTAATTTTAGTCGCGACTTTAGACTAAGCAAATTTTAGCTGTTGATAACAACAACATAACCTTAAAATAATTAACCAGAAAAAAAAAAACTAACAAGAAATGTTTTTTAAAAAAATCCCAAAATTAAATACACACATGACCTGACCCACCAGCTCTCTCCTATATCACATTCCCTCCAACTCCTTCCTCTTCCATTAATTGCAAAAAAAAGAAGAAGATTTGGTTTCAATGGGGAAGAAGAAGATGAAGCTCTCTTCTCTGTTCAAAGGCGGAGCCGGAGGATTACTAGCGGTTCCTCTCTGTTACAATGCCAAAACTCTCTCCTTCCGTGTCGGCGACGACATGATCAAGACGGTGAACTCTGTTTTCTTCGACCACAACCACAACAATGGAGGAGATTTGTTGGAAGCGGAAACGCCTGAGTCATGGTTTACGAACTCGTCCGAGACAGCGAGTCACTCAACCGAGTCGGATCAAGACCTTGACGCTGAATCGTTGGAGATGGTGGTTCGTGGAGTTGTTAGATCGGAGCGGTTGTTCTTCGATCCAGGAGTTACGAGTTCGATTTTGGAAGAGATTGATGATAAATCGAAATCGAAATCGAAGGAGACGGTTGTGGTGGGAGAAGATCGGGGTACGCCGATTGAGGAGATTAGCGTCGCGGTGGCGATGGAATCGGAGGATCCGTACGGAGATTTCCGGCGATCGATGGAGGAGATGGTGATGAGTCACGGTGAGTTGGCTAAAGATTGGGAGAGCTTGGAATCGATGCTCGCTTGGTACTTGAGGATGAATGGGAGGAAGAGTCACGGCGTAATCGTGAGTGCTTTTGTTGATCTTCTCTCTGGGCTCTCTGATTCCGGCGCCGGAATAACGTCGGCTTCGGTATCGGATTCAGCTCGTTATTCAACCGCCGTTTCGTCTTTGCCGTCGTCGCCGGTATATTCGTTATCTCAAGGTCAGAGGGAGATTGAAGAGGAAGAGAGACGGAGCTGTTAGAAATAAAGCTTAAGATTCGGTTTTAATTTTTAATCTCGGTTTATTTAGATTAATTAACCTTTTTGGATTTTGTAAAAAGTAATTAGTGGTTAGAGGAAAAAAAAAACATTAAATATATATTAAAAAAATATTTTTAGAGCCATTATTGTTGATTTATGTATAAGAGTGCCTTTTGTCATAACTCGAAAGTAACACTATTTTTTTCCCGAAAATTCATGAAACTCAGCGAAGTTTATGCTAACAGATTCAGAGAGTTTTGTATAACAGCCAGCCCCCTTAAGAAAAGGAAATACAGTTCATAAGAAGAAAATTTGTAAGCTTTTTATTTAAGATCTTTATTCTGACTTCTTTTTTAGATTTTAAAAGGACATCCACACTACAATTTAAATCACAATTGGAGCTTATAACAATTTTTTCTTTCAAATATGCTTTGATATATGGATGGTTACACAAGGACTAGACTACTACACTAACATAAACTAGTTTGACTCATTATATAGTATGGTCTGATAACTCGTGTATTAACTAAGAAATTTTAATTATATGGTTTTAACATGTCATCTACATTTGAGTTGACACTTAAAAGCACCATCACGTAAGATATATAGGCATTTAGCAAATCACTTTTGTTATATCCATGCTGGAGTTATAATCTTGAAAATAAGCGTATTAGAAATACTCATAGTGTACTGATGTATAAATGTAATTGTCATGACTTATGAGATTCAACTTTTAAAATACAAAACAGGATAGTGTATTTACGAGGGTGCATTAAAAGAGAATGTTGGTCTATAGTAACGTTTGAATTGAAATGTAACAAAAGAGATTTGTAATTTGTATTTTGTGTTGTGAAGTGAATGGAGTAACATACTAACATTAGATGAGCAATGGTGGTGTGGTCAGTGGTCACACACACACACACAGACCCTGTGAATCCCAACATCATAGACCTACTCACTTCTCTCTTACCCCTTTTCATTTATTGCTCTACATTTAATTTTGGGACCAACCTAGACGACGACGTTTAATTTTTTTTTGTTTTTATTTTCCTTTCTTTTCACTATTTTAGAGCTATGCATGTTCTTCTTCCTCCTCATTTTCAAAAAAATTGCTTTTTCTATAGGAAACACATATACATAGGCCTGGTCCTCAATAATTTGGATAGTATACAATTTGGAGTTTCTCAAGAGTACAGAAAACTATAATCAAATATTTGTATTAAAAAAAACACACAACTGTCAAAACAAAATAAAATGTAGCGTCCAACAGCTACTTTTACAGAACTTTTTTTTCTTTTCTTTTTCTACGGTACTTACAAAATCACTGTCATTTTTTCTTCTAAGAGTATAACAGGGGCCCAAATACAGTACATGTACAAAATCTAACATCTAAATACATTACGTCAAGAACGAGACCAAAAAGTAAATGGATACTTAAATTTGACAGTGAAGGCCCATTTGAGGAAGGTTCTTCGATCCGGTCCCACGTCGGTTTATTTTGATTTAGGAAAATTCAAACCAAAAAGCTAACCAAAATAAGTATGGTTCAAGATGGGTTCAACTACAAGAGAACTTTTCATTCAAAATTCGTTATTGACCGTACCAGACTAAAATCCAACTGAAGATTAACATATTACAGATTTTTAAACTAAATTCGAAACCAAACGGATTTAAGGAGTTCCTCAAATTCAAGTACTGTTTTGAGAAATCTAGACACTAGAATATGCTGTGTGTTTTGTTGCGTATTTCCTTTGTTCATTGTGAGTCAGGATCTTTACCAAAACCCATCATGGCATGAGTCGCTAGCATCAAGCCTCTTCGACCCATCTCCATTACCCGCCCGACCAACGGGAAGCTAACCGTGTCTCTGTTTCTCAGAGGTTTCTTGTCCCACCTTATACACATTATTCACCAATAAGTCAGAGGCAACAAAATCATCCAAAGAAAACTGTGAAAATTAGCGGTTTTGAGAAAGGGATGATGCAGGTTATTATTACCAGTCTTCGTGTCGGACAATCTTCCCGTTCTCGACATAGAGTTTAATGAGAGAGATCATATCTATGTTCCTTCCCATGATCTTGTAGTGTTGTTTGTTGTCAATTAGTATCTGTTTTTCCACAAGTTGTTTATGTCATATTTAGATACTAAAAAGGAACCACAAGATCATGTTATAGTAAACGAGGATTCTAACCTCTTTCTTCCCAGGCGAGATTTCACTTTCTTGAATATGATATTCAACTATTTTCGACTCACTAAACACCTATAAGAAAACATGATGTGAGATTGAGTCTTTGCAAGTAGTTCCATCATCATAGTAGTTAACAATGAAGTGAGGGAACAAGAGCTTGACATAAACCTTAGCGAGTGAATAAAATGCTGATTTGATTTGCTTCACTCTGAAAAGCCAAGGGTCAAATATCGAAATTTCACAAGTGAGGTAATCTCAGCAATTGTAAGAAAGAATATATAGTAGGAAGATTGACATACCCCTGAGCATGCGTCAAAGGGTCTTCAAACGAAGCATTTGGTGCATACATGTCAAAGTCGCTGGCTTTTGCACAAGACCCGTACCTAAAACAATACCACAAACTCAAATTATACTGTGCTCATGTGCGAGATGGACAAGAAACTTCTGATCTGCCATTTATAGATTATAAACCTTGGGATGCAAGGAACAACTAGGAGTAAGTAAAGCACTCAATAGACACTAATTGCATCTCTTTTGGTAGACAATTACAATCACTGAGGATGGATTCACCATAATCTAGGTTAGCCAAATAACCAAAACCAAATCGAAAGAAACCGAAATGAACAAAACATATCCCAAAAAACTGAAACAGATTGAATCTAAACCTATTTGTCCTTGAATTCATAGATTTTGTTACAGATAAAGCTGTCTCTAAACCGAACCTAAATGGAACAGAACAAACCGAGTGGATAATCAATAAGGTCAAACTACTAAATTTCACAAAGAACCTCAATGAAAAATCAAACAAAATGGCTCACAAGTTGAGAAGATGAGGCATGATTTTATCAGCAAATCGCTGATTCGATTTCAATTCACAAGCTCCTTTGCCTTCGCATTCCCGCGACGGATCCATCGCTGCTTCGTAACAGAAACCATCAATCATCACCAGAAAATCGAAGAAGAAGATGAAGAGACTCATCCAGAAACCATCAATAATCAGATCGTAAAAGAAAACGGAGAAGTAGATTCACTGGTTTCATCGAACGAACCTGGACTCGGGTTCTGGTGTTGTTTCTCCATGGATGTTGCAGATAGAAAGAGACGATCGGGATTCGAGAGATGAAACTGGAATCGAAATTGAAGCGAAGGAAGGAAGGAGACTGATATTTGCTAATACAGAGATGAAAATGGATCGTGGTGGATTAGCTTCCACGTAGCACAATCATCTCCATAGGTGCTTTGTTTTTTTGACCGTTGATTACTCCAACGGGGAAAATGTGTCCCTTTTTTTTTTTTTTTGTCTCTTGTCCCTTTTAATTATTATTCCCTTTATATATAAAATGGTAATCCACAAATAATTGATGGTTTTATGCTAAATGATCGTGTATGATTCAAACAATTGTCTATCATTTATTTTGAAGTCTTACAAATGAATTGTAAAATCGATATGATACTATCTTTCTTTATTCTTAACCAAAACATGAGCAAAATGGTTCATTTGCTATTACAATGTCAAATGTGTTATTTTCCTCTGTCATGTCTCTCTCAAGCTTTCTCTATAGAATTTTAGTTAATCCTATCTTTGTTAATTGTTATAACCATTCATATTAAGATGAATGTGAAACTTTCTAGATTTGAAGCAAAGATCAGGAATAATTTGGATTTCATATCTAGAAAAAGTTTACGTTAACTATATAGTCTATAGGTGACTTCTTTTTCCCCATCATTACTTTTCTCAAGCTTCTTTAGCTTAATTTTTTTTTGTTTGACATGTCATTACAAGATTTTCTTGCTTTTTAAATCCTCACCATAATTAATACAAAATGAGAACACAAAAAATCTCCACTTTGCGTAAATGAAACAAGTACTCGATATTATTATAATAGTACTAAAAAGTTTCCTGAACAGGAGAACAGCTGTCTTTTTGTTTTTAGTTTTGGTTTTGATCACAGCTGTTATACATTGGTCAAGTCTATTTGTTAAACTTAAACCTTTGACCCAATATTGAAAAATGCAAAAAGAGGACCTTTGATTAATTTAAAAGATACATGCTTCGTCACTTTGTTTATCAATACACAAATGACAAAACGTTACGTTTTCTTTTTTTGGCTCATTTTGTGAACCGGTGGATGAATTTGAGAAGAGTCACTCTACAATCTACATTTACAATGTATATCCAGAAATAAATTGGATTCTCAATTATGGTATATTGGTATGGTATGCAAATTAAATTCATGCTTATTTTTGGTATCCACTTTTTTTTTTTTTGGGGAGTAGCGAGTCTTTTGCTTGTTTGATTTGTTTGTTCACAAAGGAACTTGAGTAATTTATTTTTGAGCCATAAATATTCTGACTAATCCGTTTGACATTCATTAAGAATAATAACAAATGATCCACACATTCGCAACAAAACACCAAGTTGAGATCGACTACAACACCTGAATGGCTGAGCTTATACGATTTTTTGTTTGTACTTCAATGTGTTAAGAAGTAACTAAAGATTCTATTAAATACGAATATTTTATCAATGAGATATTAGAAAATATCGAATATGATACACATCTAACATATGGTAAGCGAACTTAGTTAGTCAATTACTAATTACTCCATCTGTTCCTAAAAATTTGATATTTTAAAGTTTACACATATATTAAGAAACAATCATGACTTAATCATTTAATAATTTTTTTTATTAAATATTTTTAATAATGAATGAACCAATAGTAATCTAAAATATTTAATTATTTGTAATCATTACGCCTTGAAATCTACGATTTGTTAATATCAATTAATAAAAAATAAAATAAAAAGCTAGAAAATTAATCTTTGTGAAACAAACATAAAACACTAAAACATAAAACTTTCAAGAACGGAGAGAGTACTATTCAACCATATTGATTGCACTAACCATATGATAATAGAGAAACTACAATTATCATATAAATAACACCACTTCCACCAATACAACTCACTTTTTAAGACTCTTTAATTCTTCCCGAACGTTCTAGAGTCTAGACTAATGAAAGTAAATGCTAAAAATCAGATGAAATATCGTAATCAATGTGAAAAACACACAAAAAAACAAAAATCGATAATTATATATTGTATTTAAAAAAGGTACGGATGGAGATTGGTCAGGTCACTGAAGAAGCCTTGTTGCTTGACCCAAAAATTAAAAATAAAAAAAGGGGCCCAAAAGAGGCGTCCGTACGCCTCCTTCTCCAGCCAATTGTGGTTTTTTTTGATATTTGTTGCCCTTTCTTTCTTTCTTCCCCAATTCAATTCTGCGTTATACATTTATACGCAGCTGCGTGTGAGAGAGAGAGAGAGAGAGAGATAAAGCAAACAGAATAAATTCTTCTCCTTTTTTTTTTTTTTTTTGTTTTGGCAAGTTGCAAACTAGTGAAAGAGAAAGAGAAGGATGGACTAATTTCCTTGGCGTTTTAGCTCTCTTTTTTATCCCGCATTGTTCCTCTCTGTCACTCTCTATCTTCGCCGGAGATACCTGTTTTTCTATCCCCGGAGGTAAATAAGAAATTCCCCTTGATGATTCACAAGTTATTATTACTTGGGGTCTGTTTGATTTTCAGGGTTCTCTTTCTGTTTAATGTTTCTGCTGAAATTTCCAGGTTTATTTTTCTGATTCATTGCCGTTTTCTAAATCTTGTAGTGGGTTTTGGGTAACTGTTTCATTGATTCGATGTTGTTTCTTCTTCTCGTTACGATTTTTGTTTTTCTTTCACTCTTTTGTCTTGTGGGGTTAGTACAAGAATGGCTGTCGGATTTCACTATTTTTTTTTACTAAATAAATTCGTTTTTTTTTTCTGGGATTGAGGTTTCTGTTTGATAGCTGATAAAAATCGAAGCTTACAAAGCTGTAAAATTGGATTCACTGAAAGTGTTTTCATTGCTTAGAGCTATAGCTTTACTATTCTCTAATAAAGGTTATGAATTGTTGATTTTCTAGGAAATTCTGTGGAGCAACTCTCATAGTTTGAATCATGTCAAGGCCTGCTCAGCTTCCTCCTCGTTGCCCCATCCCAAAGAAACTCTCTTTGAGTCCGGTTGCAGATACATTCTACTCTTCTTCCTCTCCCATTGAATCATACATTGGTCAATACAAGTCTTCTACTCAAGATTCCAGGCTCGAGGATCAACCTGCTTGGCTTGATGAGTTGCTCTGTGAGAAAACAGATGGGTTGCTCACTGGAGGAGGTCCTTTGCGCCGCTCAGCTAGCGACTCAGTTGTGCTTTTGGGAGACATCTCTGCTCATTTTTCTGGTTTTAATCAAAGTGAAGATGAAGAAAGTTTGAGTTCTGAAGCTTGTGGGGACTTAGAGTCAGCTTGTGTATATGGTCCCAACTCGCCAAGAGCAAAGAATAACTCTAGCTTCTCTAACAACCCTATTGCTTCTGCCTTTTCGGATTATGGTTCTCAGAACTTGGATGATACGGTGAAAGGGATCAACTGTACACCTGTTGCTGAAAATGCCTGTGGTTCAATGGGAATACCAAATGCCAAAAGGTGAGAGAACATTAATCTTCTTAAGATATTATTATCTAACATCATTACTTTATTGTGTAGAAATTGATAAGCTTTGGTCCCTTTTACGAGTAGTATTCTTTATCGCCTAATGTTGCTAATATTAATTCGGCTGCATCAAGTCTAGTCCCTAAGCTCTTATGTGGTACCTCTGTATCTAGTTCTAGATCAAGATACATCGGTTTCTGGTTTGTCAGTGAAAAGGAACAAAGGAATAGGAACTTCCATATCTCTTGTTTACACTTGGAATTTGTAGTTAATGATGGGGTTTGTCATGACTACTAATACTTGTACATTATCTTGTTCTTTCATATGTTGATTCGTTCTTGATTTCTCTATCGTTACTCTGCCAGGAACCCGGGACAGCGTTCAAGAGTTCGTAAGCTCCAGTACATTGCTGAACTTGAGAGGACGGTAGGCATGTTGCAGGTAGAGATTCCATTCAAGCTTGTGCGCTTTTGTTAAAACCCAATGGGGTCTGGTCTCCATTGTATTGGTTGATTTGTCTGTGGAACCTACAGTTATATGTACAAAATACAATGCTGTATGTTAGATCTCTGTGGTTGGATGATCTAGTTATTGGTGTTATTTCCTATTATACAAACACCTAGCTCATTGTATCTGGTAGTAACCAAAAGCAATCTCGTTTTGCAGACTGTAGAAGAGGATTTATCAGTGAGAGTGGCTTCACTTCTTCAGACACGAGCAACACTGTCCCTGGAGAATAGCCAGTTGAAGCAGCAGATGGCGATACTAAAGCAGGACAAGCTCATAAGAGAAGGTAAATAAAAACATGACATAAACCACACATTCAAGGAGTATGAATTACAGCTTGAGATCGATCCACTGATTCTTGTATCGAAATATTCTCTGTAGGTGAGTATCAGTTACTGAAGAAGGAAGCTCAGAGATTGAAATCTGGATTGGGATACTTAGGGAGCAATAACAACAATAACAGGCTGGTGAGGTCATATTCTGCTGGTTCAAATGTAGCTCCGAGGACAGCTTCGTCCCACTTGGACTGGAATTTGCTAGATCTGACCAAACTCAATCTCAACTAAAGTCTAAAGACAAAACCCTCCATAAGAATAAGTAGCTTTAGTAATTCAGGAGTTAACAATTCTATTATGTTCGAAAAAAAGAACAAATCTCACGTGTAACAAACCGCCGTCGTTTCGTGTTTTTTTTTTTTTTTGTTTCCGTAAAATATGAAAATGTTATTTTGACGATGTAACGCACCTTGGACACGTGTCAGTAAGCAGCAGTATCAGATTCCCTCGACTCTAAATCTCACGCTTGAAAAACAAAAAAAGAACTATTTTTATAACAATTCACTATATTTTTGTTAATAAATTTTACATGCAAGTGTTGGGACTTGGGAGTCCTAACTCGATATACTTAAGCATCTCCAAAGGTAGGTTCTCTCAATTTTTTTGATGAGTTCTCTTCTATAATTTGATTAAAAATAATTCTAAAGTGGTTAAACAAGAGAGAATCGCCTCTCTTAAGAGGGTTTTGAGATTGTGAGAGAGACGGACACGTGTCGCTGATTGATTGGAGGAATCATTTTAACAAAAGCAAAAAAAAAACTCATTTTTTTTGTTATTTCTCTCTCTCGACCAAATCTTCCAAACACGACTTTCTCTCTCTGTCTCTCTCGCGAATGCGATTCCAAGGAAGTGATGAACAACCGTCGGATTTCGTGATTTTCCGATGAATCGACGCCGATTTTGTGGTATGTGAGACTTACCAGCCGTCGGAATCATGAGTTGGATAGACGGTTAAGACCATCGGCGAATGGAGTCAAATCGAATCGTAGATTGGCGATGGAGAAGAAGGATTCGTTGAAGGATGGTCCAACTTCTTGTTCCAGGTATGAATCTAGCCCCTTTCCCCTGTGTATCATGACTTAATTCGTTTTATTTTGTGGTTCTTGATCCAAATTAGGGTTTTGATTTGTAAGTTAGGGTTTTTTGTTTTTAGCGACAAAATGGTGTTTAATAATCAATTTGGAGGCTTTGTGTTTGAAAATTTTCCATAATTGTTGACGAATTTGTCATAGATAGTTAGATTTAGGGTTCATAGTTTCGGGGAAAAAAATTATAGTTTGGTTTTGTCATTTGAATGGAATTGGAGGTGAAAGATTGCATGAAAAGATGACAAACTTCGTGTCGAAGAACAAAGCTGCGCAATTGAAACACAGTTCAAAGTAGTTACCAGTTTTGTCTTAATTTCATGTTTCAAGTGATCCACTAGAACTTTGCTGATTAATTTTTTTATTTCTTGTATGCAGAGACTTTGGTGACCTTTCATCAAAAGACTTGCAGAAGATGGTTCACACTTTGCCTCAGTACAGTGAGCAAATTGACAAGCTTTCTCTACATGTAGAGGTCAGTTTTAAGCTTCTAAAATAAACCATGGAAGAAAGTTTGATAAATTATTCCTATTGTGCAAGTTGATTAGTTTGACGTGATAATGTTAATAAAGTAAGTATTGATTTCACTGCAGATTGCTAGAACAATTAACAAAACTATCATGGAACAAGGTCTAAGAGATCTCGGGCAGCTCGAGCAGGACCTCACTGCAGATGTGTGTATGACTCATGTAGTTTTGTATTTTATGTGTAGACACCACGAGACTATGAATTTGTATTTGTGATTGTGAACCACATAAATTGCTATATATTATTTGTTCTCTTATTTGTGATTGTGAACCAACATTGCTATATATTACAAGACAATGCTTATTATTTCACCACCGAACAATTGTTCTTCTTATTGTTGTTCTTCTTCTTCTATTATTACAACAAAACCACAAAACACTTGCATTCTTCTTATTATTGTTCTTCTTATATTATTACAACACAAACAACATTTGAGTATGAAAATTTTCTTGCATATCTTTTTAAAAATGTTTGAAATAATGTATGTTTAATATTTTTATGAATTGTAATAGTTATTAAGTTTTATGAAATAATATTTCTAATAATTTTTTTTTTCTTAAGAAAACCTCACTAGAGAACCTACCATTGGAGTATGAAAAATTAAAAAAAAATTCAAAAGTTCTCATCTCAAATTTTCAACAAATTTATAATTAAAAAATTGAGAGAACTTCATGGAGACAACTCCCCATTGGAGTTGCTCTTAGTGAAGGTCAAAGCTCCTAAGAGACCTGTGTTCAAACTCGTGGATCAGACGCTGAGCTATAGAGTATGGTTTGTACTGAGGAAGAAAAACAGAGGAGGGGAGCGAGTTGACTTGGGTCAACTCTCAGAATCTGATGCAGCGAGTTAGAAGTCCAATCTCTGTAAACTAACTGAGCCAATGAAGGGAAACGTTTCATTCTGTTTCAAGAGTTTGTGTTAGCTTTAATGGTAGGTTTATTAGGTTCTGTAAACCTCGTGTTGGTTACTACCAGATACAATGTTCTAGGTGTTTGTATAATGTTTTACTTGTGTGCATATAACACCAATAACTAGAATACTAGATCATCCAACCACAGAGATCTAACATACAGCATTGTGTTTTGTATATATATGTAGGATCCACAGACAAAACATGAATGGACTTGATGCAGCCGAATGAAACATGAATGCAACATTAGCCGATAAAGAATACTACTCTATAAGGGACCAAAGCTTATCAATTTCTATACAAATAAGCGAAAATACATAATTAAGCGAAAATGCATAGTTCATAGGAAATCTCTTGCCAGACGAGAAAAGGGTGAATCCTTTTCACTTATGATTAATGTCAGGTACTAACCTTATCGCAGCTTTCCTCCTGGGAAAATGACATTTCGACTAACATTCTAGTACAGGTTCAGTATATAAATAATCAATCCAGATTCTAAAGAACATTCAAAAACAATCTAAATGGCTATCCCTACTAAACCTGATTTCCCCAAGTCCTCTGACGACACTCACTCTCCCCTCTTCATATTCTTGGCTCTCTTTGCGTTTTATGTAACTACCAAGGCCGGCCTAAGGCTAAAGCCTGTAAAGCATGGGCTTTAGGCATCAAATGTCTATAAAAGAATTTAGGGGCATCATTTTACAAACATTTATTGTGGTACAGTCGTTAATACCTCCACTCTCTCATCAAAGTTGCTGAGTTTGAGTCCTTTTAGTGTACTATGTTTATAAATTTTGTTTTAATTATATATAACTATGGACCAAAAATTTTGTTTGCTTTAGGCAGCAATTTAACTTGGGCCGGGCCTGGTAACTACTATAAAAATATATAATTTTTCTTTTTGTCATAATTTTTCTTGCTTATATTTTGCTTTCTTTTTTCTTATATAAATTTTTATTTTTATCATATTTTTTCTTGCTTTTCCTTATAATTTGCTTATTTACTGTTACCAATGATTAAGAAAATGGTTTAAGAGCACCTAGTACCAATATGAAAAAACAACTATTAGACGGATTAAACGTCTAGTAAACGGGTTTAGACGCCCCAAATTTTCTCCAAAAAAAAAGACTCGATTAAATCGGACAAAAATTTGCTTATTTCGTATTTATCGATTTTCTTAAAATATTTTCTTATACGGACAAAGTTGTGCAAAAACATTTTCTTATACTAGGTGTTATTTAAACTATGTGCAAATATTATATTTTATTTATAGAAATATTCAAAAAAAATTTGTAGTTTAATACAAAAATATACTAGGTCACACAACTTTACACGTATATATATATATATATATATATATATATATAGCTATATCTCACACACATAATAACATACTAGGCCAAATTGGTAAGTTGAATGCTGGAGGCCGAGACTGGCTCAACTCGGGGTTTTGTTTCGTTCCGGCGTTCAAGACAGTAGCAAACAGCTGCTCCAACGAAAATGAGAAAAAAGATAGCGGCATGAAAATGAAAATGGGAGAGTGAGAGTCAGGATTTGGGGAAATCTGGTTTTGTAGCGTTGGTCATTTTGAATGTTTGATTGTTCTTTAGACAATGCATTTTCGCTTAATTATTTATATACAGAAGTTTCACATTCTTAATGAAAAAGTTGTAGAATGTTAGTTCGACACACTGTCATTTTCCCAAGAGAAAAATTAGAAACGTACTATTACTTTTTGTTTCGACCTTGATAAGGTAATACATATGTTAGTATGTTAAATTGGATGTTGACATTAAAAAAAGGCATAATTTTACTAAGACTAAAGATATACTTTTATAGCAATAAATATTTTTTTGTAACTTAAGCTTTGAATGGTTACTAGTTTTAAGTGATTTTTTGGTTTTTTAATTTTCACCATTCAATATTTTAAAAAATTAGATTCCCTAAAATTTAGGATAACTAGTTTTTGAGTGGTTTCTCCAAGTTTCAAAGAAAAACTAAAAACCATAATTTTGAGGTTTTTTGTAGAAAATCTTCCTTATTCGACGAGATTATGTTTGATTTTTTTTTTTTATGTTTTTTTTTATATTTATAGCAAAAAAACCAAATACTAAAAATTTTAAAACCAAAATCTAAAAACCAGAAACCACTTAAAAACTTGTAAACATTGAAGGCCTAAATATCAAATACAATTATGCCTTTTATACTCCAATAACCAATTTTCGGACCTTTTATCCTTCATAGATAATTAAAAAATGGTAAAAGATACAGTGTATCTGTTACACACCATGTTAGATTTTATATTACCTTTTTTTTTTTTTTTTTTTTGTTGATGAAAAGATGGAATGTTATGGCTTAAAAGATGGAAAGAAAGATATATTGTTCTCATATGGTGGACCTGGAGGAAATTCTTGTGGGATCTAATAATATTACTAAAATGTATGCATTTGAGTATTATAATAAATAATTTGGACTTCTCAACAAACTCAAAAACTTCACTTCTCACTAACATATCTTACACAGGCGATGCTGTAGACATGTGTAGATACCCGATTAGATTTCCTTATAAAATAATCCAATACAGGCCAAATCTGAGGATTCAAAGGTTAATGAAACTGCTATGCAAAAAACGTATTACATCTGTTATAAGGATATAAAAGCATACTAGTAGTTTTCACGAATAGAAGTCGCTGGAGATGAATGTTTATGCACACAAAGAGGTGTGTAAATGGGATTTAGCCCCGAAGTGATGCACGTGGTACCGCTGGTAATCCCCATTCATCCTCAGCCTGTTCATCATTACACCATCATAAATATCTCATCAGACATACATAAAAAGTTCGAAGTACAGAGTATAATATTCGGTAGTTACCGAGTAAGAAAAATATGCAAAAAGCCATCATCACTCATTTAGTAATCAAGCAAAATGTGGGAATAAAGACTAGACCAGCCTCGTAACTAAAGATAAGTTTGTCATAGGAGGGCATTTGTTTTTAGAGGTTTATCATCTGAATTCTCAAACTTTGCTAACTTACTTACCTCTAAAGCTCATAAATGAATTCAACATGTCTTTTATGTGGTAGAACAAATAAAACAAAAGAGAAATAAATTAGTGGAAACTCACCTGAGCTCGTCCGGGTGGAGCTCCTGTATGCCCCATTGGTGCTGGAGGCAAGTTCAGTTCATCATTAAGATCCGGTTCCTTATCGGGTTGGAGATAGGAAGGCACTCCGTCTGCTTCAGTCTCGTTTTCCATGTCAGCTTCAAGAGCATCAAGCTCTGAATGCACAAACCCATTAAAAAGTGTAAGAGGAAACACAGGGAAATATACTAGTCCTAAAGACAGAGCAAGAATTAACCGCCCAAGAGGTCATCTTCATCAATGTCATCAGGAACATTATAGCTCCTACCCAGTGTCTCATGAATTTCAGAACTCTCATCCATTAAGTCCATCATATCATCTTGCAAATTCTGGGTTATACAAGTTGATCAAAACATTATCTACAAGAGAAGCTTGAATAGGAAGAACCAAGGTAGTCAGTCTGACATACATCTATATCTTGAATCTTGACGGTTTTCATCATTCCTTTCAACTCCTTGTTAGCAGATTTTAGCGCAGTCATCTGCACATTCATTCATGTACATGAAGAATCATATGATTCATATATAAAAAAACACATCAAAATTTCTAGGAAGAAGATAAGAAACAAACTTATTATGGGTACATACAGTTTGTTGAGCATCTTTGAGGCTTTCAGCAGCAAATGAAACTTGATCAAGGTTAAAAGTCTGATTATAGAGCATGTCACGTTGTCCTTCGTACCTAAGCAAAAGTGGTAAGAGTTGGTATTAAACCCATATGATCCAATGTCCATTGAAAGAAAGTCTCACATCTTCTTTTGCTTGAGAACTCTGATAGCACGAGCTTTGATAGCTTCTTGAGCAGGACCAGGTCTAGTCCTTTTGATCTGATCTTTGTATTTGCAGAGCTCAGCATCAAGCCTCTTAACTTTATCTTCCACTGAATCTCCTCTTTTATTGATCTGAGAACACCAAAAGCTAGAATCAATCAATCAATCAAAGTTCATCATCTATGATCAATCTCACCCATCTAAACTCCAAACACAGAAAACAACGGCTCTCGAAGAACCCTATACCAATCCTTCTCTACAATGAAACTGAAAGAAACGAGAGAGAAAGAGGAGGAACCCGATCAGAGGCATCCTGAATAGAAGGTGGAGGCTCTTTGTTATTCTTCGCACCAAAGATTCTCTTCATCTTTCTCCTTCAAACGCTATAATCAGATGATGATGCTAAGCTACAGACACAAGCCGAAGAAGAAGAAGAAGTCGATTAAACTTTTTTCGAAAAAAAGAGATCTATTTGCATGAGAAGTATGCTTATCACGCCAGATAAAACCCATTCTTTGACCTCGGTCTATATGTCTATGAAAAGGAAGTTAAATACTTATTTCTCCACGAAATGGAAGTTCAATAGCTTAATCTCCCCGAATCTGAAAGTTCGAGATCTGTCCCACTCTGTCCCTCTCTTCCTACAAAATTACCCTTTTTGTAAAATTTTCAAAACTCGGCCCATTATCATGTGAATTATATGGCTAGGTTTTAATTACTATATACATTCCTATAATATAATACATCATCTATTTTTCACATGACCTTTGATAACTTTTCAATGACAGACAAGGAACATTGTAGCTGTGATACCAGCTACAAATAAATATAAATTTGTATTGAATGATTATTTTATATAAATTAAAATTTATAATTTTATTTAGATGGATGTCTAGGTAGATTTATGGCTTTGGAGCCAATATCTTTTGAAAAATACAATTACCGATTTTATTAAATACTTATAATAACTCTGGTAAATTTCCTAAATACAAATTATTGGTGTCTAGGAGAGGAGGAAAAGTCTCTCTCCACAGAAGAAGACATTATGAGCATCAAATTAGCCAGAAAAACAGCAAGACGGTTATCATGTTATAAACATCAAAATTCACACAAAGGGAAACTCCTTTTCTCTATACAATTCTCTTAAACTTTTACCCCCAAAAGCTCAGCCATTTCGCAACCAAACCCACCACTATTGCTGAATTGGCTCGCCAATGACCAAGCCACTGTCACAGACACTGCAGCTTCAGACACAGTTTCTTTGGTTGCACAGGATTCAAGCAGATTGGCTTGGTGGTCATCAAGGTGTTTTGTGTAGTGAAGCTCTATTTGAAGACGGTGATGCAAAGACGAAACTAGTCCTTTCTTCATATCAGCTTTAACTTGCTGTATCGGAATCGCGGCCAGAAAGCTCTTTATATACTCTCTACATGATTCTTTACCTCTACACACTACTACTTCTTGTTCATCTGACTCTTTTGATCTTTCCGGTTGCTCAGACTTGGTCTTACCACCTTGTTTCTGGTTTCCCATGTCGGCTTTGTTGTCTTTGACGACAGATGGTAATCTTTGGATCTCTGCATCTTTGTCAAATTTCAAGACATACGCTTGGTTGCAACACTCATAGAGCCTCTCTCCAAGCGTGTCTATGATGTAATAAGCATCATGGTTCACGAGGAGTACGAAGAAATGGTCATTCCAGCTTACAATGTAGATCACAGGTTCACATGCCGACTCTTCTGGTTCTTGCTTCATGATCTCTTCCCAGATACTGTCAAAGGACATTACACCTTTGAGAAAATCTAGACTAGCGTCTTCTTCCTCTGATTTCTCTGGATGGAAAAACCCGATGAATGATTTCTCAGGGACTACACAGATGGGTCTGACTTTTGCCTGGAGAACCGTCTCGAGATCGAAATGTTTGTCTGGAAACCGTTCCCGGTATTCCTCGTTTTCGCACATATTTCTCCATTCGGATGATCCTTCTCTGATAAGACTGTCAAACTCTGACCTTGTTGGGATTATGTCTCGGTTGGATCCTAACCAATGTGCCATCACTGCAACTAGGGCTGTGCAGGCGCTTTCTCCAGCAGCTCTCTCGCTTCTCTGATCAATTGATGCGAGAAATACTCGAGCCGTGAGTTTCATCAGCCCATCACGGCTTATAATTTCTTTGGTTTCCCAACTACCAACAACGAAATCATCATCTCCAAACTGGGATAATGGTTTCATGATTGCATCATCAGACCTATACCACTGCAAGAGAATCAACCAAGAGTTAAAAAACAATATATTATGAAAACCGAGAACTATAAATAAACGTAGTCGATGTACTTACATCAGAGTTAGACTCATCGGATGAACTTAGTTGTCTGCGGTCAAAATCGATATCATCACCTCCTTCTTCAAGACAATCCTTTTTAAGAAGAGGTTCGCCTTTCTGTTTAGGAGATCTAAAACTGAGTTTTCTCTTCTTCCAAGATAACATTCTCTTCTTAGACATTTGTCCTTTAGCCTGCTCCAAGCTTACTACATCATTTGAAACCTCATCACCGTAATGTCCGGTCTCTGTTAATGGACTGCGGTGGCTGTAATATATCAAATCCTCGTATTCGGGGTTTGTATCAGTATGAAATGAGCCTCTAGCCCAATTAGCAGATCGAAGTGTTTTGTAATTAACTGGATCAGCTAAGCTACTTTCATTCTCTTTGTTCTCTTCTAATTCATCCGCAGCATCACCTTCATCTAGAGAATCAGTATCAAAAGGATAAGTAGAGTCAGAATCAAGATTTCTCTCCGGACTTTTGCCTTCACTTCCGCTTCCGCTGCTTCCATCTTTCTCAGTCTCCTTTTCCGATGCCTGAGTATTAGACATGCAACTGTTGAAGGTTTTCATCTTTCTCAGGCCTACTTTAACAACAGACTCAGCTTTCTCAGCCTCTGCGGAAAGAGGAGACCATAGAACAGGAAGAGCAGATCTCTGTCTTTCAGGCAATGATTCTTTAGGAGAAAACTGAAGTGATATCTGCAACACGAAACAGATATTACAAATGGTTAGAGAAATGAAACAATGATAAACACAGAGAACTATCTTATAAGGAAACAACTAACGCACATGAAGACATGGACTTCGAACAGATGATGAGCCACAATTCGTCAGAGGCACTTTGACTTGAACATCATCTTCTTTCATCAATGAAAAGTGTTCTGCAATGTTCAGTGATGCCTTTCCAAAGCTACGAACTTTCTCCTTCGATCCTTGATTCAGTCCCTATATAACAAAACCCATACACAAAATCTAAATATATGTTCCAAAAAATCCCTAATTTTACATTGGAGCTAAACTACAGAGGACCTAAGCAAAGATACAAGCTTTATACGGACCCTAATCATTCAGACATCAAAGTCAACGATTTCAAAGAAGATGAGAGAGGGAGAGAGACTAACACTCAAGACGGTTAAAGAAACGATCCATGGAAGAAACGATCCTTCCTTGTAAACAGAGAATTCGCAAACCCTCTTGAACTCTTCGTTCCATTCAACGACGCCATCGCCGCGAAATCCACCTTCTTCGGTGAAATTCCGTACGACGGAGCGTTTGAGAGTAACCGATTTAGGTCCTTTCCACTTGATCTCAACAACAGGTCTCTTCCTTATAGTCCCTCCTCGCTGACTCTGATCAGTACTATCATCGCCATCACAATCGGAATCCAACAAACCATCCATCTTGTGAACAACGACGATCACGTCGAATTTGACGGCGAAGAGCGGAGGCCACGGTGGCCAACGCATGATCTGTTTCATTTTGACCACCATACAATTCACAAGTGGCTAACAAAGCCTAAAGATTTGGGATAAGGACGAATCTTAGAGAAAAGGGTATTGGAGTAATCGAGATTTGCGGAGGAAAGAATCGGATTTTAAGAGATGGGCATGGAGGATTTGGTGGACGCGGTGTGATTCAGACGCAAAATATTTGAAATTTGAAGAAAGAAAGTGAGAAAAGAGAGAGAAGAGTAGAGAGAAGGAGAATCTCTGGGTTTGGTTTCTTTAAGAGTCAACCCTTATAGAGAGAGAATGAGAAAGCCGGTAATATAGAATTGTTGATTAAAATAATTAAATAATACAATTAATATTTTAAGATTATGTTTGACAAATTGTTTTTATTATTTATTTAATAATACTACAGAAAAATGAATTTTGAGAGCAGGTGAAACAGAGGATGTAGCATACGTCTTTGTATGCTATAAAGTCTTATTTGGTTATTTAGTTTTTAATTACATATGATATCGTTTTATATAATTCCTATTCTTGAGAAATATAATTAACTCAAAACCAAAATTAGCTGATTTCTTGTGTGATGAGTCGATGACCTTCTTTTTTGGTATCTATGTGAAAACTACAATTTTCAAGTAGTTTACTTTTATTAATTGTCTTTATTATTGTTGAGATTTATAAGATTATCCGGTTTAATATATCGTATTTTGAGGAATAAGTCAATATTTATGGCATTTATGGATAAACACAATAATTTTTATAACCAGTAAAAACGGCCATTTATTTTTTGAGTAAAGTTGGATTTTTATGGCTGAATTTATTACTAGTTTGTTTTTCTTTTCTATTATAAAGTCAAAAGTAATAATTATATTATCTTTTTTTTTTTTTTGTGGGCAAAACTTTTGTCAGCTATCTTATCAATACGTTTTGACTAGATTTTCAAATAATTTTGTTTCCACAATGTTCTTTAAATTGCAGCCAGTAGCAAGGATTCATATCTATAATAGAGTCTAGAGGCTCTTTAAATCTTGATCACAAACTCACAAGTATGACTTTAATATGCATCTCGCACTAATTGTCTATACAAATAATTTCGACCAATCTTCTGTCATATGAAATTGTTCTGTACTAAGTGCGGCTCAAATAGGGGCGAATCGTACGACGGCCAAGGGTCCAATCCCGTGCTCAAATAATTAAGGGGCCCATTTTAATTTTTCTTTTTTATAAAAGTATTAAAATTTTAAATTACAACATAAAAATAAAATTTAAAAGGGCCTATAAATTTTTTTATTATTGTTTTTAGTTTTAATAATTAACTTTTTAATAAAAATATCATACAATTTTTTTATATAACACAAAGAACACAAAAAAAAAAAATTCTAAGGGCCTATAATACTGTTGAGCCGGCACTGTCTGTACTCAGAAAATTGATAAAGGTTTTATTTTTAATTAGTGCTAACTAATTAGAAATCTTATAGCTAATCTATATTATTTTGTCCAATCCATGTGAAAGATAAGGTTTTTAATGTTGTTCATGAAGGATAATACTTATAGGTGTTTAAGTAAGTGGTAAGAAGAAGAAAAGTTAGGTATGTCCTAATTCATAAAGATTTAGCTCCTAAGTCCTAACCATATGTCATTTGCCTTGAAGTTAATAGTCCCTACACTAACTCATGCTCCCATGATCCCTTTTTGCTTTTTACTTCTCTTGTAATGGAAAACAAAATTACATTTCAATCCAGCGTGAAAAATTATAAATATATTCTTATGTGATGGGTATTTCTTAGATGTTTTTAAGGGTTAACTAAGTAAGTAATTGTTATAACAAAAACTGATAAGTAATAACACGTACATTCTATATTTCGATTGTGTTTTAGGTTGCATATATGTTTATTTATATTGATGTGTTCATTTTTGTAGAAATATATTGAAAATCCGGAAAAACTCACTTTACACGTACAAATGTTAATGATTCATTTTCAATAAAAATTAGAAAAAGTAAACTATTGTACTTGGAGTTTTTCAAACAATACTTTAAACACGAACCAGCATATTTGCTTTAGAACAATTGGACCCCTACACAAATAAAACTTTATGATACAGTTTAATGATGATCACGTTTTGTGGACTGAAATTAGGAAATTTTAAAGGGGTAGAGACGAAGCTTTGAAATAGACAATTTACTCAGTTAATTTAAATAAAAACAATTTAATAATATTATAAATTAAGAAGTCGTACCCAGAGATGAACACTTTTTGATGTCAACAACAAACGCACGCTTTAAATTATTTATTTTTAGAGAAATAAGTTGATTGTGAGACCCACTTCTATATTTTTCCTGCAAAGAAAAAAAAGAGAAAGAAGTAAGTTAGGTATTTATGTTAACAAAATTAATCTAAATTAGCTAAAAAACATATCAACAATAAGATAAGCTAAAAAAATGGTACATAAGTTTATGATTTTTTTGAAAGCAATTATGTAGTTATTTTAACTTTCAAATAAACCAAGTAGAAAACTCTCAAGTCACCAATGAAGCGGCTCTACCTTTGGTTTTCTTTGAAAGCGGCAATTTTCTCTTTCTTTGGTTTCTTCACAATCAAATTCCCAAAAGCAGAGGATGTATTGTCACCAATGAAGCACTCAAACCTAATCTGTTACGCACCAAATCAAATGCGAGCAAATTATCCTCCAACCAAAAACCTCCAATTGACACAGAGGTTCTCACGTTGACTCCTCTGTCAATGAAACCTAATCATTCTAATCAGATGACATCATCACCATCCTTCTAACGACGTCGTTGCTATGAATCCTCCAAACGATGTCGTTGTTATAAAACGTAATTAAAGTTTCGTAACAAACCTTTCCTTTTTTTTTCATTGAGTGATTTCCTTTTTAATTTTCTGATAACGGATATATAATAACTAAAGAAATTTCCTTTTTTCTGCTAACAAATATATTTCCTTTTTTTTTTCTTCTGAATTTCCTTTTTCAGCCTCTTTTTATAAATAAGAAGAGATGTTGAGTATTTTAGTTCTTCCTCGAGAAATCAAAATCTTATCACAGACCAAAATAAAAAGAGAGAGTGTTCTAATGGCGACGATAGCAAAAACATACATGAACAAGTCTGTGGTATCATCTTTTCTAAAGCTATGATCGATTTGATTTTTACTGAGTAAGTTAGTGTGTGATCCAAAACGAGTTTCGTTTGCTTTTTACTGGGATTTTGTCGATTGATTTCTAATCCATATCCATCTCTCGTTAGTGGCCGTGGCCGTGGTGGTGAGGCAGCAGCGTCGTCAAGTCACCGGAGAGAACAAGTCTCAATCGTCGGGGATTAGGTCACAGCCGCAGAGTCACACCGACAGTGAGCAAAGCCATTCATCAACCGTTCGACTAGTCACAATCTCTCAAAATCCTCTCTGCTTTTCTTTCTTGATCTGTAAGTAATCTCAAAATTCTCTCTGCTTTTCTTTGTTTTCTCCTATTCCTAAGTTTATTAGTATTATTATTCATCCCTCAACCATTAATTAATCCTTTCCCCTTTTTCGTCTTATTCAAATTTAGGTTATTCCAAGTTATACAACACTATCGTCAACCCATGCGCTGTAAGTTATTTCTTCCACTACTTGTTCCAATTTTTCAATTATATTTAAAATAAAACACTAAAATAACCTATTTTTTTACTACGTATATATATTATTATATTTATACATTATATTTTTATTTTATTTTATATAATAAGATACCAAAGGATTTTTTAAAAAACTAAATTTTTTCGATTTTTAACTAAATTTTTTTGATTAACCGAAATATTTTTGTTTTTTTTTAAAAACTAAGTGTTAAATTTCAATGCAATTGAAAACAAACCGTGCTAAGCATCCCGTCCCATCCGACGGGTTCGTAAGAGGTGTTATTAGTCCAACCGCTTTTCACGCAAGTAAATTTAACACTTAGACTATTTTTTAAGATTTTTTTTACAAATATTTCTATTATGTAAACTAATTTCTTTAAACTATTTTTTTACTATACAAATTATTTTTGTTTAAAAAAAAAACTAAGTGTTAAATTTCAATGCAATTGAAAACAAACCGGGCTAAGCATCCCGTCCCATCCGATGAGTCCGTAAGAGGTGTTATTCGTCCAACCGTTTTTCACGCAAGTAAATTTAACACTTAAACTATTTTTTAAGGTTTTTTTTACAAATATTTTTATTATGTAAACTAATTTCTTTAAACTATTTTTTTACTATACAAATTATTTTTGATTTTAAAAAAAAAACTAAGTGTTAAATTTCAATGCAATAGAAAACAAACCGGGCTAAGCATCCTGTCCCATCCGACGGGTCCGTAAGAGGTTTTATTAGTCCAACCGTTTTTCACACAAGTAAATTTAACACTTAGACTATTTTTAAGTTTTTTTTACAAATATTTTTATTATGTAAACTAATTTTTTAAAACTATTTTTTACTATACAAAATATTTTTGTTCTTAAGAAAAACTAAGTGTTAAATTTCAATGCAATTGAAAACAAACCGGACTAAGCATCCCGTCCAATCCGACGGGTCCGTAATGAGTGTTATTAGTCCAACCGCTTTTCACGCAAGTAAATTTAACACTTAGACTGATTTTTATGGGTTTTTTGCAAATATTTTTACTACGTAAACTAATTTCTTAAAACTATTTTTTTACTATACAAATTATTTTTGTACTAAGTGTTAAATTTAAATACGTTAAAGACAAATCAACTTAACATCCCGTTCTTTTGGTCTGAAGTTTTGTGGTGTCATAAGTTTAACATGCTTTTCACGTATTGTAAATTTAACACTTGGTTAAGTTTTAAATTTTTAATGGTTCATAATTTAGTTTTTGTTTCTTATTACAGATAAATTACATCCTTTGTTTTCTTCTTACCTTTCTAATTTTTGCCTCCAAATTACAAGGTGGATCCTTGGTTTTTTCCAGTCACAAACCAAATAAATTATGTTAATGGAAGGAAAATAAAGATCTCCAAATCAATACGTGTTTAGGATTAGGAAGTTGAGTCAAGTTCTTTTCTCCAACACTTCCATCAAGATCTTCCCCAAATCGTATTCAAGTTTTATGACTCGTTGAATTTACAGACAAGAAATAGTGGTTTGTTAACCTCTGGCAGATTCGATGGCCAAATGTTAGAAGACTATATTTGCTCAAGAAGTAACGCAATACAACAAAGTTTCCAAAACAAGTCTAAGACAAAACCTCATCCAAAAGATTGAGAGAATCCAGAAGAGGGCAAGAAGAGAAATCTTGGCTGTGTGCATATATGTCTTCAACAACAATCAATCGTATATTATCAGAAAACTCTTTGTCTTGGCTTTAGTTTTGTTCTTTTGAATAGACTGAAACTAGAGTTTAAGAGCAATGCTAAAGCTTTTCTCTAGACCCATTTTCACAGGTCCTCCTGTGATGCTTCCTTTCTGCATCATTGCCACAAATTCGTTGTAGTCTATTCGCCCGTCCTGCAAACAACAATTCAAATGTTCAACATTCCCAACATTCAACCAAATTACTAAACAAGTGTTTCAGAAGCTGTTGAAGAAATTCTCATGGGATACTAGCGGTTCCAATGTATCAATCCATAACCGATTTCAACATTGGTTACAACACATAGGTTTACTTCACCGTTTCCAGGAAAGAGAGTTTCTACTATTCCCCTAGGTTTAACAAGAATCATACTCACTCGGCCAAGTTTTTCAGAGAGAAGAGACATGAAAACTCTGCAAGGGGAGTGTAGTTTTAACAATGCAAGGAAATAAGAGGATCATATAAGTGAGATTCCTATGAGTAAAATGATATATAATCCATTGAAATTTGATCATTTTTGAGAAGTATTCAAGTCATTTTAAAATTAGGATGAGATGATAAAAGGTATAAAGGAACTTACGTTGTCTTGATCAACGTCGCGCATCAGTTCTTCTATGCGGACATCCTCAACACCAAACTCCTCACAAGCTTGTTGAAGCTCGTCCGGGGTGATATAGCCGCTCCCATCTTTGTCAAAGTATGTAAAGGCTGCAAACAAATGGTCCTCTCTCTCTATTTTGTTTAGATGCAATGTTGCAGCTATGAACTCTTTATAGTCTATTGTTCCACTGTTGTCCACATCAGCCTGAATTATATATACATGAGAGAGATACCAGATTACTTGGATATCCTAGCAAAAACGCAGAAGTAAATAACCAGAACCAGCAGAGTAATTTTGGATTATAACAAGCCCATTCCATAGTTATAGTTAGGAGAAACGCTGGATTAAATAGATTTGCAAGTATATGGGGGACTTTCATTCTCGGATAACAAACTAGCAAGCGGGTTAAAACTTACAGCTTGCATCAAGTCGAGAATTTCGGACTCTTTGAGATTCGCCCCTACTCGTTTTAGTCCTGCTTTCAGTTCTTCGAAAGTTATCTGACCACTCTTGTCCGCATCTATCATATTAAACATTTCTTTCAAGCCGGCTATTTCTTCTTCAGATAAGCTCTCAGCAATGACCTGCAAAAGGCATAAAGAGAGAAACTTAATCTGCATCGTCTCTTTCTTTCCACATACCAAGAAGAAGAGTGGGTAAATGTAGCTATCTTATGTTGATGACAGGAACTTCTTTTCATATGGTTTTAAATTTTGTTTAGCATTGAAAAGTTGCTTACTCTAAGAGCCATTTTCTTGAACTTGTTCATTGCAGAAAACTGCTTCATACGGCTCAGAACAGCAGAATCCAAAGGCTTGTCTGGAGCCACGCCGTCGACTTGAACCCACGGATGACCTGAGAAGAAGCACAACTCCATAAGAGATAGAACGATGGTACATATGCAGTCTACGTAACAACACACTTTATTCATGTAGTGAAATCTATGCTCAATGGAATTAACAGAAAGAGATCACAGCGCTCTAACTGGAAGAGAAAGGTTTTAGATCAAAATAACTTACATAATACTTGGTGGGCAGTTAACCTTTTCTTGGGATCCCTGACAAGCATTTTCCTCACTAAATCCTTTGCACTTTCAGATATGCTTGGCCATGGATCGGACGAAAAGTCAAGATCACCGTGGAGAACCTGTTCGAAAATACCTTGTTCGGTTTCTGAATGTTCAAAGAAACAAAAAAATTAAAGATGTTGTTCAGAGCCTAGTTAGGAAAAGTGACAAATCTCTTATCTGTCTATATACAATTCTTACCAGCCCAGAATGGAGGAACTCCGCTTAATAAAATGTACACAATCACTCCAGCACTCCAGACATCAGCTTCAGGGCCATAACGCTTTCGAAGAACTTCTGGAGCAACATAATATGGGCTACCAACAACATCTGTAAAAACATCGTCTGCAAGGAGGAAGGGAATCGAGTTCAGATATCATTGATCGACAAGGATCACACTATTCACGTTAAAGACCAAATCCGGAAGTGGATGTTTTAAGATGAGTAACAGTGAATGCAAACCTGGCTTAAAGAACATGGAGAGTCCAAAATCAATCGTCTTCAAGAGGGAATCTTCGTGTTTACTAACAAACAGAAAATTCTCGGGCTTGAGGTCTCGATGCATAACACCAAGAGAATGGCAAGCCTCTACAACCCCAACTATTGTTCTAGTGAGCTCAGCCGCTTTCCTCTCTGTGTAGTGACCGCGTTGAATGATCCTGTCAAAAAGCTCGCCACCTGCACAACACTCCATTACAAGGTGCACCGCCACGACATCCTCATAAGCTCCTTTAATGGATATAACATTGGGGTGACCAGCCAAGTGATGCATTATCTGAATTTCCCTTCTCACATCTTCAACGTCTTCATCAGTCAATAGCTTCCTCTTAGCAATCGACTTGCACGCAAACTCCTTTCCTGTAGTCTTCTCCACACATAGAAAAGTCGTCCCAAATTGCCCTTGTCCGAGTTTCCTTCCCAAGGAATAGAATTCCTTGAAGTTTTCAGTCTTCCTCTGCAACACTGACTCAGTCCTAAGCCCTGCACTTGACACTCTCTTCATGTGTTTAGGCTTCTTAGGTTTAGCTGGAGGATCAGGTTTTGTCTCCGGCTTGGTCTCTGACTTGGTCTCCTGCTTAGTCTCTGGTTTGGACTCAAGGTTTATCTCCTCTAGCGCTTCAGGCTTGCTTTCAGGTGGAATCTCTCTGTCCTTGGTCTCGACGTTAGTCCCTGGCTTGGGCATTGTGACCTGTTCAGGAGGTTTATTCTGGACTTCATCAGATAATGGAGATCGAAGCTCACCTGAAACAGCTTCACTTGCAATATCTCCATTACTCATGGAAGCCGAATCATCTCCATCTCTTGGCCGCCACATTGCAGCTGAAACAGATTGCAAGAAGCCATTTCTGCTTGGTCCAACACAAGTATTACCCATCTAAACTTCTATTAATCTCTTTCTCCAGAAATAGCATCAAGATCTGATCACAATAACCTCAAAACAATCCAATCTCATTCCTAATGTGATAAAAGTCAAATCCTTTCTATCTTTAAACCATCAGACATCAAACCTAGGACTTCTCAGATGATTCAATATCTTCTACACAGCTGAACTGGTAAACCCAACTTGGGTGAGGGAAAATAGCAGAGAGCTAGCTTATACAGAGGTGAGAAATAGCAAGAAAGATCAAAAGGGTATCGGAAAAATCGTGACTTTAAACGAACCCAGAAAGGAGAAAGTCGCCAATGAACGAAACCAAACACCCAGAGAGAGTAGAAATCATCCCCAGGCAACAACAAAGAGAAAGAAACAGAGAGATCTGAAGAGTAAAGAGAAAGAATGAGAAAATAAATTGGGTTGGGTGGGAAAATAAAAGGGATAGTTTAATAGCACTACACTTGCATAAACCGTAGGGACATTTGTTAATTTAATGAGAGAGTCAAGAGTCTGTAGAGAAGAAGACGATGAAGAAAGACGAAGAAGAAGATTGAACCAGTTTGAAAAACGCGTTTCTTTTGTTTTGATTATCTATCGCCGCCGAGTTTTGCGCTGAGATTTGTCTTAACTCTCTTTTAATTAACTTTGTTTTTGCAAGTCCACCCTCTTCTTCAATCTTGGCAACGAATTAGAAAAACTCTTTCCAATGGAAGGGTATTTAATTAGTATATTAAAACTTTGAGGTCAAAAGGTGATATTCCATAAAATCAATTTACTTTCTGGAGTCCTAATATCCTTTTTAAATGGTCCCATCATTTATTAATTTTGAAAGATAAAACCCGGAGGTTAAAAACTATGCAAACGAAACCCACATATTAAAGAGCAGACATTAAAATAAAACATCCACATGTTAAAGGTTTAACAAATCACATGATCTACACATTCTTGTCTTCGTCCTTATGTTTAACCCTAATTACTCCAGCCGACCACAGCTTTTATTGTAGATCAAAACCTAGACTAAGACTAATCTTGGCACCTGCAACCAAATTATGGTGGAGACGAGTTTGATGTTCAAGAAGATATGATTTGTGGCAAAGACACTCACTATGATGTGTATGAGACTTGGTTTGATGTATGTTCACCGCCTCTGCCACTTCCTGAAGAAGATCAAGTAAACATCCAACACTCGATCAATTCATCCAGTATAGCCAACTCAAGGACGTGCAAGAACAGATGATCCTTAGAACAGAGATTCGATATCAAATATATGATTGAGCATCTTTTCGCCACCACTAAATCCCACAGCTGCATGAGCACAATTCGATATCAGATATATGATTGTGCACCAAGTGAAACATAAACGGATGCACATCCACAAGTAAGAAACCGTCTAATTGACTAATGCGAGAAGACACACCTACATTGGCTCAATCATTGGCTGACCAAGCTTTCTGTTCCGAGCATCAGATGTCGTCATATTCTAGAAATCCATTTGCTAACATCAGGGATCTCAACTGGAGTTTGGAAACTCAAGAAGAGAACCGCAAGAGATCTTTCCATATCAAACAGATTCTCGGCTTTAAACACAATAATTCCTCAGTTCCTCCCGTCACTTAATAATAAGGCCTCACAATTATGAAGGGGCAAGGCTTATCATGAGGTACAAGTAGATACTCTTGAAATCATATGTTTCTATAACATGAAAATTAAGATATGAACCTTGGAAAAATGTGCTCTTTCCTGAGACATTATTCTTTCCCATCAATGAACATCAGGATGTGTTCATAAGCAAAAACACAAACCAATAATCTATGAGCCTCAACCTTTGAAGCCAGAGAAAAAGAATCAGCAGCAATGCGGATGATACACAAAATTAGAATCAGTTAAGCTCGTCAGAAACTTTATCTAATGCTCTTATTATATATAGATTCTATCCAATAGAAAAATCACAGCTAACAAACTTCACAACGTCTATGTAACCGAGGATGGAGACAAAGTCGACAGAAGAATAATCGGAGAGGAAAAAGGAAAGTTTTTTACGGCGGTGGATATACAGAGCGGCGACTGGAGTAGCTCGGAGACTGCAGAAGATGTACGCGACGGAGGCCATGGAGATAGAAGTAGCGGTGGCCGGAGGCGTAGTATCTCCGGTTTAGCGTGAGATAAGAGTCGAGGAATCTGATTCCCCCGCCTACTGACACGTGTCCAAGGTGCGTTAAAGCAAGTGCGATATTTTTTCAGTAATAAAAAAAATAAATATATCTGAAAGAAAAAAAAAAAAGGAAACGACGCCGCTTTGTTCGTCGTTATGCAGACAGATGTTTTTGTGGAAAAACGTGAGCCAACCCCACGTCCCAATAAAACAACACAAAACCGCATCAACGTCTCTCTCTCTCTCTTCCTCAATCTGCTTAAAAGCGTTTATTAACTACTCTTTTTATTTTCACTTTATTTCTTCATATAAATTCTCAGCGAAGAAGAATCAGATATTTTCTGGTCTTGCTCTGCCTAACTAACTCACCTGTAAGTTCTTCTTTCTTCCTCCATTCTCTACTGTTGGGATCTTGCGGAAATGTGAACTTCTTCTGGTTTCATGTTTTCAGCTTTTACCCTTTTTTTTGGTTAGCTTGAATCTTGTATTAGGCAGACTTTGTATATAGATTCGTTTGGGAAAAGAAAGAAAAGATAACTTACGGAATCGTGGGTTTGTTCAATCTCTGTTGAAACTGGAACAGTAAATCTCAATAAAGTTTTTACTTTTTCTTCTTCTTTCTTGTCACTGATGAATAAAGATTGCTTTATTTGTTTCTTGTTTGCCTGCTGATAAGCATCAAGGTATCTTTAAATTGGGTGCTTCTTTTGTTTTTAAAGACATTTCTAAGCTGAGAAGTGACAAGTCTTTCTTATCTTGAGTTTCTGTCTTTGTTGTTTTTCCAGAGGTTTCCCCTGTTACGAAGATGAGCAGAGATTCAGTAAGAATCGTTGGGCTTCTTCTATGGATGTGTGTGTGGGTTTCTTGTTATGGGGATGGAGAGTATGTGTTGTACAAGGACCCCAAACAGGCGGTGTCAGATCGAGTTGCCGATTTGTTTGGTAGAATGACTTTGGAAGAGAAGATTGGTCAGATGGTGCAGATTGATAGAAGTGTTGCTACTGTCAACATTATGAGAGATTACTTCATCGGTATGTAAAAGAACAATCTTTCTTGGAGATTTCTAGAAATCTGATTACTTGGTTCGCTAATTTAGTTGGTTCATTTATTTCTTATGTTCTTCAATACTTTAGCTTGTTTGCATATAGAATCACAGGCCATTTCTTTAGGTTTCTTTATGTTTATGCCTCATTCTGTCATCTTAATTTATGGTCACAACGTGGAATGATTCATGCTTAAACTACTTTTTGGTTCTCTAATTTTGGACATCTTGGATGGTTTCTTTAGAAAATTGAATTGGTATTGTTCAGAGTTTGTAGGTGAATTGAGGGTTTCATTCAGTTTTTGCTTTCATTTGACTTAAGTCTCTCATCATCTTGTTATTAAAGAACTAGATACGCTGCATAATTTGACTTGGTATTCAGTGTCTGTATTTGTGAAACTTGAAAATTGAAGATGTCTTTTTGTTCTGCACAGGCAGTGTATTGAGTGGTGGGGGGAGTGCTCCACTTCCTGAGGCAACTGCTCAGAATTGGGTTGATATGATAAATGAGTATCAAAAGGGAGCTCTAGTTAGTCGTTTGGGAATTCCTATGATATACGGCATTGATGCCGTTCACGGGCATAACAATGTCTATAACGCTACTATTTTCCCTCACAATGTTGGTCTTGGAGCCACCAGGCAAGTACTAGCTATTACGTTTATTTGATTTTGCATGTTTCCCATCTCTGTTTTTATGAATGCTGTCTATATTTCTTCTGCTGATAGATTTGAGTCACAGGGATCCTGATCTTGTTAAGAGGATTGGAGCAGCAACTGCAGTCGAAGTCAGAGCCACTGGAATTCCATACACATTTGCTCCTTGCATTGCAGTAAATTTTCTGTATTCTGGATCCTATAACTTTTCATATCTTTGGTACTCTGGACATTTGTTAAAGTTGTTTCTCACTCGCTTTTTGTAGGTTTGTAGAGATCCAAGATGGGGTAGGTGTTATGAGAGCTACAGCGAGGATCACAAAGTCGTGGAAGACATGACGGATGTCATACTTGGTTTACAAGGAGAGCCTCCTTCCAACTATAAGCACGGAGTTCCATTCGTTGGTGGCAGGTGAGGCTTTTGCTAATTTGGTTGTGTTGTATGAGCCTTACAAAAGTGTGTTCGTTCTTTCATGCGTGTTATTTTGATAGGGATAAAGTTGCAGCCTGTGCCAAGCATTACGTGGGAGATGGTGGGACAACCCGCGGAGTAAACGAGAACAACACTGTGACTGATTTACACGGTCTTCTTAGCGTTCACATGCCCGCTTATGCTGATGCAATTTACAAAGGTGTTTCCACGGTGATGGTTTCATATTCCAGCTGGAATGGTGAGAAGATGCATGCAAATACTGAGCTTATCACAGGGTATCTTAAGGGTACCCTTAAGTTTAAGGTCTGCTTACTTTTTTCCTCGATGTCAGCCACAACTTCAACACACATGCTCTGTGTTCTGGCAGTAGTCTTTCTGAATGAATATTACTCTTTCTATATGTATTTTGTAGTGTCTTGAATAGAACTTTTATAGAGCATTTGTGAATTCTTAGATCAAGAAGTTGATTTTGAATGCTAATTCCAACTTATCATCTCTATGATGTGCAGGGTTTTGTTATCTCGGATTGGCAAGGTGTTGATAAGATTTCCTCACCACCGCATACGCACTACACAGCTTCCGTCCGGGCTGCAATTCAAGCTGGAATTGATATGGTTGGTATTTCAAACTTCACAGACATTCCTGGACTGAAATAGGAAAATGTTACTTATGTCTGTGTTAGCTAATGAAATAACATGCAGGTCATGGTCCCCTTCAACTTTACCGAGTTTGTCAATGATCTTACGTCCTTGGTGAAGAATAATTCAATTCCTGTCACTCGGATTGATGATGCCGTTAGAAGAATCCTGCTTGTCAAGTTCACCATGGGTCTTTTTGAGAACCCTTTGGCTGATTACAGCTTTTCCAATGAACTGGGAAGCCAGGTCAGTGCCTAATAATCCTGAGCTAGAATCTGTTGCAAGTACTACAAAGTCTTGATGGAATGTTCTCAATTTCTATTAGGCACACAGAGACTTGGCAAGGGAGGCTGTTAGAAAATCCCTTGTGCTGCTGAAAAACGGGAACAAAACCAATCCTATGCTCCCACTTCCCAGGAAGACTTCAAAGATCCTAGTAGCTGGCACTCACGCTGATAATTTAGGTTATCAGTGTGGTGGTTGGACCATAACTTGGCAAGGATTTAGTGGTAACAAGAACACGAGAGGTACGTTGTGCAACTCTGATTGCAGATTATACAAGTTCTATCATCTTGTCTGTGACTGTCTATGCTTTGTAACAAAAATCTTGAGCAAAGATGAATGACATAGTTGACGATCATTTCCTCAATGAATATACTGTACCTTTTTTCTGATTCAGGGACTACGCTTCTTGGCGCTGTAAAATCAGCTGTTGATCAAAGCACTGAAGTTGTCTTCCGTGAAAACCCGGATGCGGAATTCATCAAATCGAACAACTTTTCTTATGCAATCATTGCTGTTGGTGAACCTCCATATGCAGAGACAGCTGGAGACAGCGACAAGCTAACTATGCTTGACCCCGGTCCAGCGATTATCAGCTCCACTTGTCAGGCTGTCAAATGTGTGGTTGTGGTCATTTCAGGGAGACCAATAGTGATGGAACCTTACGTTGCATCGATTGAGGCATTGGTTGCAGCGTGGCTACCAGGAACAGAAGGCCAAGGTATCACTGATGCTCTCTTTGGGGACCATGGCTTCAGTGGAAAACTTCCTGTTACATGGTTCAGAAACACAGAGCAGTTGCCTATGAGCTACGGAGATTCACATTATGACCCGCTATTTGCTTACGGGTCTGGTCTTGAAACTGAGTCTGTTGCGAGCATTGTTGCTAGGTAAAATGCTTCACACAGCTTCCTGTTTCATCTGTTGCAGTATACTCTGACACAAGATTAAGGTTCTTAACCCCTTATTATTGATTGCAAACAGGTCAACCTCAGCTTCTGCTACTAGCACAAAGCCCTGCTTATTCACAGTCCTTGTTTCTGCTACATTGTGTCTGTTTATCTTCCCAAGGTATCATCACCAGTTTCAACTTCCGTTTTGATTTCTCTACAGAAATTGGTGAGAATCTGACATTTCTTCTGGTAACTTTTTTTTTTTTTTTTTTTTTTTTTGTGTAGCTTAAGCCGACTTTTGAGAAGATGAAAAGTTTACAAAAGCTTGGAGTAGATAGATTCTTTCGATTATCTGATCTGATCCAGTGAGTTTTTTTTTTTGTTCTTCTTAGTTCTTAGCCTAGCAAAAGAGACCCTGAATCTGTGTCGTGTTATGTTCAGAGTTATTGCAACCTGAAACATTATTGGTTATTTACACCGGAACGTTCTTCTATTTAGGTTCTTGAAATTTTACAGACAATTATTCTCTTCTGAAATCTATCATTCTTGAAACTGAATCAAATATACTGATTCCGGTAAATTTTGGTAAAAAAGGAAATAACATACTTCTCAACTGATTAAAACTGACGTCATTTGGGGAACACAAATCACAAGGCATAATAAACTTGAGAAGAAAGCAAGAGATCATTATGCTTTCTTTGTAGGAGAAGAAACATATGAATGATGACCTGAGACAAAAGAAGAGATTTTGATGATCAAGAAGACATAGCCGCAAAACTAGGAATATCCATTGCATATCAGAAGAGAAAATGGCTAAGTATTGCAGAAATTCAAGTCTTATTTATATGCAGAGCAATAAACACCTAATAATATCATCAAAGCTCAAAGTAACCAATTCAAAAGTGTTCATAAGAAAAGAGGAAAGAAAATAATTGATAATGGCAGCGAGACAACAACAGAAAGGAACAGGCTTGGGGGTTCAGTACGAGGACTTCGTCCCCAAATCAGAATGGAAAGATCAACCTGAAGCCACCATTCTCAACATTGACCTTCCAGGTTGGTATACAAAATAGTAATTTGGACTACTTTATGGTTGTTTAATTCTAATGTGAATTGGTTTTTAAAGGTTTTGCAAAGGAGCAAATGAAAGTAACGTATGTGCACAGCTCGAAGATGATAAAAATCACGGGAGAACGTCCCTTGGCTAATCGAAAATGGAGCCGTTTCAACGAGGTGTTCACTGTTCCACAGAATTGTCTAGTGGATAAGATCCATGGAAGCTTCAAGAACAATGTCCTCACCATCACCATGCCTAAGGAGACGATCACAAAGGTGGCTTATCTTCCAGAAGCTTCTAAAACTGAAGCTGCTGCTCTGGAGAAGGCGACGAAGCTAGAGGAGAAGAGGTTGTTAGAAGAATCCAGAAGGAAAGAGATGGAAGAGGAAGAAGCTAAGCAGAAGAAGAGGCAGCTTCTGGAAGAGAAAGAGGCGCTAATTAGGAAGCTGCAAGAAGAAGCTAAAGCAAAGGAAGAGGCTGATATGAGGAAGCTTCGAGAAGGAGCTAAAGCAAAGGAGATGGCTGAGGCAAAGCTTCTAGAAGAAGCTAAAGCAGACCAGAAGGCTGAGGCAAGGAGGCTTCAGGAATCAAGAGAGAAACTTGAGGAGTGGAAGCTTAAGGAAAGGAAGCTTGAGGAGAGGAAGCTTGAGGATATGAAGCTTTCGGAAGAAGCTAAACTAAAGAAGATCCAGGAGAGAAAGTCTGTTGGTGAATCTGGAGGAAAAGAGAAGATACTAAAGCCAGAAGAAATGAAGCTTCCAGAAGTGGTCTATACAAAATCCGGGCCCGTAGCTACTCCCAAACCTGAGTCCGGGTCTGGTCTCAAGTCCGGGTTTGGAGTAGGCGAGGTGGTGAAGTCAGCGGAAGAAAAAATAGGAAACTTGGTGGAGAAGGAAAAGAAAATGGGGAAAGGGATAATAGAGAAAATAAGGAGGAAAGAGATAACAAGTGAAGAGAAGAAGTTGATGATGAATGTAGGAGTGGCTGCTCTTGTTATCTTTGCTCTTGGAGCTTATGTTTCTTATACCTTCTGCTCTTCTTCTCCTTCTTCTTCCTCTTCGTCTCCTTCTTCATCATCATCTTCTTCTACCAAACCAGAATGATATAGAAGTTGTGTAAATCGAAGAATGGATATTATATACTATGTAACAGTGATATATTCTACACAATCTAATAAAGTTTGATGATGTATAAATTCAAAAAAAAAAAAAAAGTTTGATGATGTCATATTTAAGACCTCTATATCATAGTTTTTATTGGAGACAAATATTTCTATTTTATTGAGACAAGAATTAAAAAAAAAACTCAATAAGCCTGAACATAAGAAACAAAAAATAGTCCGGTCCAAACAAATCACAAAATCCATAAACCCTAAACCCTTTTAGATTCGAAGACAAAGAGACCTGAAAGGTTTAGTTCAATCGATCTTGTCTGACCAATAATCTGTGTCTGGGAGAGAACCCAGTTGAATTGGGCACTGAGAGAAGCAGAAAGTAAATTCCTTTGCCGGAGAACGAGAAGTGAACGGTGAAGACGGCGAGGTTGAGAACCATGCCTCTTCGTCCATTTCGTTTTCTAGAATGCGTTTCACAAAACGAATAAGCCTCCTCTTGGGGCAGACGACCAAGATTCATCATAGTCGCTCTCTATTAGGAAATCCAACTTTATGCAGGTCTTATATCGTTGGTCCGGTCTCTACTAGTTCGCCGGCGTTTCTGATTTCGAGTCGTAATGGTGATGGTGTTACGGGATTGTACGACCCGATATGTCGTCGTTTCATCGGGCACACTGCGGAACAGTTCTCGGATGATGAGTACGAGTGTGAGTTCGAGGAACATAAGGTTCGTGTTTTGTTCAAGTTGGTAAATTGTTTAGATAAGTTTCTCAAAATGGGAACTTTAGGTGTTTGTTGATAGATTGTTTGGTGGAATGACGATGTAAAGGAGAGTTTTTGAACAATTTCTGTTTGATCCTTTATCCTTGGGAAATGATTTGATACAAGCGTAAATTGGTTTTATAGGCTTCATCTTCTGTGGCCAATGTTGATGAGTGGAAGTGGAAGTTAGGCATTCTGCTGGCCAATGATAGTGAACAAGAAATTGTTTCCAGAGACAAAAGGGATCGAAGAGATTATGAGCAGATCTCAAGTCTTGCTAAGAGGATGGGACTGTACAGGTATAGAAAACAGTCCTTTATTGGAATCAAATAACCTATTTGTTTGTTTGCGCTATGTGCTCACCCAATTCTTGGTTCCAATTTAACAGTGAAATTTACGGAAAAGTGGTTGTTGCAAGCAAGGTTCCTCTTCCTAACTACCGACCAGATTTGGATGATAAGCGACCACAACGGGAGGTAACAGTGCCTCCCTTGGTTTACTGAAATCGTAAGGCACAATTTTTGTTTGTAGTTTTATGCTGAAACTGTAATGCATCTCATCATGCAGGTGGTGCTTCCGTTGAGTTTGCAAAGAAGGGTAGAGGGACTCCTTCAGGAACACCTTGATAGACAGCAGCTAAGCTCAGGAAAGGCTAATGAATGTGTAGCAGATTCTCAACCTCCTAAACAGACTGAAGAACTTCCCGATGAAAATTCTGATTCGTTTCTCGATGGTTCTGTTATGGAGAAGGTACTTCAGAGGAGGAGTATGCGGATGCGCAATATGCAGAGAACCTGGCAGGTATTACGAAGTCATCTTTACTCCACCCCTCTTATCTTTTCATCAACAACTTTCTGCTAAAGCAGTAGTTGTTTGATTGAATAATAGGAATCCCCTGAGGGACGGACGATGCTGGAATTCCGGAAATCTTTGCCTTCATTCAAGGACAAAGAAAGACTTCTTCAAGCTATTGCTCGGAACCAGGTGAATTTTTAGAGCTGGATATCTTTGCATTGCAGCAATGCATGGAAATTAATTTTTTGAGCTCAACTCTCAATATTCTCAGGTGATTGTTGTATCTGGGGAGACTGGATGTGGTAAGACAACTCAGCTTCCACAATACATTTTGGAATCAGAGATAGAGTCTGGTCGGGGAGCATTCTGCAACATCATTTGTACACAACCTAGGAGAATATCTGCCATGGCAGTTTCAGAAAGAGTGTCAGCTGAGAGAGGAGAACCTCTTGGTGAAACGGTTAGCCAAGATGCTTATGCTTCAATTGAGCATCAATTCAAAAGCTGTCTGATTACTCCAATTAACACTAAAACTTTGTTTAAAGGTGCTTGTTTATTCATGATTTCATACCTAACAGAGAATTTTTGATAGGTTGGGTTTAAAGTTCGTCTAGAAGGAATGAGAGGAAAGAATACCCACCTTCTATTTTGTACAAGTGGTATCCTACTCAGACGGCTCCTTAGTGATCGCAATTTGAATGGCGTAACACATGTTTTTGTTGATGAGATTCATGAAAGGGGCATGAATGAAGGTACATATTCTATATATCTGATGTATGTTTAGGTTTCTGCAAATGAAGTCTCATAATAGTTTATGCCCCTCACTTCTTGGTTGCAGATTTCTTAATTATAGTGTTGAAGGAGCTTCTTCCACGGCGTCCAGATCTGAGATTGATTCTCATGAGTGCCACTTTGAATGCTGAACTCTTTTCTAATTACTATGGAGGGGCACCTACCATTCACATCCCTGTAAGACAATGTTCTTCCTCAATAGTCTTGACACTCTAGATATTCAGCATGCTTTCCGTGTTTCTATTTGTTTCTCTGTGAAGCCTTGAATGTATATATATTTTCAGGGCTTCACACATCCAGTGAAAGCACATTTTTTGGAGGATGTACTGGAAATAACGGGATATAAGTTGACCTCTTTTAATCAAGTTGATGATTATGGCCAAGAAAAGACGTGGAAAACGCAAAAACAGTTAATGCCTCGCAAAAGAAAAAACCTGATCACTACTCTTGTTGAGGTACTTAGCTAATCTTTTTACGTTAAGTGGAAATTCCTTATAATTAACTCTAATTTGCAAGTTTTACTAATCTGTGTTTCTGTTGGTCACGTATGTTTGCTAAGCAGACCAAATCTTCCAGTAACATTGTTCACCTATGTTTCTTTAAAATTGCAGGAAGCTCTCAGCAAGTCAAATTTTGAAAGCTATAACTCTAGGACACGTGATTCACTTTCTTCTTGGATGCCTGACTGCATAGGATTTAATCTCATTGAGGCTGTTCTCTGCCACATATGCCGAAAAGAACGTCCAGGTGCTGTGTTAGTATTTTTAACAGGATGGGATGATATCAGATCCCTGAGCGACCAAATTAAAGCCCATCCTCTCTTGGGGGATCCCAATAGGGTCTTGCTATTGATGTGCCACGGTTCAATGGCAACTGCTGAACAGGTTGACTTATCTCCTCATGTGTTACTTTGTTTCCTTTCAATTTGAGCCTTGACTCTGGAGAAGTATTACTTGTAATCTATTTAACATGTGTCCCTCTGCTTCTTGATTCCCATATTTACATATTCTTTGATGTTTCCGCAGAGACTCATTTTTGAGAGAGCACCTCCTAATATTCGCAAAATTGTTCTTGCTACAAACATGGCAGAAGCTAGTATTACAATAAACGATGTAGTTTTTGTGGTTGACTGTGGAAAGGCAAAAGAGACCACCTATGATGCTTTGAACAATACACCTTGTTTGCTACCTTCCTGGATATCTCAAGCTTCTGCTCGACAGGTGGATTCCTTATGCTAAAACCTATCGTACAGATATATCCTTCTTGTGTTTTGCACAGTTCTTATATTTGCTTTCAGAACATTGACTCCTCTAAGTGATTTGATTGCATTATTACCATTGTTGCAATTTCAGAAACATCTACTTTACTTTCTGGTGCATCTTTTGATAGCTATAAAGCTTTCTCATTTGGCATGTCCAACATTTCTCCTCTATTTGGCCTTCAGAGAAGGGGAAGAGCTGGGCGTCTGCTTCCGGGAGAATGCTATCACCTATACCCCAAATGCGTCTATGATGCTTTTGCGGAGTATCAACTTCCTGAACTTCTGAGAACTCCTTTAAACTCTCTCTGCCTGCAAATTAAAAGTCTTCAGGTTGAAAGCATTGCAGAATTCTTGTCAGCTGCACTTCAGGCTCCAGAGTCTTTGGCTGTAAGTGACTGATAAATGCCTTAATGAGGGTTTCGCCAATTGTTATGTTACTAGTAACAACTTTGATTAATCATCAGAATTTTTGTATGTGGAAGATATGATTCTAATTGTCTTGAAACTAGTCCAACTAACTCTAAGTATCATGACAGGTTCAAAATGCTATTGGATTCCTGAAAATGATCGGAGCACTGGATGAGAAGGAAAATCTAACGGATCTTGGTTTGTGTTCGAAGTCCTGTACAAAAAATAGTCCAACTTTTTCTTATACCTACATGTATCATGACTGACTTTCCTGCTTGCTTTCTTTTTGACCTGTTCCAACTAGGAAAACTCTTATCGATTCTCCCTGTTGATCCCAAGCTGGGGAAAATGCTGATAATGGGTGCCATCTTCCGCTGCTTTGATCCGATCCTGACAATTGTATCAGGGCTAAGTGTTAGAGATCCTTTCCTTCTACCTCAAGACAAAAAAGACGTAAGTATAAGAACTCATGGATGAACATTTATTTTTATCATAAACATTTCGTGTTTTGCATTTTATTTAGGACTTAGGAGTGGTTTTTAATAGTCAATTTTAAGCCAACAGATAGATGGATATAGCTTTGTATGGAGAATGCTATGGTTTAATCTCGCAAACTGAGAGAACATCTGATGATCCCTTGTTTTATTTTAGTTAGCTTTATCAGCCAAGTTGAGATTCTCAGCCAAAGACTATAGTGACCATATGGCACTGGTTCGTGCCTTTGAAGGGTGGAAAGATGCTGAAAGAGAAGGATCGGCTTATGAGTTCTGTTGGAGGAATTTCCTGTCAGCTCAGACGCTTCAGGCGATACATTCTCTAAGGAAGCAGTTCAACTATATTCTGAAAGAAGCTGGCTTAGTACATGATGATTTAACTCTCAACAACAAGCTAAGTCACAACCAGTCTCTGGTTCGTGCTGTCATTTGCTCTGGCCTATTCCCTGGAATAGCATCTGTTGTGGTAAGTCCATGTCTCTGGCTAAGTCTCCTTTGTTGTGTCAGAGAGTTTGGTGAAATAACCTTGTTGTCCTTTTTCTTTGCACAGCACAGAGAGAC